CAAGCACCATCATTGCAGGTATACTGAAATTGGCGTCAAGAGATTCAGGATACAGGGGTTCATTCTCTGGCTGCAGGCTTGTTGTTGCAGACCCGACATCAGGATTTCCGCAGGCGGTTCGGGTCTGCAGTGAAAAGGTCCATATTCCCATGATATCTAGACCGATCGAGGTTGACATGCTGGCACAACGTCAGCCTGACTGCTGACGGCTGAATATAACGATATATCGCTGCCAGGATTCCGGGGTTTTGTCCGCGGCTCAGGTACCCTCAGTACGTTATCCTCGGTGGTGTCCCGAGGATCTCGTAACTTGACACTGCTGTAGCAAATGTCTTATAAAGGTTGCGTCTGAGGAGCTCTTTAATCTCAAAGGGCGGGCATGGTGGACAAGCTGCACGTAAGAATACGCCAGCCCTCCACCTCCGTGATCCCGGGGAGCTGGAGGAGTATAGAAAAGCGCCGCTTGCCCTCCCTGGCAATAGCCCGGTGGCTAATCGTGTTCACGAGGCACATCGCTTCTTGAGTGAGACGCGGGGGCTAGCATGTGTTGCTCGAGACCGGTAGGTAGCATCAGTAAACGACTCACTTACCTTTCAGTGATTATGGGGGGCAGTACATTAGCAATATCTGTCTTGGCCATTACCTGCTCGAGGAGGTCAGCGCGATGTATCTTGAACGTCTTGAATGTTTCAACATCCGTTTGTTCTTCGATAGTACCTGTCTTTTCAAGAGCCTCAAGGCCCGACATAAATAACTGTGTTTACTCGTCTGCCTGGCCAGTTCGAGCATTCTTCCATTGTCGTCATGCGGGGCGAGTTCCGAGCCATCTCATCGCATAGACTCGTAGCGGAAACCAACCAACAAATCTCAAGGGCAGGCCCCAGCTCCGATGATCATGTTCTGGATCTCCTGTCCCTTGTGAGCAGCTCCGCGATGGGCCGAATGGTAATCCTTGAGTAATCTTTCCCTGAACGGGCGCTCCGTAATGTCCCCGAAATTGGATGCTAATGTCTCTTAATGCAGGCCCTCCGTGTAGATAGACTCCGGTCTAAGCCACCCGCTCTGTATATCTCCACAAGTGCGAGGGCTGAAAGAACTTGCTAAATCCGGTTTGATGATGCAACCATGGTCTCAGACCATGTCTGCTGGCTGGCGCCCGTCCTCGCGGAGTAAGAAGAACAGTCCGGGTGGTCCAGATGTCGGACTCCAATGCACCACTTAGGGTTCCCTGTCCGCAAGGGCAACAACCAAGGTAATCACAAAGCGTACGCTCAGACAGCCAATCAGACAGAATTCCGTTCGTGTTCCGTGGAATCATAGTACCTCACCAAAAAGGCCTGCCCTCTTGCAGGTTGGTTTGGAGTCAGTCTGTATCTCGTTGAGGGTGTCAAGTCATTGTACCACGCTCCGACATGAGGGAGCATGCCAGAGTCGTAAGCTGACAGCCATGCCGTAAATAAAGGCATGCAGAAAGAAAACACCATGGTGAACATCACCGGGAAGATCATAAAGCTAGCAATGCTTCCGTGCGATCGGTTGAAGAGGCCCAGTCCACAACGTCCGCCATACTGCAGGGCGTTTCCGGTCCTGCTGGGCCTTTATGGCCTCCACGGGCAAGCAAAGGCACGAGCTCTCGAATTTTTCTAGGCCATCTCAGTAATTGGTTGTCTGCAGGGCAGGAGTCACGCACAGCTTCTCGCCCTCGACGAATCCACCTGTGGCGTTACAAAGGTAGCCTTCGAGGATGCACAACATCCTCGTGGTGAACTTTTTTATGGTTCTCTGTCTCTGGGAAGACGAGTTCCATATGATCCGCTATCATAGTCGCCTGGGAGCTTCCTTGTGGCTTCCCTAATGTCTCGGGAGGCAGGCGATTCGACGCTGAGAAGGCGCTCACGAGAAGAATACGCCCGGTTGGCGTCCCTTGTAGACAACCGGCCGTGTCCGCAGCCACTTTCTGATAGCTCGACATGCATTAGGTCTCGCAAAGCAAAGATCCGAAGAGACTGGGACACTTACCAGGCACGGCCGCTGCCGGTGCATCTGTCGTGGATGGCAAGCATACGTGTGAGCAGGTTACAGCCCGCTCCGGGTTGGGTATGGCGTTATTGCTGCAATGGGGGCTCATATGGAGTGCTGCTACACTCCCGTGGAATTGGAGGCCACACTCAATGGACCTTTGCAACATGCACGACGGTGTATGAACCAAACCGTTTCGAAGGACGACACGCAGAGCCCACCGTTGGTCATCCCTATCATGAGTTCTGGCTGTTTTTAGAGCGTGGATCGATGTCCTCAGTCTCTGCTCTTGGGCCCAGGATGGCTCCATGGCACCTTGTTCGTGGTAATGCCATAGAGGGGATTTCCAGCTTTGTTTGGGAGCAACATACTGGGTTCAATGCTCGGTTCTTGGGGAGACGGTGACCACTCGCGTTGAAATGTATGAGGCAGGACATCGGTCGGTTCCCTTGCAATCCTGGTTGCTTTGCTGCAACGCACAATGGCTCTGCTCAAGTTTGTCTTGTCCTTGAAAGAGCTATTCGACCAGTTGTCCTCTTCTGACTTTCGAACCTCGCACATTTTGGCCGCGAATTCTAGCCTCGTATCAGCTCTAAATTTTTGCACTACAAGGGGTGCAAAAACACTAACCAAATTCAGGGTGAGCTGTCTGAACACCCAAAAGAGCGAGACGACTTACAGATGGGGTGTATCGTCTAGCAGCCAGCGAGCCGTCGTATCCTCCTCAAAATCATGCAAGTAAGTCTGTCCCGGCCTTGATGCTTGCACCAGTCCAGGGTGGCAGCAGGAGTGTCCAACCAACCCATTTTCAACCTAGGAACTCCAAAGTTAGCGAGTGCTTCGTGCACAGTGGGTAACAAGGAGTATGTACTGACTTACGATGCCCTGGAAGTCACCGGCTTACCTCGAAATCTGTAACCCCGGCTAGACATCGCGCTTCTCCCTAATGTTCTCCGTGCACAGGTCTGGTCTCTAGACCTCTGCGCTGGGTCAGACAGCCGCCAGCGTGGCACAATGGGATAGGGTCTCCTGAGCCCGTAAGAGCAATAATATGCACAACGACGACCCAAGCCTCGTCGATCGAGTGTAGCGAGAAGCATGGTAAGGATTTCCCAGGGGGCTTCTCGGATCCCCAAGCGTGAAACATTCATTGCTCTGGAGTCTTTCGTGGCCTCGCGGGCTTGATATGGCGAGGGATTTGGGAAATGGTCCTGAAGACCAGGTGCTTATACGAGTTCTCGAACATGATGAAATCCGAGAAGCTGAGGATAAGATGATCAATCGAGGGTATAGAGAGCCGACGCCTCATACAACAGCCGGGATACACCATGACGAGGCAGAAGACATAGACCAAAGACACAGCCATGCGAGGATAATGGAGGAGGATCCCGCGCTCCCGTTCAAGCTCATAGGCATGTTAGTGATTATTCCTTGGCTCTGTTGCTCGAAATTGATGTGTATTTGGGGGTATTGAGCAGGCTTGCCTGGGGCGGGAATGATAGGTCTGAAGCAGGCGAGCCCGAGCCAGGGCAGCATTCCTCATAAGGCTGCCCATGTAGGTAGATGTAGGGCATTGACGGCAGCACATCAGAAAATGAGACCATATCCAGGGTAGGGATACTAGCGAGAGTTGTCAGTCACTCGTTTCCGTCTTTTAGGGCCGGAATTGACATACCATCATAGAACAGGGTCAGGAACCACTCTTCGGGTCTTCCAAGTCGGGCTCGGCTTCATCGTGGCACGGCAGACGATCCGGTCAGGGACTTACTTCATCGGAGTTCAGCGTGAGTGTCAAGAAAAGAGAAAAGGTGCGGATTGGCGCTACTCCGCTGGTTCCGTTTGCACACTGAGGGAGGGTAGCCGAGCCTAGTGGCATCTTACAGGCCAGGCTGTCCATCGACCAGAGGAAGCGCTCGTAGGTTTTTTGTTCAAGTATTGGCCGAAGGTCTTGTCCATGACTGATGCCATCAAGTAAGGATAGAGTGGACATCCAATGTTCCAGTGCGAGTATACTTCGGGAGGTATCCCGATCATTTTGCCGACGGGGTATAAGGCAAAGAAAGGGTCAATCGAAGGGGGCAAGTACTACTACGATGCATGAAAACTATGGGAAACCAAAAATATACACAAGAAGCTAAGAAAACGGGATGGTAATGGTTTTGGGAAAATGCGGAAGATGCAGGTTGGGGGTAAGGGGGCGAGATATATATCCAAGACTCAGAGCAAACGGATGAATAGTAACAACCTAGGTGAAGCGTGAATGGAAGGGAAAAGAATCTTTAGTCACAGCAGCAAGGGCCTGTAGGTATGCAGCGTGTTTGTATTTTATCGCTTTGGTGAAGGGATGCGTGCATGTGGTGGTTTGCTGGAGGGGTCGGTGAATGTGGGACGGCAATGTGACTTCTGTTTGTAGGAGTTCTTCCCCAGATCGTAGAAGGCGGGGATGGGCTGCTGAGCTCTGCAGAGTTCCGAGCTGGCGATCTACGGTACTGTCAAGTGGTAGCAAGGTATGGCTACGGCTTCGGATACACCAGCTGAACGTTACACATTATATTTTAGAGCGGCAGTTGGCGGGCAGAAGAAAAAAACGGTAGAATGCAATCAAATCCAAGTTTGTCATATCACACACAAAGCGCCATGCCATTGATTTGGGTAAGAAAATCCTTGTTCATATTTTTTCATTCCTTTTTCCTCGTTTCCATGTACCTTCTCTCCGGCGCCCCTCTATCCGCTTTTCACCAGAGAACGAGAGAAAGCAGGAAAAGAGTATCTTTTGCCCCTGGCCCGAAAAACTCCGAGGCCAGTCCCAGGGTATCCCGGATGTGAATCAACCCCACCGAGCCAGACCTGGAATGCGAAAACAAGCGAAGTGGTCGACCTGAAGTGATGATGATATCTCTTGGGCTGATGATCGATTCCCCCAGATCAAACCGCCGCACCGCCAAAATCCGTCATCGAAGGAAGAAAACAACTCAATGCATTTACTCCTGAGCCTCGCCAACAAGAGCGTTGCGCTTGGCCTCAATGCGCTCCTGTCGTCGCTCACGGAGAGCCTTGTTCTTGGCACGCTTAGCATCCATCTCCTCCTTGAGCAGACGCTCACGTTGTCTCTCAGCCTTGGCCTTTTGGATCTATAGCAGAAAAAAAACATGTCAGCTCACGTCCCGTTCCCCAACAGAAGATTCTTGCCAACTCACGTGTTCAATCAGACCACGCTTGTGCTTGAAGGTGTTACCCTTGGCGAGGTGGTACAGCTCGTGGTAGAGGTGCTTGTCGATCTTGCCGGCGGCACGGTAGCGGACGAGGAGACGACGGAGGATACGCATGCGGCGCATCCAGAGGAGGGAGCTGGGCATACGGGCCTCCTTGGTACCCTTGCGCTTACCCAGACCGCGGTGACGGCCGATCCGGCGGGCCTCGGCGAGCTCACGGGCGCGGGAGCGAGAGTGCATGGTAACGGGCTTGCGGATGATGAGGCCATCCTTGACGAGCTTGCGGACGGTCTGGCGGGAGTTGGCGTTGGAGATTTCGCTCATCTCATTGGGGTCGAGCCAAATCTTGCGCTTGCCGCAGCCGACCACGGAGGCCGCGAGGCGCTTCTGGGTGCGAAGGTTGACCCTGTGACGGAAGAACACACGAAGTCAGCATGAGGCCTCGATCAAATTTCTCCTTGTATCTTTTTCTTCCTCCTGAATGGTAGTAGTGGGAAAAGATGCAGAAACACTGGCTCCGGTTCGGACGGTCCAGGGATGGGCAGAACATGGGCAAAATGTCCATCACGAAACAGTATTTCCTCCGTAGCAGCAGGGTATCGAGTTTGGGAGATGAACTCACATCTTGAAGTCGGCGTATCGACGGTCGTTGGCGGATGATGTTCGTTGCACTCGACAGCGGGTTGAATTCCCAAAGTGAGGAGTTTGAGATCGGGGCGGCTGATTAGCTAAGCCACTGTGCTCTAAGCGAAATCCACTAGGGCTCGTACCCCACGCTAGTCTCCAGTCATAATGCGTCTTGATGACTCTGGCCTTGGAGGATTGGACATTACCAAGAGCTTACGGTGTAGTTATTCAGTTTATGATTCAGATTTTCTTGACATAGTTGTGGCAGCCTTCGCGATGGTTCACTCTTTGTGAATTTAATCTTTTCTCTTGTGAAGTTCGTGGGGAAGTCGCGACTTGTCACGTGAATGCCCTTATCAAGCCTGGATCTCTTATCGCCGGGCGGGAACTTGGAAGGATACAGATTGAAGCCTCTTAACATCGTCAACTTTTATTGTCGATATGGACTCCCCGACAGAAGGGTATACATCTATCTATAACTCATTCAGGTCGTAGTTCAAGCATAACTAGTATCATCACTCGTCCCCAAACGAACCCTCCTCGAGCTCAACCTTGCCAATACTCCAAAGCTCCTTCTCGTCGTCCACCTCGTCATTCGACAGACCCAGTCCGCCCTGTCCACCTTCCGCCTCTCTGCGCTCGCGCGCCTGTGTCGCAAGACGCATCGCAACTCGCTTGAAGTAGTCCGACATGCTCCGCTTCGGTCCCGGGGGCAGTCCAGCGCCGGGTCCGGCCATATACTTGTCGAAGACCGCTGTGTCCGAGTCGACGACCGAGAAGATGGAGAGGAAGGCTGCTTCGGATGCCAGCTTGACGGGAATAACCATGTCGCGGACACCGGCGAAGATTGGCGGCGCAAGGATGGCAAGATGGGGACGGACAAGCTCAGGGTGCAGTCGGCTGACGGTTCGGATCACAACTAGTGCCAGTCGGCGGGTGTCGGATGGTGTGCCGGGCTGGATGCAGGGCGCCAATGCCTCGAAGATGGCTTTGTTGGATTCGAAACTGTGCTGCTCTTCGAGGAGCAGATACTTTCCAGCGGCGAGTACACTGTTGTCGGAAATGAAGGGCTATTTTGATTAGCGTAGTCCGTAAACAAAGTATAAGGGGTTGCTTACATCCTTGTTTGTGACCCCCTGGCAGATCAGATGCTGCGTCTCCGCCGCAAAGTGCTCAGTCAGAGATGCTGGGGATTCGACAAGCAAAGCATTGAGGCCAAGAATCGACGAGTGTGACAAGTTGGACGTAAGCACACGGCTCCTGGGAGCGAGTTAGCACTGGCGAATTGCGACGGTAGGGTATGACATACTTGATAAGTGGTTCAGCAGTCGCTGCAGGAAGAACCTTGACGAGTGCCCCCAGCAACTTGGCATTTGTGATGGCGACAGCGTCTAATGTCGTTAGATCAATGCAAATCGATTTATAATAATTCGCGAACTTACCAGTCTGGTCGCTAGCGTCGTCGTCAATGAGCGCGAGGATAGAGTTCTTCGAAGCCTCGCTCATGCTGCCACCGGCCTTGCCTACAACCTCCTGTAGAGCCTTCATCATGGCGTTTCGCACGCCAACATCGGCCGTCTTGGTTCCCGTGATAAGTTCTAGACATTATTAGCATCTCACATCTCTAGAGTAGGAACTCTACATACCAGCAATAAGTGGATCGACCCTGGGCGTCAGGGTGATCAAAATACCGAGACCCTTGGCAGCTCTGTTACGCAGAGTCTCGCTGGTTTGGTCGGCAAGACCACGAGCAAATGTTCTTTGCAGCTGCGGCAGGAAAGGCTTGACAGCCAGAGGGATCTTCTGCAGAAGTTTGTTGAGCGTGTAGAAAATGGCACCTGCAATTCCTGTTAGACGCGTTCCAAGATTCTGCATTAGGGATAACTTACACTTAAGGTCCGTTGATCGTTCAGATACAACACGGATAAGCGGACCAGTAATTTGAGTAACAAACGGCTTCAGAGAGTCCGCAGCTGTACGGTCGATAAGGTCGGCAATAGCGAGAGCAGACTGAGTACGCTGGTCGACACTGCCGTTCAGAAGACCCTGCAAGAAGATTGGCAGAATGGCAGTGATACCCTTGGGCAGACTGAAACCCGGTAGATCCGCTCCAGGAACTCCGACACCCTTGAGAATCTGTCTTGTAGGCACGGAGAGAACTTCCATTTCCTCCTTGCGCAGGTGAGAAGTGAGTCCGCTGAGAGCTCCCCATGCAGCCTTGACAACCTCCTTGGCGGAATCGTCGAAAGATATCAGCAGGACGCGGATCAGATCTTGGTGGTATCTCGAGAAGTCAATATCCGCATCAGAGAAGAATGACTTGAGATGGTTGGCCGCGTTAGCACGGCGGTGCTCATCATCGTGCTTCATCAACGCCAGCATCACGCTCATCATCACGTTGAGACCGTCAAACTCATCCACGGAGACCAAGATGGTGTGGAATGCACTGTCAAGCTCTTCACGCTGCTCATCGTCCTTGCAGGAGATGATATTGTCCATTAATGTGTTCAGGATAGTGGGCAGGCGACGGGCCATTGCGGAGCTTGCAACCTCTGCCAGTGAGGCCAAAGCCCTGGCGTTGAACGTCGAGATAGGGGAGGTGAGAAGGGTAGGGATGAGGTTGGGCAGGATAATGTTGGCGCGAGTTTGTTCGGTGAGAAGCGTCAACAGCGCCGACAAGGCTTGCTCTGCATCCTCGTCGTTTCTCAATAGGAGCAAGAGATGGGGCAAAACTTGGTCCACAGCCTTCTTGCCGAAGATCTGTTGCAGGGCATCGAATGCTTCAGCGGCAGCCTCACGAACATCCTCATCATGATCAACCAAGGCCACGCGGACGGTGGAAATAAGAATCTTCTCAAAGTCCTCAAGGGACTCGGGAGACGAGGAGGTAATGATTTCTCTGAGGGCAATGCAAATACCCTGCTTGACATCCACATCCGGCGAAGTTTGGAGACCGTCCTCGAGAGTGGGCAGCAGAGTTGCGAGAACAGATTCTCCAGCTTTCTTGATGAGGTCACCAAGTGCGTTACTAGCAATAACCTTCTGTTCCATATTTGAAGATCCAAGGCGGCGAATAATGAATTGAGAGAGAGTTGGCACCATCTCCTTGAGAGTCTTAGGAGATGCCACAAGCGATTTCCAGACACCCATGGCCGCGCTCTTGACGAGACCAGAAGTATCGCAACGACAGATGAACAGCGAGGAAAGAACCTTGTTTCTCCTCTCCTCTCCAAGAACCTCGAGCAACGACTGTCCGGCTTGCGCGGCTTCCTCTTCCTCCTCGTCCGCCTCGGCACGGGCGGTAATACCGGTGATACTGAAGAGAAGATCACCAACCAGCTCGACGGAGCTCAACCTGATGCGGTAACTATCGTCGGCAAGACCACGCTCAAGCTCGGGAAGCAAGAGGTCGATAGCCTTGGAGGAGAAGTTCTTGACCAATAGACGACCTGCACGGAGCGAAGTCTCACGAATGGAATCAACATCGTCCGCTAGACCAGCCAAGATAGGCGGAATGATTTTGCTGAGGTAAGAGGCGAAGCTGTTTCCGAAGCAAGCAGGCAAGAAGATGAAGAGAGTCATGAAACCTTCGCGAATAGTGGGCTTCGAGCTGCTGACGTTCTGCAGAATAGTTGGCAAGGTTTCCTCAAGTCTTGTCGTGCCCAGACCCGCCAGAACCTCTGAGAGAGCTTGAGCAGATCCCAAACGATCGCCAGCTCCGGTGTCGGACTTGAGGGTGGCCATGAGGTTGGGAATGAGGTCCGGAAGGGCGTCTTCTCCAAGCTTTTCGATGAGGGAACCAAGAGCCTTTGACGCAGTAGCGCGAGTAGTGGGCACAGGATCGATAATGGCCTGGTTGAGGCCGGAAACGATGATAGGCAAGTGAGTAATAAGGTCCTTGCGCTCAGTAAGATGAGCCAAACTGCCAATAATCTGGGCCGACTTGCGCTTGGTTGCAGACCTATCACCGAGACCACGTTCAAGAATGCGGACAACCAATGCCAGGGAGGGAGCGTCCAGGTAGTGGACAAAGGACACCTTGATAAGAGCATCAAGAGCCTCGTCGGTAAACTTGGTAGGATCACTCAGAGCCTTCAGCAAGACGTTGACCAGGGACTTGACTTCAGGGTTGCTGATGACCTCTCCGAACCGTTGAAGACTGCGGTTCGCAGCATTGCGCACTTCCTTGTGGGTATCGTTCAACACCACAGTAAGCGGAGGAATGATGGCAGGCAGACTTGCAGCAAGCTGCTGCGGATCCAAATAGGCCATGGCTCCGAGAAGATCGCAAGCACCCTTCTGACTACGCCACTGGGTGTCCTCGAGACCGTCAAGAAGAGTAGGGAGGATCTTCTTGACACCGTAAGAGCTGAGGTTCGCAAAACAGGCCTTTGCGGTATACAGACAAGCATCGCGAACATCGGTGCTTGGATCTCCGAAGCTGGCCAAGAGTTGAGGAACGACCTGGATTACGTATGGTTCAAAAGTACGGCCAAGGATGGTTGCAAAGAGTTCGTACGCCATCAAAGCTCCGAGTCGCTGGTGTGGCTCTTTCTTGTTCTCGGACGCATCCTGGAGGTGGGACATGACACGGTACTCGCGCAATGTGAAGACACCCCTCCCCTTGACAATACCGGCCAATCCATATGCCGCACCACGTTGAGTGGCATATTTCTTCGTCTGCAGGAGTTGATCAAGCATTTCCTTAACGTATTGTCCGCTTTGGGGTCCAGCTAATCTTATCAAAGGTGGAAGACATTCGGAGACGGCAGCCTGAACACTCTCAGAGGGCGTAGGAAGAGTGGCGAGAAGTCGCTTGATAACTGTTTGCAGACGAGGGTCGTCCGCCTTGAGATGCCGAGCCAGGGATCCGTAAAGTACGACGACTGCTTCATTAAGAAGGTCGGATGTCTCGCTTCCCTTGTCCGAAGTCTCCAACGTCGTCTCCAAAAGCTTCATCAGCTCCTCCACCTTCTCCTGGCCGCGCAAGGCGATAACAGACTTGCCGCTATCGGCCATCTGAGCTCGTACCACGCTGCTTCGATCGATAAGAGGTCCTCTCTCAATCAAAAAGCGGAGGAACGAGACTATCTGTTCGCCTTCGAATAATTCGCTCATAGCAGCAAAGGACAAGGCAATACCGCTTCGAGACTCCCAATGGTCAGCAATATCAACCTTCTTTGGCATTCCGTACTTGTCTTTCTCCGGCTCCTTTGGTCGCACTTCGGCTTCGTATTTCGACTGGAGCTGAGAAACAATGTCCCCAAATACGGACGTGTTGGACTCAATCGCGTGTGCCAAAGCGCGAGCGGCAGCTCCTCGGAGGTTTGCGTCCGGGCTATCAAGGTAGGGAATGATCTTTCCGTACGCGCTGTCGTCGATCTCCAGAGCATTTTCTTCCCAAATGTTCTCAGCAACCTCGGCATTCTCCTCCACATAATCATGGCATTCGAGCCAGATGTGCTCGGAGAAGTCAAGGTCGGTAAGATCGATTTCGGCTTCAATAGCTTGCAAAACTGATGACCGCACGGAGGAGTCGGAGACGATGGCTCCCTTGAGGAGTACATCCAGCTCATCATTGTTAATGTTTGGTGCAATACTTCTAGAGACATCGAACAGGGTGTCCTTGATGAGCTTGTAGTGCTGAGTATACTTCTGCATTGCAGTAATCAGCTGTTCAAGCACCTCGACTCGCGGAAGGCGGTTATCGGTGACTAAAACCAAGTCAGAATCAGAGATCCCAGTAGGGGTAGAAAACTTACAGGAGCCTGAATGGAAGGATAAGATCTCGAGAGCCAACAAAACCTGCTCACCCTCCTCCTCGCCCTTCTCCTCTTCAATGCCGTTGCGAGTAAGGATTAGGAACAGTAGGGGTAGAGCATATGCCAAGGAAGAATGATCAAGGGGGCGCTGTTCAGATGCAAAACGCAGGCGATAAAGGATTCTAGTAACAAGTTCTAGGCGCGAGTTAGCATATGCCTCCAACAGGAAAAGGAAGAAAACCTACTGCCAAGAGGCTCTACTTCCATCTCAGTGGGCAATGAGCCCTTTCCAATAGCTCTAAGCGTGGCAACACCCACGAATGGTCGAAGAGGGCCAAGCCGAGTTGATAGCTTCTCGGAACATTTGAGATACGCTTTCGAGACAACGTCGCCCGTGAACAAGCCTGCTCCGGCCTTTGACAGAGCCAACAGTGAAGAGAGGGCAGGATTGATCCAGTCGTCTGCGTCAACAGCAGGACCAGCAGCGAGACCTTGGATTATTCCGCAGCCTCGTTCGATCCGCTTTACCTCGCGCAGAACATCTTCGCGGATCTTGGCCTCCTTTGCGAGCTGCGCCTTCACCTTGGCTTGCTCGTCTGCAGTGAGTTTCTTCGGCTTTTCGCCCTTTTTCTGAGCTAGCTGTGCGCGCATTTCTTCCTCCCACTTCAGAATGTCGTAGTCTTTCGTGTTCTTGTCAAAGGTTTGCCGAGACTTTGTGTTCAGGATGTCTACAAACATGGTACCCTCCGGGGTTCTGGCAATTGCTGCATCCGTAGGAGTAATGCTAGACACGCGAGAGACGTCCAAGTCATCCTTGATTTGGTTGACGAGCTGCGGAATCATGACATCGGGAGCCACGAAAGCCAGGTCCCCCGCTGCGCTCCAAATGGCGGCATCAACTTGCGGTACCTTTGACTGGACGGGATCCTCCTGGACCTGGATCAATTGCTTCATGCACTCGCCAGGGAATTCGCGAACAAGTTCTCCAGGATCTGTGCCAGTTCTTAGGCAAAGGTCAATATACGAAACGTTCGGGATTAGTTCTGGTCGGCAAAGGACGAGCATGTCGACTAGTTGTCCTTTCAAGCTAGCACGATTCTCATCAGATGTCTCTGAAGCAGACGGGCAAATTGCCTTTACAACGAGATGGAGATATCTTTGACTTTCGGGTCCTGCAGATATAGGCGCGGACTCCTTTTCTCCAGTTCTGAAGGCCAGAATCCAAGTCCAAAGGCCGTCAAGAACAATGCGACCGACTCCCTTGATGTCCTTTTGGTGCACAGCGGACAATGCACGAGCAGATTCGTCTCTGAAGCTGGTTTGAAACCCGGGAGCAGTGATCGTGTAAATAAAAGCTTCGGCCCATGCTACCTTGGCTTGGGCCTCAACGCGGCCGAACTTTGACGTCGAGGAAACAGCCGCAAGGGTTCTGACAGCCCATTGAACCTCCGCTTGAGAGGCCAGCTTAGAGTAAGCTTTCGGGTTCAATAGGAACGACGGCTTCGGCTGAAGGGCGAGCGACAGGCCAACAGTTTCCTCCCAGCCAGCCTTATCGAAATTCTCGAGGGAAGACAGTCTCCCGAAGAGCGCAAGGTAGACGTAGGCAGTGAAGAGGGCACCATTCTGGGCCGATGGCAGAGGGTTCGAGGAAACTTCTTTGAAGATTTCCTTCAGTTTAGCAAGGAACTTCGCGACGAAGGGCTCCACCTCGGGACTTGCGAGAGTGGTGGATTCGGCTTGCCAAACAGCCTCTCCAACGTTGAGTTGCCACAGCCTCCGGAAAGGGATCTTCTTTTCAGCAGCTCCCTTGACAATTGCGTTGGTTACGTCGTCGCTAATCTTAACCTTTGACACGATAAGGTGCGAGAGATGCTTGGAGAAGGCCTTGATTTCTTGCTCGAGGGCCGGTTCGTTGGATTCGCGGGCGAAGACTGGGACAAACCCTTGCACAATTTCCTTCGAAATGTCGGCTGTAGGGGTAACTGCAGAAAGAGCTTGTGCATAGGTAGCTCGGTGCTCGGGGCTTGGAATCTTGTTGGTCTTGAGAGGACCAAGCACTTCACCCACGATCTTCAGGAGCAGACTCTCGGTCTGGGATTTGGACAGAATCGATACAAACGACTCCAAGGCACCTTGCCTAATAGCAGGGTTGTTCGATTTCATGCTCGCTAGCAGGTGTTTCAGAAGGCGGGCGTGTAAAAGCTCGGACAAGTCAATGTCCTCCGGTAGCGACGAAAAGAGCGAGGGTACCAGCCCGCTAAAGACTACCTCTGGAGACCGCAGGATTGCTTTCTCCAGCGGAGGCACTATCTCCGACGTTATATCCTCGTACGTGACAAAAGATTCGAAAAAGTCAGACATGCCGCTAGCAATGTGTGGAGGTGGCGCGGCCTTGGAAGAAACCAATTCCTTGATATAGTATGTGATTATAGTCTTCTTGTCCCCTTCTAGTACAGACTTCTTGTTCGGCAGGCGCGCGCAAACACCAGAAATGACGCCAATGAACGGCGCATTCTTCTGCCCGGCGGCCGCATCACTAGTCAAGCGCTGGACGGATTGGTGAACGGCATCCTCGCCCCAGGCGTCGGAAAATGCCGCACGGAGGGCACGTCTGGTTACCCTAAGAGCAGACACTTTCACTCCTGATCTGGGTGGTACGGCTAGACATGTCTCCAGTGCCCGTGCATTCAGCGCAATGACATCCAACACGACGGGGAGCGGGGTTTCCGAGTTACTCTTCAAGATCTGCAGCAGGATAGAGCACCATTCCAGAAGAGCCAGCGCGGAGCCTGCATCCAGACTGGATTTCGTTGCCTCAATTTGTAATTTCTGCACCAGGAATTTGAGATCGTCAGCCGGGACGGGTGCCTTGAGCAACGAGCGGAGGCATTGTTGGACGGCCTGACGGGAGGGGCGGTCAATGTATCGCGATAATGTACTGAGAAGGAGTTCTAGGAGAGGCTGGCGGGCATTCTCCGGTATATCAGACCCTGCAAGGACGGGAAAACCAAACACACGGTCAGAATTGGGCCACGGAGAACGGAGGAGGGGCGGGCAATACCGATTTTCTCGCGGAGATCACTGAGAGCACGAGTTCTGCGCGAAGTCGAGCTCGAGAAGAGCACGACCCGCAGGCTCTCGAGATCTCCGGATTTCACCTGTTCCCATGGAAGTTCGTCCATGTTAGGTGGTCGGGAGCATGTCGTTTCGGCGCTTCGTTCGCTCGTGGTGGTGATGCTGTCATAAGAGTTTTCGGTGGTTTTGTGTGGGGAAAGAAGCAGCTTCGCCGCCTTTGCGTCCACCACACTGATCAGACTGCATCATCCTCTTTTAAATCTCCTCTCGGTGCGTGAGTCATTCTGATTCATACTCCTTCCAGCTCCTGAAGCTGTCCCTGGCGCTGCAGCGCTGCATTATGCCGTCAAATAACAAGAAAAAGAAGAAGCCCGCATCGAACCCTGCCCGCGGATTCGCAACAGTCTCCGTTCCATCCAAAGTAAAGCCCGCGGACTCGTCAGGGCCAGCCTCGACGGTCGAGTCGAAGTCGGTCTCGGAGAGCGAGCGCCCAACGCCTGCAGAGCCTACGAAACTTGTTCAACAGCCAAACGAAGCCCCGTCATTGCAGAATTACACGCCGGAGGAACTCGAACGTCATCTAGAGGATGCCGAACTGCAGATACTGGTGGAAAAGTATGCAGCAAAGTGCAAAAGCGATGCTGTCCGTCAGGCTGCGAAACTAGACACGGAAAAAAGAGTTCTTCGGCAGCAGGCCATCCCCGTGAACCTGCTTGAATGGCTCCCGTCCGATGTGGTGAACTCTATACTCAGTCTGGCCGAGGCCGAGGAGCAGGGACTCATCCCGCAGTCAGTGCGCGATGCGAAACGGGCAGTCTCAGAGGATGATCTGTGCATGAAGCTATGGACTTTGAAAGATACCCTTTTGAAATTGGGTTTCCCCGAAAACCGGGTTGAAGAAGCGCTGAAGCACGTATTGGTCTACTATGCTGGAAACTTCTCCGTTACTAACCGCGATGTCGTGTGCAATCTGGACGAAGCCCTCGAGTGGCTCGCGATGCACTGCAAACCTGAAGAATTGCCCTCATATACACAGACTGGCCAACGTAAAGATACGGACAAGAACATTTCCTGGATCTCTGGTAACCCTTGGTGCTCGGTATCGCATGAGGTGGGAGCGCTAACGAGCATCAGATCGTGAGTCAGGGCAATCCACTCCCAAATCAACCTCAAGCGACAAGAAAAAGGCGAAGCCTGTCTTTAAGGCGCCGATACCACAAGCCGATCCTTATGAGTCCGATAGCTCTCTTGATCCGGACACATTGGTTCCGACGTATCTAGATCTACAGACCCGTTTGTATAATCTTCGCCCAGAGATTTTCGACAAGCCAAAAAAAGGCAAGAAAAGTCGCGTGCCTACCAGTGCTGCAGACGATCCGCAAGCCTCAAAGCTCCAGCGGAAGATCTCAGCTATTGAGAACGATGTCCTCTTTGACCGCAAGGAAGCAGAGTACTTTTGGAAAGAGAAATTGGACGAACTCAGAAAGGAGGCTGCTATATTCCGACGAGCTGACACAGAAATAGAGCTGGTAGAGAAGAAGGAGCCAGAGCCAGAGCCAGACACTACGCCACCACTGGAAGATGGCGATGGTGACCTTCTGGGAGACATGTTCCAGGACGATGAACCCACTCTAGAGCTGGGAGTAATTACAGAGGAGCTGAACAAGGCTTCGATTACAATCCGTGATTTTGGAAAGTGGACGGGCCTCAGCCCTCGTCGTGTCCTAGAAGAAGCGTGCAAAGCACGGTATGCACTGTCTACTCTCTTCGTAGCCTACGCTGACCTCTCTCAGCGACTCCGGGTGTAAAGTCCTTTTCAAAGACATTTCTTCGTCGTCGCAGATGAATCGAATGGCGCTGGAAGTGAGGTGGTCAAAACCGCAGGAGGTTCCGTCTCCGTTCTCACAGGAATTGATCACCCACAAGTCCAGCTCATACGCCACATTTGTCTCTATGGACAAGATAGCCACTCCGACTTTACAGCAGGCCGAATCATTCGCGTCTACCTTTGCTCTTTTCATCCTCTTTCCGCAAAATTCTAAAGAAGGCAAGGCTTATTTGCGTCTTCCAGTCGCATGGAGAGATCTGTGGGCTGAATTCGCCGCCGCGAAGAAGGAGCAAGAGGACGAAGCTGATAAGCAGGTGGTAAAAAATCTGAGGAAACTAATCTCGGAGAACCATGGTGCGTTTGAAGACGACGTTGTTCTCTCCGACAACTTTCGAAGACGAAATGGGACGCCAAAGAACCGATCCCCAGTGCGAGCAGGCAAAAAGGAGATCCCAGGCCCGAACGAGCAATTGATCCAGGCTTGGATGGAAAAGTCCTCCACCCCGGCCTTCCAGTACATGGTCCAAGGCCGAATGAACCTGCCGATTTGGGAATTCAAGAACGAAATTCTCAGTACACTCGAATCGCACCGTGTCCTTATCATTTGCAGTGAGACTGGAAGTGGTAAGAGTACGCAAATTCCATCATTCATCCTCGAGCACGAGATGCTCTCGGGGCGTCCTTGCAAGATCTATGTGACCGAGCCGCGGCGTATCTCTGCTATGTCTCTCGCGCGAAGAGTCAGCGAAGAGTTGGGAGAAACCAAGACCGACGTTGGGACGTCACGCTCTCTTATTGGTTTTGCAGTCAGATTGGAGAGCAAAGTGAGCCAGTCGACCAGACTAGTGTTTGCGTACGTTCATCTCACTTTTCTTCGTGGAATGAATTAAGCTGACAAAACAGGACTACCGGAGTTGTGGTGCGAATGCTGGAGCGCCCAGACGATTTCCAGGACGTGACACACGTGGTACTGGACGAAGTACATGAGCGTTCGATTGACAGCGACTTTCTTCTCATAGTCCTGCGCCGGTTGATGCAGAAACGGCCGGATCTGAAGCTTATTCTCATGTCCGCGACGCTTGAAGCTCAACGCTTCTCAACGTATCTCGGCGGTGTTCCCGTCTTGAACATCCCAGGACGCACATTCCCGGTCGAGACCAAGTTTCTGGAAGATGCTGTCGAGTTTACTCAGTACCGGCTTTCTGAAAATGAAGCAAGTACTGTACGCGACGAAGATGACGATCTGGAAATTGATCAAGGCGAATCCTCGGGCGTGGTGGCTACATTGGACGGATACTCCAAGCAGACGCGCGAGACAATCGCCAAATTCGATGAATACCGACTCGACTACCAGCTAATCAAGCGGCTACTCTTGAAGCTCGCAACAACACCAGAAATGGAATACTACAGCAAAGCCATCCTCGTGTTTTTACCTGGTATGGCAGAGATCCGTCGATTAAACGACGAACTTCTCTCGGAGCCGGTCTTCCAGCAAGGATGGATCGTGCACGCCCTTCACTCGTCTATCGCTAGCGAGGAACAGGAGAAGGCGTTTGTGGTACCTCCAGAGGGGATGCGTAAAATTGTAATTGCCACCAACATTGCAGAGACGGGTATCACTATTCCGGATATTACGGCTGTCATTGACGCAGGAAAGGAGAAGACAATGCGGTATGTCTTGCAGACTAAGTATAGATTCTCAGCTAACGGAATAGATTCGATGAACGACGACAACTCTCCCGACTCGTGGAGGCTTTCATCTCTCGAGCCAACGCAAAGCAACGACGTGGAAGAGCAGGTCGAGTGCAAGCTGGTATCTGCTTCCACATGTTCACAAAGCATCGCCATGACAAACTTGTAGGCCTACTCTAACCCCGATAATTGTTATGATACTAACCGTCCAAGCTGGCCGAACAACAAACTCCCGAAATGCTTCGCCTCTCCCTGCAAGACCTCGTCCTGCGCGTCAAAATCTGCAAACTCGGCGAAGTCGAGCCGACCCTTCTGGAAGCGCTGGACCCGCCCTCCTCCAAGAACATCCGGCGCGCGATCGACGCCCTCAAAGAGGTTAAGGCCTTGACGGCCTCGGAGAACCTTACCCCGCTGGGACAGCAGCTGGCAAAGCTTCCGCTGGACGTGTTCCTGGGCAAGCTGATCATCCATGGGGCGTTCTTCAAGTGTCTGGATGCGGCGGTGAGCATTGCTGCGATTTTGTCGTCCAAGTCGCCGTTTGTGAGTGCCATGGGGTCGAACACTCAGAAGGAGGCGGCGAGGCTCTCCTTCAGACGGGGTACGTATCAACTCTTTTTGTGTAGCACTGTTCACTAATGAGGTCTAGGCGACTCGGATTTACTTACTGTCTACAACGCATACTGCGGCTGGAGACGCACTCGTAGCACACCAGGAGCAAACGAATACGCCTATTGCAGGAAGAACTTTCTCTCCTCACAGACTCTGCTGAACATCGAAGACGTCAAGCTCCAGCTCATCGTCTCTATTGCCGACGCAGGTCTCATCACCCTCGACGCCGGTCAGAAAGCATCACTCAACCGGTACTTCCTCCCTTCTCCCCGTTCTTAACAGAAATGAAAAATAAATTAACTGATACATTAGCGCCCGCTCCACCCGCCAACGCCACATCTTCACAGTCCCCGAAGTCCACGACACAAACACCACGAACGATCCCTTGATAAACTCCGTAATCGCCTGGTCCTTCTACCCGAAACTCCTCACCCGCGAAGGCAAAGGCTGGCGCAACATCGCCAACAACCAACCCGTAACCATCCACCCAACCTCCGTAAACCGCACATCCGACCCATCGGTAACGAAATACCTCAGCTACTACCACATCATGCAATCGGCCTCAGCCCGAAGCAAACACTACAACGCGTTCGAAACGAGCGTTGTCGAGGACTTCCCGCTTATGCTGCTTGCCGGCGAGGCGGATGTGCGGTTGCATAGCGGGGTGTTGTCGGTTGATTCGAATAGATTGAGGTTTTCGGTGAGGGAGTGGAAGGGGATGTTGGCGGTTAGGGTTCTGGGTATGAAGGTGAGGGAGATCTTGCAGGGGGTTTTTAGGGATCCGCAGGCGGTGTTGTCGTTTAAGCAGAAGAGGTGGATGGAGATTTGGGAGGGGGTTTGGGGGGCGAGGGAGGAGAGGAGGGAGAGGGATAGATAGATACTGTGGTTCTTCTGGGATTTTGGTAGAGTAGAAAGTGGTGGGGGGGCTTGCTACTCTGTGTACAGTGGATAGACACGAGAGACTTAGATGCATAAAAGGAAGAAACGAGCTTTCGATGATATATGATCAAGCGAGTACAAGTATACCGTCTAACAACAGCCAATAAACACAGTCTAACATCATTTATCAAAAAGCAAGGGAGAGAGAAAGAAAGGCAAGATTCACCCCCAAACATCCTCCTGCCACTTGCCCCTCCTCTTTACCCCCCTAACCCACTCCTCCGCTGCCTTCACACTACCCATCCCATTTCCGTTCTCCCCCTCAGCAAGAAACCCCGTGACCCTCTTCTCGACCTCCCTCGCCATCCCCGCCCGTCCACAAATATACAAATTCCCTGTCCGCTCCACAAGCAACTCCCTTACCTCCTCTTTAAACTCCACAACGCGCTCCTGCACATACCCCCTCTTCCCCCCTCCGTCAGTATCAAGCCGTGAAAACGCAGTAACGATCTTGAGCTGCTTCCCAAAAGCATTCTCCATCTCGGCCAGTTCATCGCGGTAGATAAAATCCTCATCGGGCCGTCGACACCCGAAGAAGAGGAGCATGTCACCGACGTCGCGGCCGATCTTGAGGAGTTGGCGGCGTTCGTGGAGGAAGGCGCGGAGGGGCGCGAGACCTGTTCCGGCTGCTATGAGGATCAATGGTGTTGTTGCTGTTCGGGGGAGCTTGAAGGTTGAGCGGCGGAGGTGGGAGAAAATTCGTTTTTGGGGCTGCGGTGTGGATGGGGACGGCGCGATTGGGAGGAGGAGGGTATTTGTGTAAGTTGATTGCAGGATTGCTTTGCCTTCTGATGATGAGGAGGGGGAAGGGAGATCAGAAAGGGAGAGGAGGTACGTCGACGTCAACCCCGGAATCGAGACTGTGGCATTCTCCGGTAATGCTGTCTTGTGGACGAGGACAGTAAGTGAGATCTTCCGCGGCGAGACAACGCTACTGCTCGAGATGGAGTAGTACCGCGGCTGGAGCGGCGGCAGAGTCTCGACGATATATGAGAGTGGAAGGTTCCTCCAGGGCTGGCCTCCCGAGGCGGCAGCGAGGATCCGGGCTAGGGTGAGGTGGTTCCGGCGCGTGAACTCGGCATAGGAGTCCTTGCTGTTTGCGAGAGTTGTCAAGAGAGTCTTTGCCTCTGGTGTCGGTGCGAAGGGTGCAAGTGTTGCGAGGACGTCGCGCGGGATGAGCGCCGTGATCTCAAGGTAGTGCCGGAGGAGGACGAGAAGCGTCGTGGGTGAGGGGACCTTCTTGGACATGTCCTCGACATCGGCTCCCTCGACCGGAGAGATGGAGATCGGAACATCACCCTCGTGAGCCCTTCCCAGCATCTGCAGCAGCAGATCTACCTCCTCATCCGGGTTTGACGGCCACACGCCGAGATGGTCGCCAGTCTTGTACACGACATCCGGCGTCCCCGAGATATCGAGGTCGATATGTAGACAGTGCCTGTCGGAACTCGGCTCAAACAGCTGTCTGATTCCCGTGATGGGGATGGCAGTGGGACTCGGAGAGTGGCGCGGTTCACCACGGTGCAGACTTGAAGCCTCAATGTTCGCATCCTGCGTGATGAAGATGGCAGGCTGGTAAACGGGCTCGGACTGCGCGAAGCCTAGCTCCTCACGGAAGTAGGTAAAGAGATCCTCCTTCCATGAGATAAAGTCTTCCTGCGTCGTTCCATTCGCATCGTTTGCGCGAGAAATGGGAAGGAGCGCATTCGCACCATGGTTATCGAGGACTTCAGCAACACGGTCGATAACCCGGTTGTAGAACTTGTAGTTGGAGTTTCCGAGACCAAAGGCAAAGTACCTCAGTCCATCAAACAGCTTCTTCCCTTCACTCTGATTTTCCTTGGCCGCCTTTTTCTCAACAGCATTCAACCAGTCCCAGAACTCAATCGTGTTATCGGCCGGATCTCCCTCGCCATACGTCGAAAGCACAAAAATTACCAACTTGCTCTGTAACCGCGAGACCTCAGCCACCGACTCGGGGTCATAATCACTCAGATCCGCAATAAGCGCACCCTGCCCGTGTCCCAATACTTGTCCCTCCCCCTTAAACCTCGCCGTAATCTCCCGTCCAAGCCTATGCGCCAACGACTCGGCCGTCCCGGACTGCGACCCCCAAAAGATAACAATCGACGCACCCGTCTCCTCAAGCTTGCGGGCTACATTGCGTGTCGCCTGATGCGCGTTATCCCCCGCTACCCCAGAACCATTATTAGTGCCATTGGCCCCGTTGCCGTATTTCAGCTGCGGCCGCTCGTAGAGGAGATGTCGGTAGGGATCCGGTGTGTCCCAGAGGATTCCGCGGGAGAGGTAGGTTGCGCCGAGGAGGGAGAGGAACGTGAGGGCGATGTAGTCGGCTGGTGAGGAGGGCTGGGTTTGCAGGTGGAGTTGCAGGTGCTGGGTCAGGAAGGAGAGGGTGGATGGGGATATGGATATTGGTGGTGTTAGTGTTGATAGGGACATTTTCAGGTTGGGTGCCTGTTTGCCTCGGGCTGGAGGGGAAGAGTATGATGACTGGTTGATAACAACATCGCGGAAGGGGTGTATTTATACCTCATCGGCGTAGGATCTCTTCCCTTCGACGTATGTCCGAATGTGTATGAAAGAGTAGATGATGGGGGAAGGGGATGGAGAATATTCCCCAACTCGAACGCGGGGAAGTGCGGGGGCAAAGGGGAAATTTTTCCCGCTTGCCACCGACCCTGACTTGAAGTCTATTCTGAGTTGAGAGGCGCGGGGTTCAATTGGAATTCGGGGATTCATACTCTGGAGGTTATTTTCAAACTGCCTTCTTCAGGTAGATACTCGCCTGTCGCCAAGGTGTGCTTTTCATTGCCACGTAGCATCCGGACGAAATTGGACTGGATTACTTGCTTTCTTTTAATCATCTGTGGCGCTGCGGGTATGGCTGAGACATACTACTAGGCTTATAATACAGAGTGTCTCATTATTCAACATATATCTTTCCAAAGAAATTCCGTAGATATGAACATGCTGGTGTGTCATGTAGCGTAATGTAGGAATTGATGCCATTTACGTGCTGTCTCAACTTACAGATAGAGCTCGAACAGCATAGAGAGGCAAGGGTAAATAGATCACGGTCTGGTCTATATAGAGGTTACAGGCGAATTTAATGTGTATCCCATGCAGAAAAATAGCTCAAGTTGAATCTAAGCAACGCTAGGCAGATCGTAAATCATCCATCTCACGCTAGAAGCCAATCCATCCCATGCATCACAACACACCAACTCGGAATCCCGCCAGAGAAAAAAAAAACCCCGCAAATTCTAGTCTAAGTTGAAAGATAAATAGAAAAGGGAGAGAAGAAGAGTAATAAGGGCTAAGCCTCAACATTAATAATCTCCCTCCTCCAAACTTTAACCGGCATCCCACCCAAAATCAAATTCATCGTCTCCTCCCTCTGCAACTCCCACTCCGGACCCGGCAACGCAAACTCATACCGTCTCACCAGCGTCGCCAGTATAACCGTCTGCTCGAGATACGAAATGTTCCTCCCAATGCACGACCGCGCACCAGCCGAGAACGCCACGAAATACGGTTGCAGCGCCTTCCCTTCCTCCCCGAGCCACCGTTCCGGCTTGTACTTGTCCGCTTGTGGGAATGCGGTTTCGTCGCGGTGCGCGACGTACGCGGACATGCTGACGGATGTATTGCCCGGCACCCACTGGCCGAGGATTTCCATGCCCTCGGGTGGTGTCTCGCGTGGGAGGCCGTGGGAAGTCGGTGGGAAGATGCGGAGGGATTCGTCGAGGCAGGCGCGGAGGTAGGGGAGGTGTTTTACTTTATCGTAGGAGGCGATGACTTCGGTGTCGTCGTCGTAGATCGAGTCGATTTCCTCACGGAGCATGCGGAGGCATTCGGGGTTCTTCAGCAGCTGGTACATGACGTTCGTGATTGCGATTGCGGTCGTCACGGAGCCGGCGTTCATCATGATGTTGATTTCGGCGACGGCTTCGCCCCATTCTAGGCCGTGCGGTTTCCCGGATTTGTCTTCCATGAGCGCGGCGAAGAAGTCTTCGAGTTTTTCTCCGGCTTCGTAGCGCCGGCGGCGCTGCATCGAGCGGTGCCAGACAATGTCTTCCCAGGTGTCCGCGGAAGTCTGCATCTTGGCGAAGTAAGGAATGACGTTGACAAGTCTGTTCAGCGCAGGGTAAAGGTCGTAGTTCCAGAGGATGTAGGACTGTTTGCGGGCTGTTGGGTAAAGAGCTTCGCGGAGGGAGGTGCGGTATGTAGTCCCATCTTTGCGCTCCGCGGTGCACATGTCATTTCCCTGGTCGAGGAATCCGAGCTTCTCGCTGAGTCCAATATCTGCGATCGCATCAAGCGTAAAGTAGTTGGTCCAGGCGCGGAAATCGACCTTTAGGTCGGCGGGGTCGGGGCGTTCCTGGCCGGCGGGAAGGGGTGCGGTGCAGATGGTGTCAAAGTGCTTGACCAGTCGGGCGATTTTGTCGCTGACTTTGTGCTCCCAAGACTCGAGGTTCTTGAGCGCGTATGCGGATGAGAGGACCTTGCGTTTTCGCGCATGGTCAGGTTTGTCAACCACATCCGCAAGGTGGTAGTGAGTGCCGGCTGTGACGATGTATGAAGGGTCCTTGATGCAGCGCGTGTTATGCCCGTAGATGTCCTTGATGGCACGAACGTCGCCGTAGGACAGAGTGTTCGGACCTGTGCGAAGGACAGGGTGCCTCTGATGGAGCTTCTGGAGTTCGAGTGACCGGAACCCGCGAGAAGCCATGATCATGAAGGGGATGGCCGAGATGCCAGAAAACGTTGACATGTTAGGGTACCGGCGGAGGCCTATCTCGCATCAGTACCGCCATGTATCAGCAAAGGGAAAGGGATATCCATACCCTTTGGGTCCCGGAAATATTCAAAGACCGGCCTTACCACAAAGTAGACCAGGGCCAAAAGGCCGATGACAGCAGCGTAGGTGACTGTGATCATTTTGACTGACTTGCTCAAGCTGTAGACCGAGACAAAGTCATCTTGATGATCCCGACCCCTCTTATACCTGGGTTCATACATGGGCGTAGGCGGACAATATTCCCCTAAAAGGTCCTTGAAGGGTCCCATGGAGGAGCGGACAGAATTTCCCCTCGCAGCGCGGGTATTGCAGCTTCCCGGCATTTGATCGGAATCCAGATTCAGTCTGTGCTCTGTCTGGTCTGTGCAGGACTGCAGGTTCCCCACGCCTTGCCTGGAGAATTCAAGGGTCAGCTGCTATTTTTGCCTTATCTGACGATGGTCCAATGTGGATTTCTTACCTTTTCCCGGCTGCCATCCAGACACCCTCCATGCTGACCCCTCCTGCATATGCAGTGATGCACCCGTATCACAACTTACTCCTACATAAAGAATTCACATCTAGCACTACTAGTAAGAATGGAAGCCACAACAGTATAGTTAGATCTCGTCAAGGAAATTCGTCTCATCATGGTCATCAATATAGCCGGTCGCAATCATCACCAGAAGGCAGGCCATCCCGCAAAGAGATGGCCAAAAAGCAGAGAGGCGACTTCAGAACGCTGCACCATAAACAAAACCCAGAATACATATCCTTTTGCAAGTCATTCACACAGCTTTATGGCCACAAGTCCCCATGATAATGTACCTCCTCCATACCAAGACAAATCACCCTGGCAGGCGTCCCAGTCATGTCTAGAACAGAGGCAAGCAAAGAAAATGAGGTCCAGTGGAGTCCGGGCAAACTCGGACAAGCGACTGATCACTCAGAACAGTGGGCAAGACGTGTTCTATTAGAAAGTAAGAAAACCACAATGCACCCCGAGAAGAAATTCAACCGTAAAAAATCCTTTTTGTCTTGCTCCTTTTCCCCAAATGTTTTTGTTCGTTTCTCTCGTGTTAAAAAGGAAAAAAAAAAAAAAAATTAGCGACGGCCAGCCATAAGGCTGCCTCCTGCCTTCATAGGTTGAAGGGCAAGAGGCACGCCTACTGGGCCACCCACGCTTGTGTCGGTCAGGGTCTTGCGACGCTTCGTCTCGTAGTCGTCACGGCTGTCCGGCCGACCAATTCGGTCATCGTCGTCCTCGCGCATACGCTTGTTAGACCCAAGAGAGCCGTTCAGCCCGGTGGAGTAGCCGGAATTGGACGCGACGGCGTAGTTGTCTGAAGCTCCGTTTGTCGCAGAGGTCCCTCGAGTATCGCTGACAATGTTGTACAGACTGCTAGCAGCCGCAGATCGCGGAGGTGTGGTGTACCCCGGCGCCCATTGAGGAGCGGCTCCACTGGTGCGAGGAGTCATCCGACCTGATCCGTTCTGCTGCGAGGGCGAGCCTGTCATGTCAGGCGTGAGCTGGGAGTGATCGCCGGGCAAACCATTGACGGAAGGGTTTGCGCTATACGAGTATGCGAACCCGTCTCGGCTGTAGCCACTGTTATGCTGCACATATTCCGGGTCCTGCTCCGTCTCTGAGGCTGCACTGCCAACATGTCCACTTTGCCCGTAACGCTCGGGCTTTACGTCGGCCGGTTCCGGCTCCGGTTGCCCTGCCGAAGCACGACCGGACGACGGCGGTGCCATATCACCCTTGAGATAAGAGCTGGTCTGCATTGAGTGTCCGTACGGAGCCATGGCCTGCTGGGTCATTGGCTGTTGAGTGGCATAGTGAGGGTGTGCTGGAGGGGCTGCCGAATACGGTTTTGAATCGTAGCTGGACTGGGTTTGGTAAGAATGCATTCCCTGCAGATTATTCCCAGGCGGCGTCGTCGCTGGAGTCGTCGGCATCGATCGTGCATTGGACAAGGTGGTGTCGATAGATAGAGGCTGGGAGTTGGGAACCCCAGAGCTCATTCCTTGGTTCCACTCATAGGAGTTTCCTTGGTTGGTAATAGCCATGAGGCTCGACGCACTAGCAGGTGGGGTAGGGAACGTATGAGCGCGGTCGAGAGGGGGTCGGCCTCCGGGTTGCGACGTCATCGTGTGAGGTTGGGACATATGGGCAGGAACAGGTGTCTGCAGCGAATGGTGATGGTGTAGGCTGGGAGGTTGAGATTGAGGCGTGCGTGCGGGTTGGGGTCCTTCAAGTCGGCGCTGTTGCGACTCCTGCACGACCATGTTTGTTCGGGTCTGGTTGCTTGGGTGGTACAGCAGGCTGCTGATGTTGTGTACAAACAGGGGATACAATAGATCTGTGATCTTCTCCTTGTTCGCAAATTCCAGAGCTCGATCGAACGGGATCCTAACCGGGGTTACTGATTGATCTAGAGGAGTATCCCAGAAGACTTACCAAACGCCTTTCAGATGCATCGGGCCGATCTTGACCACATTTCTCGACTTCTCGCTCTTGAGGATTCCATCACGGCGGCCTCTGGTCATGCCCGCAACATTGAGCAGTTTGGTTCCGTTGATCATGTGGTTATCTGCGAAAAAAAAAAATCAATTGGAGTTCTTACCCCAGATAAAAAGATCCTCACCTTCTCGTCGAGCGACGCAAACGCCCTTGGCTTCTACCTGATAGCACAAACTACCCTCATCCTCCCAAAGTGTCGCGGTAACTCTTGGTTTCGCACCCGGAGGCGTCATCTGACCAGTGGGATCAAAGACATACCCTTGCATTGGCGTTCCAGTGGTGTTTCCATACCCAGGCGCAGTTACAGCGTGGCTGGTCACTGATCACAAGTCAATATCAAAACCTCATCGAACACGATTCTCGAAACTTACCAGGTAGAGGAAGCAATTGAGCCGGAACTTGACTGCCCATAGACGTTGCCGGCGCCTGTGGTGCAGACTGAGAGGAAGTCACACCATTAGGGTAAGGGTACGGTGAGTACGAACTGGCCGGGCCATATGTGGAGGTAGGCTGTAGTACTGGGGGTTGCTGTGGGTACTGGTAATGCATCGCCCCGGCAGTCGCAGGATGAGACGCATAGGGCTGTCCGGATGACAGATGCGAGTGGACATCCATGTACGGTTGTGGTTGGTTCATGCTGGTCATGTGGGTCTGGTTGGGATAATAGCTCTCACTAACAGGGTTCTGTTGGATGCTGTATTCCTGGGAGGCAGAAGAATCCAGGGAGAGTCGGGCCTGGCTACCAGCTGGCAGCTCCGCAGACGAGGGTGGCGGGCTTCTGGGTTCAAAGACCGGCGCAGATCCGGACAAACTGGTCCTGGCGCTGCTCTGGTTCGACGAGGCCGACGCGTCTTCGTAGCTAGCCCGATAAGGCTGCCCCGAGAGTGGCGCCTGCGGGGCCGTCGGTAAACTTAGAGCTGGAAGTCGGTCGCCAGACAACAAAGGTCTCTCTGCAGCGTGAGGATTATACCAAGGAATATCAACAGGACCTCTGGTGTGGACCTGGGAGATCGACGGGAGCTCCAGCTTTTCGGTTGGCGGGGAACGGTTCTAAGAAGTGAAAGTTGAGAGCGATTGAGAACGTTGAACTCGAGGAGATCCAACGTTATACGAGCGCGGTGTGTTTTTGTTTTCAAAATGTCATGAGATGGGAAAAGAGATGTCGAGAAGACGGCGATGTCGTAGCAAATATGCAGTAAAGTAAAGTCGTTTAGAGTGCAAAGTCCAATAACGTAGAATAAAAGGCTCCAACAAGCAATGCGAAAATGCAAGGATGTGCAATCGTGGGCAAGCTTCGTGAAACGTCGTAACCGTAAACAGGCGCTTTAGATTGCAGGCAAACGGGTCGAGAAAAAAGCAGCTGCAGTTGGATAAGTGGCTGAAATGTACATCCGAATGATTTCGAAGAGCTTTGGCCGGCGGGGCTCAACAGAAGAAGCACGGAATCATGGGTCTCGTTTCAGTCATAAAAGGCGGAGCGGGGAAGAGGCGACGAGGTGCATCCGCGTTGGAGAGCGGATACAAGTTTATGTGTTCGCACAAGGCCAAAAGCGAGCAAGATAAGTGGCAAATGGAGGCAGATGATATGCGTGCTGCAGCAAATTTTAAATCAGGCTCGTACAAGAGTCGTAACAGGTCGTAGCAGGTCGTTGAAAGTGGCAAGGGGAGGGAGCTCCAGATGAAGAGCGAAGCGGGAGAAGTCTAGAAAGCGAGCAAAGCAACAGTGAGTCGAGGGGTCATTACTCGTAGCATTGGAAGCGAAAAGGTGTGTGGGTGAGAGGAGGAATGGTCGAGACGAGAATGGGACGGAACGCGGCGAGTATGTATAAAAGGCGTCAAACGAAAGGGATGGAGATGGAGAGCGACGCGGACCAGGGAGGAGAGGAGCAGCAGAGGAAACAGAGGGAGGCCGGTGGAGACACTGGGAAGGGGAAAAATAGAAATCCGAAGGGAAAAAGCAAAAAAGGGCCTGGGAGGGTTGAGGATGGACGAGGTCGGAGGGGATCCCAGGAAAAAGAAACAAGGGAAGAAAAAAGCACCAAATTCTCAGACACTAGAGGGCAAGGATCCAGGCGGTAACCCCGTCAAGAGCAGAGGCGTCAAGAATGGCGAGGATGATGATGATGATGATTGCAGAGCTGCAGCTGCGGCAGATCATACAGAAAGGTGGAGAGGAGGCTGGGGGGAGCACAGCAAACGTGAGTCTAAGCTCAGGCTAGTTCTCAGAGTGCGCAGACGCTGGCAGAGGGATTCGGGAACAAGAGGGTCAGAGGCAACAGAGTCAAGAGGGGCTTTCAAGTTTCGGCGGTTGAGCGGGAGGCTGGCCAACGCAGCGCCATGTATCAACACTGGAACAGGTTGACAGTTCCAGATTCCAGAATACTGGATGGTGCCCCTTCTTCCAGACAGCAAAAAGAAGAAACCTTGGGACGTACCGGCACGTGTGGTGTTCAGTTGAGACCTGCTGCTGCGCGGGAATGTAAGAGAAGCTGCAAGGCAGAATTGCTTGCCAAACTGTCTCTGACGCTGGCGCTGACTTTTAAGGCCGGTCGGCGAGCAAGAGGGCGCGGAATTGACAAGAAGAGGAAAAAGAAAGAAGATTTGAGGCCTCGCTATAACTCCTCCTGGTCCTCTTAAGACAAGAAAAAGGAATCAAATAGTCGTTAATCAAACCCAGGTGTCAGCAATAATTCAACACCCAGGGCCAAGTGGAAATACTGCACTGTAAATAAAATTTGCATTTGCGCAGGTGGGGAACTGAGCGCGACCAGCGAGAGGAGCTGCCAAGAGGGGAAAGAGCTGGTCGGCTTGGCTTCTGGAGCAGCAGAGGCCAGAGGACAAGCCGCCACCAAGCAAGGACCACGCTGGTGAGCCAGGGACGCTGAGGCTGGTCAGACCGCCTGGAGGCTAGACAAACACTCGATCTGATTAGGACAAATAATCTGACGGCTAATCGAGCACTGACGGAGACTGCTGCGATCGAGCTGTAAGTCATTTGATCGTGGATAGCGAGGGAGGCTACTAGTGGGATCGCTGCTAATCTATTCCTTCTACGATCAGGTCTCTCTCAGGCTCTCTCAGTTCGAGTCGCTTTTCAATCTCAGAGAGCAACAGAGGACTCCGTATCTGCTAGATACTCATTTTCAGATCAGTTCGGCGGTCCGTCTCCACGATTCCGGTCGGTCCCACTGAACCATGAAATCATGAACCACGGACAGCATCCACAGCAGAACTATAACGCTCCAACGTCTCAACAGCTCAACAGCTCATCTCAATTCCAGGAAACGATCTCGAATCAAAGGGTCAAATGGCGGTGACTTACTTGGGCAAAGAAGGAGGGCAAAAAGTGAGGACTGAACAGGGGTGGAAATAATCATAATGGTCGGTAATAATACACATCAACCAGGCTAAACCCACTGACCAAGTCGAAGGAAGATTCGGTGCTTTTTCTCCCGCTTTTCTTTTTCTTTTTTTTTTCTTTTTTTGCTGCTGTTTCAAGAAACCACCCGAAGCCTTCCTGGAGTCCACCCCATTGAATCCGCCGCTGCCCGCTTTTTCAAGATCATCGCCATCGCGAGCTCCTCCTGCACAGCATCCCCTCCTCGTCGTCACTGGCACTTTCGTCAATCGCTCTCGGTCACCCTGAAGCCCAGCCCAGCGTGTGGTAACTTGGATTGTAAAGAGAACCAATGCAAGCACGCGAGAAACGACCAAGGAGGTTACACGAGGCAGAAGCAACCCAGCAGAGTGGCAGGGATGTGCGCCGCCAGCAAAGAGAACCAGTGGCCGAGAGGGCACCACGAAATCAAGTGGCGGCGATCTCCCAAGGCTCTGACAGATTTATTCTTTATTTCTTTTTTTTTTTGGTCTTTTCCATTTCCAAATTCCAACTCTGGAGTCTGGCGCCCAGCCAGCTGTCACTCTTCAACTTGTCTTGTCTCATCATCGGACCGGTCCCGCTCTCTTATTCGAGGATACACGCTGACGAGGGGAAGTTAATCTGAAGAGTCACTACTGTTGGTTTTGACTGTTGGGAGTTGACTATGACATGCTAAGTTTACTCCTGTTCTCCTGAGTTCTCCCTTCCTGCTACTGTAATCTCGGTCATGCCGAGCTCAATATTCAGCCTCAATCGACCAGAGAGCCGGAGACTGGAAGACTACTCGGAAGGATCGCGGATGGAAATAAGGATGGTGACCTGTCAACCAGCACCATCGGGTCCAGTACGAAAACAAGATACCCAACGCAGGCAAGACTCTCATCAGAGAGACCACTGACCAGATTCCAACGTCAGACTTAAACCTTCAAGGCGAGACAACCTCAACAAAACAAATAATAGATACAATGACCGTTCTCCCGATCAAGCTCTAAATTCTCCGCCGACCTACACATCGACAGCACAAGGTTGATGTGTCTGCGTCTGGAGCCCCGCACATGCACGCCCCGGCGCCACTATTGGCTCTGCTGCGTTTCACGAGACCTACGGTAGGTACAACAGCTGTAGAACATCAGACCAGACCAGACCAGACCAGCCGCCAGCGAAGCGTGCCAGGAGCCCGAGGACGAGAGCAGCGAGCAGCGAGCAGCGAGCAGCGGCAGCTAAGCTAAGCTAAGCCTGGGGCAGAGGCAGAGGTGATGGATGGATTAGCTGTGCGTATGTACAAATGTTAGTCGATGTACAGGACGGGGGCAGCTATTCCTTGCGTACAGATGTACATGTACATCTGCTGCTGCTAGTCCGCTAGGCTGCTGCTCAGACGTTTATCGTCCATCGTCCTTAGTGCTCGATCGAGCGTTCGATCTCGAGACTCCTTAGTAACTAGTTGACTACAACAGTCAAGGGAAAGTTAACTCAACAGACATCGATAGCACTAGCATCCCTCGCATAAAACCATCACTATCCAGCCGCTTGATGGACTATCTACCCCTCAATTGCCAATCGAGCGTACTACTATTAATAATTATTGAGGGATTCGCCCGTGACCTTTAGCGCCGGGTCGGCGTCGGGTTCTTCTGTCCCAGTCTCTCCTCTTCACCAAGTTATGTACATCATCAGTCTCCAATAATGCGAACTAATAGCCTTGGTTCGGAGCTGTGTTGGCCTAGACACTAACTAACAAGTAGTACTCTGTAGGTAGGAAGTCTAGTCTGCAATAACACCCTGCGGCAACACCAGGAGTATTTTCATTTCAACCCGCAATGAAGATTAGATTACCGGCCGCGCAACATCCAATCCAATCTCGTATGGTCGGTCATCGGATCCCCTCTTCATATCCATCCCATTCCATTCCTCAACCCATCAACGAGAGCCAGATTATTCGTTCCCCAAGGGCTTGAGTGTAGGCGACCGCCGACCGGATTGCGAGGGCCTCACCGCTGTTTCGCACTGATACCTCTTATCTCATCGGCTGTGAATTGGCAGGTGTTGCTCAAAGTTGTCCAGAGGTGATAGGTCCGGAACCTTCTTCTGCATCCTACCCCTTGCGTTTGGTCGCCCTAGTCGGTCTGTGCAGGCTGGGCCGGGGGAGGGGGGGGCTGGCTGGCTGGCCAGTAGTCGCTGTTGGCTGGGGCTGGGGCTGGGGCTATCCACGACCTCCTGCACTGACTGACAAGCTACCCCACCTTCTCTCCAACTGCCAGTGACAGTGAACTGATGGACTGGGATTCGATGGATGAATGGAGTCGGTGACTGTTTACTGTCAATCAATCCTCAGTCGTGGAAGGGAGGGAGACAAGTCGGTCTGGGTGTCTTATGTCAAGTGTTAGTGTTCTGGACGTACCGATAAACCAGATCGCCACTTCGATAGGTCGGTCGCTTGCTGTGAGCATGTTTGCTTCGCTTCGTGCTTGCTTTTTCCTATTTTCGCGCGGCGTCGCCATCATTGTGCTCTCCTACCAGTGGCAGTGAGTCGTGACAAATGCCTTGTCTGACACCCCTCCTCTACTGGCGAGAAGAAGTCCTGAGCAGGGGTCCGAGCAGCAAGTTCAAGCAAGCAAGCAATCAAACAGGCAGGAAGCAGGCAGCAAGCGAGAGAACGAGCAGACAACAGACACAGCCGATAACATGTCCTGCTATGTCCTGCCCTGCCCTGCTATGTCATGCTAGCTAGTGCCAGATTATCTCTTCCCCTCGTGTGCTACTGCTACGCGAAGCCCACACACACGCCCTCCCTCCCCAGTCCCGAGTCCAGAGATGAACGACAGGGAACTCCTGTCAGCACCCATGGCTTTCTTCTGGCTTCCTGGCTGGTTAGCAGCTCCCGAACTACCCAGGTAGGGTAGAGCTACGACTATGACATACAGCAGTGAGGTCCGGAGAAGTCAGAAGTTACCTAGCCCTGCTGCGCCTGCAACCGCTGAAGAATCGTCAAGCCCAAGCAAGCCCAAGCCCACAGAATCCGGCCGTCCCGTCCAAGCTTAAGCACACTTACTGCACGGAGCGGGCCGTCTCTTGCTCACGCAAGTAAGTACCAGGTACCTAATTCCTGGCACGACCATGGGAACGGTACAAAGATCGATCCAGCGCTTTTGCAGGCTGACACCAACACTTCGCCGTACTGCGACCACTTCGACTGGACGGCAGGATGGATCTTCGAGAAAGTCAAACCCGCACTCCTTTGTTCTCAGTCTCAGCCCTCCCAATCCTTCTCGCCAATCCGCAAATCCACGAAGACAAGGATTAGATCACGGCGCTACCGACGGGCCGACTCCCGCTGCCGTCGTACGTACAGGAGATCTTCCACTTGCGGGGCACTCGTCTCTCTGGCGCTGGGTTTCATTTCCATTACGAATTGATTCAGTCGATGACATGGATACGCAGAGTCTACCAGTGAAGGTGACTGAGCACTCAGAAATGGAAGAAACAAAGAGTCGCTCCCCGCCGTCTGGGGCCTGGGCTACGTCCACTCTAACCCCGAAGGAGGCAAAGCAGCTGACCTAGCGGAGGAAAAAATTGGAGCAAGGCGAGGAAGAGAAGGTCGACGATTGAACAAAGAGGACTGAGGCAGAGGCCAGAGCCTGACGAAAAGACAGAAAAAAAGCAATACTCCATAACCCACGGAAGCTCGGAAGCGCGAAAAGAAAAATTGCAAAAGAGCGTTCGGCGCTCGCACTGCACTGCTAAATTCCGAGAGCGGACTAGACCCGTTGACCAAGGGATTGACAGCGCATCATGATCGAGGGGCATCCCGGATCATGGAGAAATAATTGGACATGGGCGTGGCATGGCGGCAAATCAAGCGACTGGGCTATTTCAGTCTGTTGCCAGTGCTGGTGGGGCACACGTCTCTTTTTCTCTCTCGTTCGGCAGTTGAACTAACAGGTTTCTCTTGCAATCCGGCCATCTAGTGACAAATAATTCGCGACTGATAATTGGCAACCCCGGGTAATTTGGCTTTTGCTCTTCCCCCTTATCGTCCAGAGGCAACGGAGTGAATTCTGCGGCTGTACCTGCAGCCGTCATGCAGAGCCTCAGTAGTCCCTACATGAGTCGAGTCGACGGGCTTTACTCTGTCCGTCCATCTGTGCATAGCCTTACATTGACAGGACATTGCCATCCTGGGCTAGCGACATGCTTCCGTAACAGCCGAGAACCAGGGGACGAGACCGGGAAGATCAAAGATCGAAGATGCAGCAGCAGCAGCAGTTGGAGCAGCGTCCAAGCTCAAGCAACAGCGCCGCCGAATGTGCTCTGTATGTACGGAGCATGTACAGACACACTGACGTGTGCGAACGGTCCTGTCAGATTCAAGCAGGAAGATTTCCCATGTTCCCCCTGCGTTTCGCCCTTGTCTGTGTGACTTTGCAGTTTTTTTCGTTTCGTGCGACGGGTGATAATAATAATATCGCCATGGGCGTGCTTTTCCGACTCCCGAGTAGGCTTTTCGCTGGTCACTGTTCAGTTGCGACTCGCTCGTATGGGGCGGAGTATAGCTTACTCTCTGTCTCCCGCACTCGTCCTCACTGACACTATCAGCACCGTCAATCCCACTGGGGCCTGTAAGCGCCGCAATCAGACCCATCAGCCAATCAGTCCCCGCATCTACACACACCCCCTCCTGCTCTCATCCCGTCTCTCTCAGCCCTGATGACCCTTCTCCAATTCAATTCGCAGTCACGTCACGCCAGTCCTCTCTCACTGATGACTCTGTGGAGATCACTGGTCAGCAGCCGACAGTCAGACTCGGAAACTAGCCTTGCTAAGGAAGGTCGTGACTCGCTCATCTGCAAGCACGAAATAACCTCACATTGCAGCCGGGCTGGGAACCGAACCTTCTTCTTTATGGCAGAAGGGACTAAGTTAAGAGGATGAGATGAGATGAGCTGCGCTGCGCTGAGCCAGCGCACGGATATTCCGCATGGATTGTGGTGATCTTCGCTCGCCTCAGACTGTATCTTCCACTCGTCCGGAGTACTCTGGAGACTGAGCGAAAACCCATGAGGTTGCGGAGGCACTTAAGCCAGGAAGAAAGTGCCCAGCTCGATTCTGGTTTTTTGCTTTGGTTGTTCGGAGATTACCTTGGTATTTGTGTAACCTGCCCCGTCAATCATTGCAGGTGTTGGATCATCTCCAACCCTATTTCATCATTCGAGACGCGATGATGGTAAGTTTCGATTCGTGGTGCTGTCGCTCTGATTTCGCCTCCACATTTTGTCCAAGTTCCAATCCCGACATGCCGTAAGCAGCAAGACCGGAGGAGCTCAGACTGTCAGGTTCGACCACCGACGAAAACGAAAATAGACGGAAGGCGCACGGGCTTCCCCTCCTCAAGCAATCCACCACCCACCCATGAACACAACACAAGGAACTCCAATCCATCCATTCAAGTATCCCTCTGCTCGATTGATTGTCAGTCAGTCCCTGCTGATGATTCCTGATTCCTGATTCCTTCAACTGCGACAATCACTGACGCACTGATTGGCCATCCTGGGCAGGCTAATGCCTGGTCGATCCAGCGAGTGGCCGGGAGAGCGACCACGTAGCCGGCCTAGTGCCTGCTCCACTCCACGGACCACCTCACGATAACCGTCTCACCCACCCACTGGAGAATCAGATGTGGACGTCGAGATAGGCAGACCGGCCGATTGACTGGGTAAAGTCGAAGTCACGAAGCTCGGGATGGAGAGAGAGGAGTCGTCAAGGGCAAGTCAGCTGCCTCGCCTTGTCTTGTTCCCCTCATTATTCGAGAGTTTTGCTTGCGAGGCAGGACGGTTACTCTACTTTGCTTAACTTGAGGGTGAGGCACGGTTCTCCTCAGAGGCACATCTACAACTGAAGCCATCCCTGCGTTCCTCTCAGCGGTCCTGCTCTCTCCTCAGAAGGCTAGACCCATTCCACCGTCCATCCCACTTTGAAGGCTCCAAGGCTCCAAGCGCCGCGCTCCTCCTCTCATCGTCCGACGGAGGAGAACGGAGCCGCCTCCTCCATCTGAAGAGAACAGTCCGTCCTCGTCTCGTCTGACTGACTCCTGACTGACTTACTGACCATACTTCAACTGACTCTCCTCTGCGTTGGCGCTGTGTGGGCCTATCATCAAACCCCCGTCCGCCCCTTCCGCGACCGTCGACAGTTGCCCGATTTTCCAGCTGTGCTGAATTACAAATTTACCCTCTCTCCCTTTTCGTTCATCTTACGGTACTCCCTCGGTACCAGTCTAGCCCAGTCTGGCGTCCTAAGAGGCTTGGTCGGTAAGAACTGAAGTGAGAACTGAAACTATCGATTATTGACGATCGCTCTTGCTGCGTTGATTGATGATTGCTCTTTCAATATTATTTATTATATTAATCACTTGATTCCGATCCCTGGCGAACAGACTCCCTAGATTCATCTATCGAGGAGACGGGACAGCAAGCTAGCCGCCAGGATCCCCAATGGTCCTTATGGTGTGTGAGGCGACGTCCAAGTCCAACTGGCCAGGGATCCAGACCAGGGCGCCCGGTTGAAAGTTAGTTGGTGCATATATTCAGAGGTAGCGTAAGTCGGGCGTAGTGCGCCGCGCTGTGCGGGTTTCAGCTGCGGGCAGCCGTGGTGTGCATACAGATATGCATGGGGACTCCGAGTCGGCGCCTGCTGAGGAAATGGACTTACTCAGCTTCATCCCACGAGACTATCTCTATCTAACCACCAGTTGGCTACAAACTTCCTAGAAACTAGGTTCTGACTCTGGTGTTTGTTAGTGGAACGCAAGGGTCGGTTTTATTCCGAATCCTTAAGCTCTCGCTTGCACTCAATAGATTGGAATTCGATGATTTGAAGGCGTGGTGTGTTTGGATACCTGAGGTGTCTACCAACACATACGATGATTGAATCTGCGACACTACGCAAACCATGTTGCATCTAACGAAACCCGTAGGTTTATCCCTGGATGAATAATTCTCCTCCTCGCTCTGGATCAAAGTTTATCTGGGGGTAAATATAACCGAATAAACTCTCTAGTCATTGTTTGTGGCGTTCCCTCAAACTATATATTTGTCTCCGGAGCGTGTATAGAGAACTAAGCAGAGACACCATCTTCTACCACTACTACTCATACCATAAATGCACTCGAGTATAGATACGCTGGAGCAAACATGCAGTGGAAAGTAGACTAGGTAGTGTAGGAAGGTATGGTGGAATAATATACGAATCATGATAGCAATGCTTTTCACAGCCATATCTACACTCGAGTATACAGACAGACGCTGGGAGTGAACCCGAGTACACCCGGCATGGTAGGGTAGAACGTATATGCGAATAATATATAAATCATTATAGCTATGGTATGGTAAGCACGGACAATCGTCACGTCTAGGGTATATCATGATTGTACACAGTCACAAGCACGTCAGTTCATCTCGTCTCGTCTCGTCTCGTCTCGTCTCGTCTCGTCTCGTCTCTCATAATACATGCAAAAAACTACCCGAGCGCATAATGCAGCCGCAGCAACTCAATGCAGGCTGTCAAACAGAAACCGGGAAATGGAAGGAAAAGAAACACCGAAACCTCGGGGTCAAGCCGAATAATCACGGACTTGGTAGCTCGGTTTCCGTAGCTTGTTCACGACGGGCGGTGGCTCGTCAACTGGGTACGGTGGCCTTCCACCACCTCCCGGCGCTGTAGATGGGTGTCCGCCGCCCCCACCGGCACTCGCGTGCGCGGGGTGCAGGCCCGGACTAGGCATCGGCATCGGAATCCCGCCGAGCTCTGCCTGGTCTGGATAGGGGACCGACTGCGTGTGCGTCTGGGTGTGATCTGAGTAGGAGGGGTATGGGATCGGTGTCTTTGGGGGCACGGGCGGCGGGAGGTGTGTGTGGTTCACGTGTTCGAAGCTAAGCCTCTGCGGCGGAGAGTATGCGTGTTGTGAGGTTGGACGGCTGGGTTCGTTTGAGCTGATGAGGTCGGAGCCCGAGGTGCGGCCGGAGTGTGGCGGGACGGGGAGTTTGTCGTCGGCGGGTGTGAGCTGGATGAAGTCGCCGGGGAGTTCGGCAGGGAGTTCGAAGATGTTTGCGGGTGGTGGTGGCGGTGCCGATGATGGGGGTAATGGTGCTTGTTGTTGCTGCTGGGTTGGGCTTTGGGGGGCGGGGCCTGCAGCCGACGGGGAGATGACGGAGAGACGCGGGCTAGGTGCTAGCGAGGAGTTGTCGTCTTCGAGGAGCATGTTTGGGTCGTGGCCTGCGGCAACGTGGGCGTCGAGACGGCGGTGCATGCGCTCGATCTTGGCGAACTTGACGCTCGCGTCGAGGATCATCTTCTTCACGTCCGGCCGGCTGAGGTAGCGACGCGTGTTGGTGCTGATGTCTGCGAGGCGGTGCCATTCATTCATGCCGAACTCGCCGACGCCGACTTCCACGTTCAGTCGGTAGTAGTTGTCCTTGCTGACCCCGCGCTTGGGGAGGTGCTCGCGGAGCATGTCGTGGTGGATGTCCTCGCAGCCCTCGATCTTCGCAATCAGCCGGCGCCGCGCTTCAGCGAACGTGCCCAGGGCGTCGCCGAAAAAGTCCTCCCACCACTCATGCTGCCGGTTGTTGGTGTCTGGCGGGCGCTTGCCCGTGCCAACGCTGACAAACACGCCAATTTCTCGACCGGGCCACTCGTTGCACGCTGCCTCGTCTAGAATCGCTGGTGCGGGGTTATACGTACCGGCGCCCTCGTCAATGAACCAATGCTGCCCGATCTGAATCGGCTTGAAAGCGAGACCCGTTGCCGAGGTTGCGCGACCGGCCTGCCAGATCGTGCAGTTGAACTCGGGCGCGGGTTCCTTGCGGGAATCATAGGATCGCAGCAGCACAGCGGCGCCGCCCTTTGGCGTGCCCCGGTACAGCGCCGTCACGGCCGTCTTCGTCCGGTTCTCCCGATTATCATACAACAGCGCATCCGGATTCCCCCACCGTAGCCCATTGATGTACGCGGAACTCCGATTCGTAGTCGCACCAGAGTGCGTCGTGCTAAAACTCGCTCGGCTCCCGGAGCGCTGCGGAATCGACGTCGTTGAGAAATTCGGGCTGAACGGGGCATACGTCGGCGAGGTGGCGTTGGTGGGCGAAAGATCGTTCCCCTCTGCTTCGTAAACGGTGTGTTCGCGTACACACTCACGGATCGCCTCCTCGAGCTTCGACGCCTTGAACAGCGTCGAGCGAAACGGGATTCCCGCAAATGTTTTATCGGTCTCAAACACCCGCCGCGTCATGCGCACGTAGACGTCCTTGCAGGTCTCCAAGTCGAGGCGTAAGCGACCCAGCATCAGGGCGATAAGGCCGCCAGTTCCCGTGCCGGCGATGAGGTCAAAGTGGTCGCATGGTTTCGGGATCTGGTCGCGGCGCGGGGGTTTGCCTTCTGTTTCGACGTAGATGCGGTGCATCAGTTCCTGGAGGAGGATGAGCATCGAGTAGCCTCGGACGCCACCGCCGTCTGCCTGGTTAGTTGATTGTAGAGATAAAAGATTGGAGATGGCGGGCTTACCCAGGGACAGGATGCGGAGAGGCGGGCCTTTGGTGGTGTCTTTACGGCGGACGTGATCCATGGTGATCCAGTACGCAGTCGCAGTGGCATGGAGCGAGGGGAAACTGAAGAAGAGGGAATCGGATATGAAGAGGGGAAAATGAGGTCAGGCTGAAGTGGTGCAGCCAAGATCGTGCACAGCCGCAGGTTCAGGCGAGTGTGTCTCAGCTGGTGGCTAATTTAGTTTTGCTCAGGACAATGCATTATTCACGATTACTCCAGTCTCGACGTCACCAGGCAGCCGGATTACCCCATCATCTCTCTTCACGACACAGATCTTTCCTGTAAAAAGTCTACTAGTACGGTACCTATGCCAGACCAGGCCAATCTACGCTCACCGCGGTCAGTCCGTTTTCTGTTTTCTGGAACACGGTGGAAAGAGTTAAAAACGACCCGGGGAACTCACCGTAGACCGACCGTTCCTGCATGCGCCTCGCCACCACAACCTCATCGCCAACCCGCACCGTCTTCGAGTCCGACCTTGCAACCAGGAACCCATACCGCCCAAAGACGGGGCTATACTTGGCTCCCGAATCCACCCTGCGATCCGCCATGAGTTTCTTCAGCACTTTACCGGACTCGCCCTCGCCCATCTTGCCCGTTGCATAGTCCACATCTAAGCTGCGACACCGCACACAGTTGGCCGTCAGCAGCAGGCGAACACCTGACTTTTTATCCTCAGACTTGCCCACGACAAGCTCGGCCCAAAAGTCCTCCTCAAAGGCCGTCTCTGCTCCCTCAACAACAACATTTGCCCGGAACTTGCGCACATCCATCTCCTCCCCTTCCAACCGCTCCGAGACATTCGCCACCGACGTCTCCGACACAACCATATACGGCGCCGCATCGGCAAAGGTAATCCGCTCATTCTTCAGCTGCTCCCCCCTGATATAAAACCACCCCAGATATCCGCCCATAATAAGTGCCCCAGAAACAAGCTGCACAGTCTTGTTCGCAAAAACCGTTAGTCCCGACCTAAGCTCCAACACAACCGCAAGCACAGCCACAAGCACAAACCCCGCGATGACGATCCACGGATCCCTGACCGTCGCCGTCGCCGTCGCCCACGGACTGGATCCGAGATAAGCTTTGTGCGCAAAGTGCTTCGCAGGCGGGAATGTGCCCAGCACGCCGCGCCAGTTCTCCTCGGACAAGTATGCGAGGACAACATCGTATCCGAACCGCTCGCTGAACCAGGCGTTGCACCGCGCCCCCATGTTATACCCCTTTGTAGGCGACTTGTGCATCATGACGGCGAGTTCCTCGAGACCGCGCGTGTCTGGCGTAAGCGGGATGTCGAGGGTTGTTCCTCCGAGTCCTGGTTCTGCTTTCCCTCCGTGCCCGTTTGCACTCAGGCTTCGAGTCACACGCCCATTCGGCGTAGGCGTAGACAGGCTCTTCTCCCCTCTCTCTCCTCCCTTGAATGTAACCCTCACCCTCCCCTGGGAATCATCAGAACTAGACCCAGACCCCGGTAACAACAACTCCGTCTGAAACAGCGCCATCTCCGGGAAATGCGGGACGTGCATGTTCTTCAGCGTTGTTCCACCCTCGGCACCTTCAGCCGGAACGACCTTGAGCAGCATAAAACGCCTGTCATATTTGAACCCCGTACGCGTTGCTTCGGCGCTTGAGACAGGGACGCCGCGGAGGGATTTTATGGGGTAGATGTAGATCTATTTCTCATGATTGTTAGTGTCAAAGAATGAAATGTTTCAGTAGGGAGGCTATGGAGTGAGTGAGTCGTGGTGAGTCTCCCGTCAATATTTCTCGGAGTCGAGTCCGATTCGGAGACTCGTTGCAATCAAGCGGGGAGGAAATGAGCCAGGAAGTCGGTGGAGCTCCCGAGGGCGACGTACCTGGCTGATCTTCATGATTAATCAGTTGTTTCGTTATATATAGCGTAAATGTATCTCAAGGAATGTGTAAAGAGAAATCAAATAAATATGTACCGAAGTTGAAGAGTGTTGGAGGTGGCGGGACGGTGTCCAGCATTGCATTCCAGCGGCGTCGGGGCTGCTGGCCGGGACCTGGGCCCGGGAATCGCTGACTTGAAGGAGAGCGTGCATGCGGAGAAGGATTGGCTCGAGTTGGAGTCTAGCCTGGAGTAGTTGACGAGGGTTTCTTGGCGAATTTGGGCCTGTGGATTTAGATAGCTTACTTAGCATAGCTACATAGGTAGCTTACATACTAGCAGCCGAAGCTGAGCCGAGTACTGACTTTTTGTTGTGTTCATCGATCATATCTAACGCATAAGTACGATAATTTGGAACATGTTAAACCATGTCAAGCCTGGAAACAAGGCTGTGTCGTGTTGAACATAATACATGTATATAAGTGATTACTCCTTGGCCCATGGAAGACTAAAGGTGCCCGCCCAATCCTCCACCTCCTGCCGCAGCTGCACAATCTCTGAAATCTCCTCGCCATTACCGACGTACTCTAGGAACGCCTTGACCGTGTTGGGGTTCTTGACGCCCTTGGACGCCGCGCTCTCCTTGGCGGACTTGTCCAGCTTCTGTGTGATTGTGACTGCACGGTCGACAATATCGGCGACACGGCGGAAGTCCTCGGGCTGGAACCCGCGGGTGGTCATCGCGGGTGTGCCGAGGCGGAGACCACCGGGCTTCAGGGCCGATCGGTCCCCTGGGACGGTGTTCTTGTTGCTGGCGACACCGCACAGCTCAAGCACGCGCTCAACGCGGGCACCATCCACGCCGCGGTTCTTCAGATCAACCAAAACGAGGTGGTTGTCCGTGCCGCCGGACACGATGTTGTAACCGAGGCCGCCGCTGTTGAGCGGGTTGCCGAGACGCTCGGCGAGAGCCTGAGCATTGGCCAGGACCGTCTGCTGGTACGTCTTGAATTCCGGCGACTGCGCCTGCTGGAGGGCCACGGCCAGCGCAGTGATGGTGTGGTTGTGAGGGCCGCCCTGGTGACCGGGGAACACGGACGCATTGATGGGACCCTCGAGGTCGTACAGCTCCGGGTTGCCCTTCTTGTCCGTCCTGCGGACGCCCTTGCGGTAGAAAATCATGGCTCCACGAGGGCCACGGAGGGACTTGTGTGTGGTTGTTGTCACGACATCGGAGTTGCTGAACGGAGAGGGGATAACACCAGCTGCGACGAGACCAGAGATATGGGCCATGTCACTCATGAGGTATGCACCCGCATTGTCGGCGATCTCGCGCATGCGGGGATAGTCGATGAGACGGCTGTAGGCTGATGTACCAGCGATGATGAGCTTCGGGCGGTAAAGGAGGGCTTGCTTCTCGAGGGCATCGTAGTCGATGAGGCCGGTCGACTCGTCGAGGCGGTAGGGCAGGGTCTCAAAGTACTTTGAAATGAATGAAATCTTCTTCGTGGGAGTCTGGTAGCCGTGGGACAGGTGACCGCCGTGTGGCAGGTCCAGACCCATCAATCGGTCGTGTGTGTTGAGGAGGGCGGAGATGGCATACAGGTTTGCGGGGGAGCCAGAGAGAGCTGCCTCGTTAGCTAGGCAAGCTATACCATAAGTGGTACTTACGCTGGACATTGACACCCCATTCTTCCGGGTTGAGTCTGAAAGTCTCGAGCGCGCGCTGCTGGCATAGACGCTCAGACTGGTCGATATATTCGTTTCCACCGTAGTACCTGGCTCCGGGGTATCCTTCGGAATATTTGTCTGTTGAGTCAGTATACGCTTGCAATGCACAACGTTGGCGGGTACACACTTTGCATCACACTGCCCAGCGCATCCAAAACAGCCTGGGATGTAAAGTTCTCCGACGGAATGAGGTTGATAAAGTGCTGCTGGCGTTTTTTCTCCTGCAACGGGTGAGCCGAGGCGCAATGAAGCCGTGAGGGGAAGCTCGCTCTGACCTTTTCAAGAATGTTGTACACCGAAGGGTCGGCCTCTTCAAGCTTTGCAGACAGCAGCTGTAGCTTCGTTAGTTATAATTATCCATCCATTGACCATTGAGCTGTGTGCGCACCGATTGCTGGCCATCTCGACTCGATGATGACACCATACGGTGCCATTGTGGTGTAGGTGGTTGGAGTGCGGCGACAGGGCGCGGGAGGAGGCGCGAAGCCTGACGACCACAGCGGCCTAGCATTGTGAATGGGTACTCAGAGGGGAATTCTCTGGAGAGGTCTCAGAGAGAAAAAGAAGAAAAGAGAGTATAAGTAGATAGGAAGGCCTCTCCGCCGTATCGTCGGACAAGGTGACGTCCGCCGTTGCCCGCGGGAAGCTCACGGCGCTAGTCTCGATGAAGCCTAGCAACTCCGAGGGGCTGGTGCGGCGGAGAATGGATGATCCGTCGGCACACAAAAGGTGTCTGGCTCTCGCTCTTCCCGCTCTTTTTCTTTCTTCATCACACAACTAAATCCAAGATGAAGAATGGCGTTTTCTGGTCAGCTCTCGTGGATGTCCGGCTCGCTGGATATCCCGGGCGATGCGGCCATGTCCCCGCCTCTCACCATCCATAAGGGGCAATGAACCATCAGATTGGACTTGTAAGTTGTGTGGTTGCTCGTGCGAGCAGGCAGAGCATCAAGGAGAGGTGAAGATGGATGACAATTAGATGTAGAGAGATAGAGATAGCGTCAATAATGTCATGTCTTCATTCTACGATCTCTGATCTTTGAATCTCTTGCCCGTGAAGTAAAGTGATAGTCTCTGATCGTCAACAGAGCAGCAGAGACTTCATTGTAGACTGCCGTGTCGAGTCTAGACTTGCTCGCCGCTAGCCAGATTCTGAGATTGCAAGTCTCTCCTCAGCCTGACAAACGGGACCCTCAGACTCAGTGGCAAGGATGGATGCAAGGTACAGCTGGGCAAACTCTGATCCCATTGACTTTATACAGGTCAGCGCGTGACAGTGACAAACCTGCTTTGTCCCTTGAGTCGTGTCACTCTGCGACAATTCGCCCAGACAAGCTCGACCATACAGCGTCGATGCAATTCGCAGGGTATCCTCATATCAGGGTTTCACCCACCGCAAGGGACTCGACGCAACTATCGATCCCGACATGAACTTTCTTTGTGCGAGACTCTATCGCGGCTAGTCGATGATCCAGATCCAGAAAAAGGGTTGTCAAGCCCGTCAGGGGTTCTGCAGAGCCAAAGAGTGGTTCGCGAGCAAGTGCAGTTCCGTGGTCCGACGGCAATCAGTGGGCGCTCCTCATACTAGGCCCAGGAACAAGTCAACAGTTGTACCTAACCGCGATTAAATCTCCAACAGTCAGGCACAATCTGCAACTCTGACTCTGCAGCCCTGAGCCACTGCATCTGGACCGTCGAGTGGACACACACGACTGGCTGGGCCATGACAAGAACGTGGACTCGTGGAGAGCGCCCCTGATCCCCTCGAGTGGCCAACAAGACGGCTCAAGAGAAAAGGAAATTAGCCCCGGAATAGCCTCCACTAAACAACCCCTTAACCACGATATAATTCGACTAACGCACTGCACTAACGCACTAGTCTGCGTCCAGCGCAGAGACGCTCAGGAACAACCAGGGCAGCCAGGCTCCCTCAGGAGTTAGAGTAGTCTAGTTCGTGTTTATAATTACTCTCCCCCCGATTCCCCTTCCCTTCCCTTCTCTTCTCCTCTCCAGCCCGTTTCCGCTACACTTCCCAAGTCTGCCAAACGCACTCACTCCCGGTTTTTATACCGAGTACATTCTTTAACCTCTGTTCTCTGAACACCCACACTCTTTACAACAACTCATTCGCTCTTTTGTTCGACTTTTCCACACAAAACCCCCCCCAATAAATCAATCAAAATGAAGTTCTCCTTCGCTGCCGTTGCCGCTTTCCTCGCCGTTGGTGCTGTTGCCCACGGTGCTGACTCTGACGACTACACCACCGTTGTTGTCACCGAGTACACCACCTACTGCCCCAAGGCCACCACCCTGACTGCCGGCACCGAGACCGTCCCCGTTGAGACCGTATGCTCCCACCACCTCCAGAGGCCCATCCTCGCGCAGTGAGCTAGTATAGCGAACTAACAAACAACAGCCCGGAACCGTCACCCTCTCCAACGGCCCTTACACCATCACGCGCCCCCTGATCACCACCACCATCACCCGCTGCAAGGCCTGGTACGTCCTTACTTCCCAACCACCTATAAACATATATTGAACTCGAACGACCGACTAACAACATATCCAGCTCCTCCACGGCCATCCCCACCCCCTCTGTCCCCGTCATCCCCACCAGCATCCCCGTCATCCCCTCGGCCCCGACGGACGTCCACCCCGAGCCCACCGGCCCCGCCACGACCACCCCTGCTCCTCCTGCTTTCACGGGCGGTGCTAGCCGTGCGGCTGTTGGTGCCGGTGCCATGGCTGGTCTCTTCGGTGTTGTTGCTGCCCTTCTGTAAGGGGTGACTTTCAGGATTTGTGCGTGTGAGGAAGTGTGTAGTTGGTGAGTGGATGGATGGATGGATGGCGATGAGTTCAAAATTTACTATCCATCCATCTATTCATTCTGGTGGTCACTCGGGCTTGGAAGCAGTGGCAGTTTTTTGATTGATTGATTGAATGGAATTGTGGGTCGAGTCGAGTTGTCGAGTTGAGTTGATTGACTGATTTGGTCGATGAATACGACAGATACCATTACTACCCTACCTATTTCACTACCTGCTTTTTTGGCTCTTCTTGCTTCTTCATTCAACTTACTATATATCTTGTTCATGACTTGGCTGTTTCTGCGCTTTTTCCTGTGTATAACTGAAGTTAATTGGTAATTAATGCTGTTATGCTCTAGCGTCTATTCTTCTCTTTTATAGGTAAAGGAGTCGACTGCTATCAGGCTTAGTATCCAAGGAGATAAATGTAAGTATATAAGGTAGTGTCGTTAATCCTTGATATGTCACAGCTTCGCTTTGACATCCTTCGCACTCTCAAAGTACTCGCGCACTCTCCCCCTCGCAACCTCCACCACAGCCCGATCCTCCACAGTCGGCGGAACACTCACAGCCGCCTCAAACTCCCCTCTCGTCCCATTCTCCACGAGCTCCCTCAACACCCGCCTGAGCGTCTTCCCACTCCTCGTCTTCGGAATCATGCCCTGTCCCTGAATCATCCCACCCAGCGACGCAATCGCCCCAATCTGCTCACGGACAAGCGCATTCACGCCATCGAAAAGCTCTTTCGACGGCCGAGCAGGTAGCTCGCCCTGGCTACGCGGGGACGTCTTCAACTGCACGAATGCGAAGGGGAGATGGCCCTTTAGTGGGTCGGGGATCCCTACGACGCTCGCTTCCCCGATATCTGGATGCGACAGGACCGCCTGCTCGATCGCGCCTGTGCTGAAGCGGTGCGCGGCGACGTTGATGATGTCGTCAGAGCGCGACATGACGTGGATGTACCCATCCGCATCGATCATGCCTGCGTCGCCGGTGTCTAGCCAGCGCCCGTTGAAGCGCTTCAAGTAGCCCTTGTAGAAGCGCTCGTCGTCGTTAAAGAGGCGGGTGAATGCTGTTGGAGCAAGTGGGATCGCCATCACGATGTTGCCCATTGTGCCCTGGCGCACTTCGTTGCCGTTGTCGTCGACGACGCGGACGTCAAAGCCTGGGGCTGGGAGGCCCGCGGAGCCTGGGCGAATTGGTAGGGGGGCGATTTGGGATTCGTTCGGCCGTGGTGGGACGTGGCCGGCGGCGCTTCGGAGGGCAAGGCCTGAGATAGGCGAGCCGGACTCAGATGACCACCAGTTGTCGACGACGAGAGCGCCAGGGGCGGCATGCTTGTCCAAGAGGTCTTGGTACGCACGCACGATACTGGGCTCACTTCGTTCCCCTGCGAGGAAGAGAGCACGCAGGTGGCGGAGGTTGCCGTTGCCGGCTATCTTTTCGAACTGTTTGTTGTCCGGGTCTCCCTTGCGGATGGCTCGGAGCGCCGTGGGTGCAGTGAAGAGGACATTTGCCTTGTGCTCAGCGACAACCCGCCAGAATGTCCCTGCATCGGGGGTTCCGACGGGTTTGCCTTCGAACAGAACTGTCGTCGCACCGACTAGCAGCGGCGCATACAGGATGTACGAATGTCCGACGACCCAGCCAATGTCCGAGGCACAGAACATGACATCGCCGGGCCCATGGATATCAAACAGATATTTGATCGACAGACTGAGCCCGACTGCATGTCCGCCTGCCTCTCGGACGACTCCTTTGGGAAGTCCAGTGGTACCTATCTCGTCAATGTATGCAACATCATTAGGTTTAGGGACGGCGTACCACTAGTATAGATGACATACAGCCCATCCGTACTTTTCACTGGCACCGGTGCAGCACGGATCCCACGCATTCGCGCGCTCTTGACAAGTCGGTTCCAGTTGCGCTGCCCATCCAGTTTGTCTGGATTGTTCCACCGCAGCTGGTCCCTCTGCCAGATAAGCACCTTCTCCGGCTTGAAGCTACTCGCCTGGATGGCGCCCTCGACCAATGGCCGATACGGAATGACGCCCTTTGCCCCTTCAATTCCGCATGACGCTGTGAGGATAGCCCGTGGTCGTGCTGCCTCGATGCGCTGAGCCAGCGATTTGGCCGCAAATCCTCCAAAGACAGCAGCATGGATGGCTCCTAACCGGGCAATAGCGAGTGCACCAATCAGTGCCGCTGGAATCATGGGCACTGCAGCACGTTAGCCGGTCATCCTCATATCGCACTGGAGAAGGCATACTATAAATAATAACAACATCCCCCCTCCGAACCCCCTCTTCCCTCAAAACCCCGGCCAGCACCTCAACATCATCCAACAGCTGGCGATAAGTAAACCTCTCCTTCTTCCCTGTGACCGGAGAGTCCCAGATAATGGCAACATTGTCCCCATTGCCACTGTGCACGTGACGGTCAACACAATTGTACGTAGTGGAGATCTCACCGTCCGGGAACCACGCCCAGGACTCATGGCTGGCGCCACTGGGCAGCGTCTTGGTTGAGCGGCCGAGTGCACGTGATGGCGCCCTGTGCCAGTGGAGCTGCTGTGCGTGGTGAGACCAGAATGTCTCGGGGTCGCGGAGGGAGGCAGCGTGCACGGCGCGTTGTGGGTGTGTCGATGCCAGGGTCATTGTGACTGGGAGCCTGGCTGTGCTGTAAAGGTTACTGTTTCAGGATCTGGGTTCCTTCAGGTCGGGTTGTCAATAGCCGAGCGAGCACCAAGTAAGTGGCTGTGCAGGCAGCTCTTGACTAAAGGGCAGCTTCTGATTGATGGAGTGGAATCAGGTGAAGAGCGTATGCGAGGGACGTATTGGAGTCCGTTCCCGTACCTAGGTAGGACGGTAGTAGAAGGAAGCCGGCGAGGTCAAGGCTAAATCTGCAAAAAGAGAAAAAGCAATCCTTCGGAGAGAACTGTCGGCAAATGATACTCCGTGAGTTAATATGTCCTAAACTAGGTTCCTCAGGTGGTTGGAGTTGGGAATTGGGAGGTGGAATGTCTGGGTCGAGTGTGGGTCGAACCCCGGAAATGGAGCGGGGATCTGGTTTGTAGCGTCAGTCCTGTCGTGAAAAGTAGAATCGAGATCCCCCCTTCAGATGGAGAGAACTTGTTTTCAAGAGAGTAAGATCCCGAATATAGCCGTGGACGAAGGGAGAAATCAGACCGAGGGTCGGGCGGCGCGTTGCAGAGCACAGGGCAGCAGCAGCAGCTTTCCCCGCACTCTGGCGACAGCCGTGGGGAACTTCCCCTTCCCGTCCCTTGAGTGGCTCAGCGCTGGGAGCAGTCGGGTATTTGGATTCCGAGCCTGCTTTAGCCAATACGCAACTACAGTAGTTGATACATTGATACAATATAGTACGCTCATTGAATGTTCTAGGTTGATTGTATGCTTCTATCGGCAATGATGTACAGAGTAGTGTACTCCTCATTTTTTGCTGCAAATGCATCGAAATTTCACAACTCAAAGCTCAGCCGTAGGGTATCATATCGCAATGCCTGCTAAACGGTCGACTGTCCTCTTGGTACCTCCTTGGCCCTGTGTCCACCGCTCGTTATCCATTCCATCGTCGCCTCCGCCTCAAGTGTCCATTTCATCCCTCCTTCTTTCCGATTCATCTCACCTGATCTCGGCCAACAACTAAACTTCCTCCAGTATCCAGTATCCAGTATCCAGTGGGCAGGGGTAGGGGCAGGGGGTCGGCAAAATCAGGAACCATCGGAAAAATAGGGTTATAAGTAGTCGCGAATAGGGAAAAAAGATGTGCACCCGAAAGAAAAATAGAATCGAAGGATATCACTCCTGTCCCCTGCCCCTTGAAACAGATGGTAAGGATCTCTCTCACATGTCCAGACACCTGCGATTGATTCGAAAAATATCGCCCTCCCACATCGCAATAATAACCATAAATCCATGCATCAAGCATATTCACATATCCACCACTGCAGCCGCGGATATTCGGCTGGAGGTATAAAAAAAAGAGGTTTCGGAAGAAGGGGCAAAAGCGCAGAGTAGATCGAGCACGGAGGACGAGCCCGAGAACCGGCAAGGCTACTGGTAGCCAATATAGACAAGAGAAGGATATCGTCATGGAGCAAGCTCACATGAATTGTCTAAAAAGCAACTGGGTAGTATCGTAGGGAGAAAATGGGATGATGTGGAGCAACCATTGTATCGGTCGCAAATGTACGGTAGGTTGTTTGATGTCTCTCTTGAAGTTGCGAAAAAATAGGCGAGACGACCAGCAGCAGCTCATAGGATTCTACACCTGAGGCCACTGCGGTGTCGAGAACGGTCGGGGCGGAAAGATTTAGGATACTCAGGCCCGGAATCTCGCATCGGACCTCCGAGTCCGGTCGTGCGGCGATGATCTTGAGGTCGCTGTTGTTGGATGCGCTGGTTGCGCAGCATTCTGACGACGTCGTAGAACGCCTTCTCAACGTTGATGCAGTTCTTCGCGGACGCCTCGACAAACTCACATCCAAGATCCTTGGCGAGCGCCTGGCCCTCCTGTGCTGAGACTGCTCGCTCGACAGCCTTGTCGCTCTTGTTGCCTACCAGCATGACGGGGACTGGGAGTGGTGGGCCAGATGGAGAGTTCATCGGCGACCCTAGGTAGCTGGCGCCTGAAGGCGAGCCGGAATTTGCCGACTCCTTGACCATCTTAATTTGGTTGTAGAATTTCGTTATGCGAGCAAAGGAGGCACGCGACGTAATGCTGTAAACCAGCACGAAGCCCTCGCCGTCTCGGATCCATTGGTCGCGCAGTGCGGTATACTCCTCCTGGCCGGCAGTATCGAGAACCTCCAACATGCAGGATTGTTGATCGATTACGACCTGCTTTCGGTACGAGTCTTCAATGGTCGGGTCGTATGTCTCGACAAAGTGGTTTAAACATAACTGTTGGGGAGAAACTGGTGAGTCACAAGGCAGATGACTGCGGGGGAGGGTCAATTGCGAACCTGAATTGTGAGTGCAGTCTTTCCGACACCACCGTCTCCCAGCACCACCAATTTGTAAAGCGTCATTTTTCCAGCCATCGCGACAATAAATTGCGGGCCTCTCTAAGGCACCGAGAGAATGGGAGGGAAGGATGGATTTGAGGGAAGAAGAGAAGAAGAGGGAAAGTAGAAGAATAAAAGGTAAATTGTCGAGGAGAGGGAGAAAATTAAAGAGATCGATCAAGACTCCGCGAGGAGCACGGACTCGTGGAAGCGGAGAGCAGCGAAAAGCTGGGCCTGGAAAGGGACGGGCTATTTTGGTAGTGCGATTAGCCACCGGAGAAATCGACCTGGTTGCTTTAGGCTGCTGGCCCAACCCACATGCCAATGCCGGAAAAGAAGCAGGGATAAATTTTTCCAGCTGACTAGAACCACGTACCTTAGAACCGGGATCTTGAGAGTTTCGCGAAGAGCGTCCCTGCTGGGGTTTAAAAAGGAGCAGAGAAGTGAGAAGGAGGGGGAGAAGAGGAGAAAGGTTGGCCTCCAACTAAAGTTTTGGACTCGAGCAGCTGCTGTCGCAAATAAGCGGCCACCAACAGCTATGAATGGTACAAACGGGGTCGGATAAAGGAAACTTTCGTCGGAACCGCGGGCAAATGCAGGTAAAAAAGCAGGCCAAAATAAATAGGTCCAATATGGATGCGAGTCGTTTTCGGAGGGACGAGTGTTTTGCCCAAGCTTGGAGTGTGAGCTGGTTCTGCCACGTGAGGGGAAACACTGGGAGAATATGATCGTTGTGTACAGGTTCTCCTAAGAGTTGTAGCTCGCCTGGCGAGTTAGATGGCGCGGATGCATAAAACCGAGCTGGGACAAAAGTGGCTTGGCCAGCAAGGACGAGCAGAGGTATCACAGCTCAAATGGGAGGTGAACGGAGGTGGTGGAGGTTGATTGGGGTGAGGAGGAATTTGGAGGGGAAAGGGCGAGGTAGACTCAAGTCACTTACGGCAGCAGAGAGACAAGGGAACAGAAGGGAAAGGGAAGGGAAAAAAAGAAAAGACTTTTCTTGATAGACTTGATACGTCGGTGGTGGTAATAAAGACTAAGAATTGGACGCGATGATCTCAGGCAGTCTGGATGGAACGGAGGGGAAGAGGCAGAGCAACCGCAGCAGCACAACTTGAGACCGTTAGACACAAAAGTGGCGTAGTCGCTTCTGGGGCTGGCTCATGGCAGAGACCCACGATAGGAGGCTGGCGGGCATTGATCTATCAAATTGGCTGTTCAAACTTCGAAGTGACATTGGACGATGAGGTTGTTACAGAATGCTGTTTCATCAGTCCACTGCTTGGGCTTCCATCAGTGCATCCCAGCTTTGACGTATCTATCGCTCTGGTGTCTGCCAGCTTCTACGCTGCCCTTCTCGGCTGGAGCTGTCCCGCTCACAAAGTCTAATCAGGTCAAAGCTGCTCTCGTCGCCAAAGTTTCTGTCGCTCGTCTTCCACTTTATTTGGCCACGGCGAATCAACGCCGTAATCAGAGGTCTTGGGTCGACAGGAAGCTGTCCCAGAGCGGAGCCGATCCAAAGTTCCAGAGTTCCCCCACCGAGCAAGATTCCGTTGGAAGTGCAACAAAGAAAGGAGCTCAGCTCAGCCTACTGAAAAGCCAGAAATTGGTCAATTTGCATCGCCCGCCTGGATTGAAGCAACAGACTCCCCACCGTTATTCAGGGGACATATATCGTAAGCAGAATAAAGAATAAAAAAAAACGGTCCGGCAACCTCCAAAGGCTACTAGCAAATATCGCAGGATTGAGGATTCACGTTAATAGCATTTCCACGTTACACCCGACCCCAACCGGAAGGAAAATCGAACATTCCGCGGGCAATAGTGGCCAGGCTAGTACCAATTCCCAGGTTCTCGGGACTCCTGATACACAATTCTCGCCCCCAGGTGTCATTCTAGCACGTCCTGCGAGAGGGGCCTGCCAGGTTAAGCATAAGCCATCGTTTCGCACAACGCAAGATGGCGGGACTATATTCCGGACGGCGTTTTGAATGACGTTTGCTCGCCCCGCTACTGGTTAGACTATTCAAACTCCAGAAAGCCGTTCTGATTCTTTTCGTGTTGTTGCTGCCGAGTTCCTGGACTTACAAAGCTGCAGAACGGACAATCGGCTCCTCACCAGGACTAGACTCAGGCTCAGAAGAGTATCTCTCCTGGCCCATGATAGTGGGGTGGGGGTGCCCTTAGACCTTCCCCTATTGGCATCGGCAGAGTACTCCAATTCCATGTCTTGGCCGTGACTGATGATTGCCCAATTCCGACCCCAATGCGGGAGAAACGCCATCTTTGCCCAGGCCATGAACTAGTAATCAGGTTAATAACCCGAGAAAGAAGGGCGAGGGGAGCAGTGATCTGAACACACCCTTTGGACTGTTGAAATGAACGTCCAGATGCCCGGCCCGGCCCATGGCGGGACAAGGTTCCATCAGCTAGCAGGGGTTTACCAAACGGTGTCTTCCACCAACGTGGAAAGTCAGGCACGAGACGGGATGGAAGATTGAAGGGCATTGCTGGTGCTCATTCAATTTGGGGCGGAATTATCAGGATTTAGCCTATGAGATTACTAGGCCTGAAAGGGAAACCCTTTCCTCGCTCAAGACCGCAAAATATTTGATCGCAAATCGCAAAATCCCACCCCTTTGAGCTGAGAAAGCTCGTGAAGAAAATCAAGAAACCTCAGTCAGTGAACCAAGCACGAGCGGTTGCCCGGGGCCGTTTTCTTTTCCCACGTGGATGAGCGAGGAGAGATCATACGGAGGTTGTGTGCCCGATTCTCGAGGCCACGGACTATACAATGGTCCGAGGGTTTGACAACTACTATCGGTGCTGATATTGATTGCAGAGCGCAGATTGATATGGAGCACCAGTCGCGTCTCGACCATTAATTTCCCCCATTAACATCGCTATTATTATCCCATCAAAATCTCCCTGACTAAAACACCCAGGGAGACAGGGTCAATTATGAATGCTTGTAACCTGAATCGAGTCGGAAGCACCTCCGCCCCATCCAACACTGTTGCTCAAGGAGCGAACGGTGATGTCAACGCTGTAGGAACAGCTGCTAGCTTGCAGGGAGATGCATGCATGAGCATCACCACCAGAGAGAACTACTACTGCATGATCTAGATCCAGCGGTGCAATACATGCACCCTAATCACACCAACCGCCGCCCCAACGCAGCCCAGAGGCCGCGGCAACCGAGCATCAAACCATCGCTTATTTATCCTTAGGGGGCATGGCGAGCAGAAACATTGACTTGCTCACTCGATCTGCGACTCTGAGAGCTTTTGAGGCGTCCCGCTCCCACCGCGATGAATCCGGAGAACCCTGCGCCTATGGGACTTGACCCTTGAACTCCGATTGTTGAATGTTCAAGCATTGTTCTTGAGATCATTATCGTGATGAACTCGCAACTGCATGTTGCGAGTCGAAAAGCCAGCCTCTGCGCATCTGCGCTTGTTTGATTTTCCGGTGGTTATTGCGCGTTTGTTGGAATCTCGCAGTTGCTACTGATTGGCTGTGCACAGGTACTTTGGGAACTTCTGTGATAGCCGATTCGAAACGGCTGCAGACACCAAGCCGGGCTCGGTTAGCCCTGCACGCTGCGATGGCGCCAGCGGAGAACTGATTATCATATCAGATAGGGCCATCCCGTATGATTCCCAGAATTGAGCGAGGGTTTACGATGATATGTATTGTCGATTCGTCCCTTGTCAAGGGAGAGAGACTCGTAAAACCGGTTGGGTAGAGCTCAGGAGCTGCCCGAGCTTCAAAGTACGAGCGAGACCTCAAACTTCAAAGACATCAGCCCCGCTGCCCCGCTCAAGCTCTCGTCCGTTAATTAGCTCCAAAGAGTCCCGGTTTTGCTAAGTCATCAATCATGCACTCGGGTTTCAAGGTCACTACTGCTGCTGTCCTCCATATGTACACTTCCAAAGAGCCGGCCACGTCGTCGACTACGCATTCTCCTTATTCGGCCTAATTTGTATCTTTGACTTCACTAGTTGCAAGTCCAGCGTCGGTATCAAAGAATAAGGATTGACGATGGCCCCGTGATCCAGAAATTTGGGCCTTCTTAAGCTCTTCGGCGCACTGCCCTTTTTTCTGCAAGAGCCGACGGCGATCTACAGGAGTCGCTGTCGTCCGTACTTTCGGGCCCGTAGTGCTGTCATGTGGGCCTTACCAGCCCAGAAACAAGCTTACCATCTGACAATAACTTAAGAAAGGGGTATGTGCACAGCATACGGCAGCACGGCGTGGAAAGTGGATGCTCTATTTATGCAAGTCATACAAGAGACACTATGCATTGTCATTAGACTCATTACTCCGAATTCGAACGATGCTCGAAGGTACAAAACTTGGTAGAGTCACTTGGCGAGGAATTCTGAAGGACCCAGAGGCGAAAAGGATCATATATTTCAACCATGATTCATGAGAAATCGAGCTCTATGCATCTTGAGGTAAGATGGAAGGCTTTGGCCCGGCAGGAATGACGAGCTGGGAGGTATCAAGGCCTTGTTTCTTGCCTAACGACACCAGGTAGCCAAATTTATACTGTGAGTAAGGTTAGTCCATTTATTCCAGTCAGAACAAATTGGTGTAACTCACAACATCAAAGAATGTCGTCTTCTTAAACACCCCTCCTCTCGTCTTCTCAGACTCATCATAATACAATCGGCGATACCACGCGTCAATGAGGGGATAATCGTGCCTGATCATCCCCAGATTACACCGGAAGATCAGATAATACGCAACATCAAACCGCGCAATGGTCGTATACAGCCTCACATCAGCCTCGGTGATATGCTCCCCAAATAAATACGGCTGGTGCCCCGGCTGCGCAAGGTGCGCCTCGACACGATCCAGCGCTTCGAAGAGCGGATACAGATTCGCCTCATACGCCTCCTGCGTCGTCGCAAACCCCGTCTTGTACACACCGTTATTGATCCGGTCATACACCCATGCGTTCATCTCATCGATCTGCTCTCGAAGATGCTCAGGGTAGAATCCGCCCCCGGGCTTATTCTCCTCGCGGTGCTCTGCGGGTAGCAGGTCGTCAAACTCGGAGTAGAACATGCGGATGATCTCACTGCTCTCGTTGTTCACGATCGTCTCGCGCTTCTTATCCCACAGCACGGGGATCGTGTACCGTCCCTGGTAGCCAGGGTCCGCCTTGAGATACAGCTCTTTCATCTTGGTGAATCCGTACAGAGGATCTTTCTTGGAAGACCCATTGCGTCCGTTGAAGATCCAGCCGTCGGGGCCGAGCTCAAAGTCACAGACGACGAGCTGAATGATGTCCTCCAGTCCCTTTAGGCTGCGGACGAGGTTGGTGCGGTGGGCCCAGGGACAGCCGTAGTTGAGGTACAGGACGTAGCGGTCTTTTTCGGGGGGGAATTCTGCGTCTGGGGAGCGTGAGACCCAAGAGCGGAAGGCAGCGTCTGGACGCCGGAAATGGCCGTCAGAGTCGGCGTGTTTGTAGATTTTGGAGGACTGCCTAATGTTAGTGTCGTACGATACCAAGGATTGATGAGGCTGTTACCGTATCTTGTGCCATGGTGTTGGTTTGTGATATCTGCTCAATGCTGCTTGTCTGGTGCGGGGAGAGGCTGATGTCGCCTTGTTACTTATAGATTTATTGGTTCTCAATTAGCAATCGCTGTATAGCATTGATGGTGTTGCTGATAAAGATTTATAATCACTTGTACTGACGTCATGGGGTCAGATTATCAAGCAATACTCTCCAATACGGTTCATGGATCAGAGATGCAAATATCCCGGCAAACAGTTACACAAGCATAGGCAGCTCCGAGTTAAGACAGGACAGAGAAGCAAATTACAAAGCTCTAGACTCTACAGCCCCTCTGTCGAGATACCTAGCTGCCTAGCGACCTCTACGAAGCCATCGGGACTAACCTCCAACTCCACCGCCAAATCCACATACCCATCCTTGATTGCCTGATTGAGGTCTTCAAACTCCTCTCCGATTCGCTCAACGTAGATCGTGCCAAACCCGCACGCCTTGGCAGCCTTCAGGTCGCCGAGATGCGCCGCGACGAGCGCACACTCTTCCGGCTTGAACCCCAGCCGTTCCGCGGCGCCGAGATAAACTCGCGGCGACGGCTTATAAACCCCAAAGTGCTCAGCGCTGGCAAGATCTGTAAATGGGAGTGGCCCGTGCTGCACGAGATCCTCCAGCAGCGACACATTCGCGTTGGTGAGCGTGCATGTACGGAATTTGCTGCTTAGCAATTTTAGTCCTTGCACGGTATCATCCCAGGGGTCTAGTTTGTGCCAACACCGCACGAGCTCCTGGAGCTGGTCTTCTGTGAACAGGTCGTCGAGTTGTCGTGCGCAGAGGTGTTCCTTGAGCGCGTCGTAGTGGGCCTGGTCGACGGAGACGAACCCGTTCGAGGGGTCGAAGGTCTTCGTGAAGCGACCGTAGGAGGCGCGCCAGTCCTCAGCCATGCTGTGCCAGTTGTCTTCTGTCATCGCCGATGCTTGGGCGCGAAGGTCTGTGTGAAGGGACTCTCGGTTGTCGCGGAGGGCTCGCTCGCTGGCTTCTTTGAGGGCTTTTGTGACGGATGTTCGCCATTGCACCGTGGTACCAAAGACGTCGAAGAAGAGGGCTTTCGTGTGCGGGTTGATGGGCATGTTGCTGACTGTCGAGTCGGTTGGATTGGTTATGGTATAAAATTATGAGTTAGACAACCCTGTTGAACAAGTTAGATATCAAGTCTTCGGTGATAACATCGGGAGTGAATGAGGGATCCAGAAACGCAACGCTTAGTCATGTGAGGGGATGATTCCGAGGCCAATGATAAGGACATCCGTACTATCTTGCCCTGGTGTTGGCGCTGTTTAGAAAATCAACATTTCTTCCTCAACGCGACGAAGCATTGCGACTCGCGAGGCAACAAGAGACAACAGAGTTTGAGTGGCATGATTATCAGCGAGTCTCGGCCTGAAGGCGATGAGAAGGATCATTCCCGAGCAAACAAGCCCGTCCGCGACACATCCGATTCCATCACATTATCACTTTGTCCGGTGTTTCAGATTGCGAGCGACCTGTGCGGTGCGACTTGGTCCTGCAAGCCCTGCGTCTATCGCCCCGGGAGTCAAGGCTCTATCAATCGGCTTGCTGGATTCTCTCACGATGACACCTGCAGCCTGGTGATCCAACGGCGTTAGTTCGGCGGCTTCTGCGCCAATTCGCATTTCTTGACGAAATAATGGAGTTTCTCCAGTTATTCTTGTGCCTCGACTTTCTTCGGCCTTCAAGGACGGGTACTGAGATTGAGACAACTTCGGCATGATACTTTGAGCAGTATTAAATTGTCAACTTCCCTAGAAAACTCTGAACGTTCACTGTCACAGTATGAACCGAGGACCCAAAATTCAGCCATGATGCCGCGTGGGTCCAAGTCTCGCCTCGTCTGGACTCGCTCGCTCTCACGTTCCTTTCAACTTAAACTTGGATAGTGCACGTTCATATGCACAGAGATCTGACTAAGAAACATCATCTCGCCTGGCCAGTCCAATAGAATCTGCCTCTCTACCCCGTCCACCTTGAAGCAATGGGCATGCCACATCCGATCAGCGAGGACTGAAACAAAGCGGGAGATCCGTTTTCTCCAAAGTTCAGCCAAGCTGACAGGACGCGACTCTGCGCATATCAAACTTCCAACCCTCAATCCACAAACATTTGAAGTTTTCCAGGTGACGGGACTCGCACCTGTATCAGCATTTGCCGCGATAAGAGACGCGTCCAAGGCCTTTCGATGTGACGAAAACGAGGCTCCTTGCAGCAGAAATTAATTGACCACATGATACTCCGTAAACGTAATTCATGGCAGCTTAATCCCCAGAGAAGGAAGGACATCGACTCCATCCCTCATTTACGAGACGAAATTTGACTGGATGCGAGCTGGCCCTCTATCAATGAACCGTGGAAATAACAGTGGAGAGCTCTTTAAGCTGTGGCGGACCCAAGGATTCCACCCGACTCAGGAACAAAAATGGCCGACGTCAAAAAAAAAAGGCGAAAGGGGTAAAAGAAAAACAGTAGTATTCAAAGTCGGAGAGAATTGCTCTCGGGCAATAATTGAGGACTCGAGGGGAATGGTCTTTATGAATGGGGTGCTATCGCAGCTGACCAGTCCCCCAAGGTAATGCGATAGGACATCGAAGAACGATTTGACCAACAAACCGCGAGACCAAGTGGCATCTGCCCTGCTTTGTGACCTTCCCCAAAGATCAAGACATAAGGTCGCTGTCGTCCCTGTCGGCGCAAACACGGACCATGGGCTCTCCTGGGAAATTGCCCGGCGGCGATCACTGCAGAGACAGTCCGCCATCGACTCCTCTGTCTCTCCTACGTATGATTATTATTCTCCAGAGTTGACAGGAGTCACCTGTCTCGACATCGCGATGGCTTCAAACTCACGTTGCAGGAGACATTCAGAGCCCAGAATTGCGCTTTAGCAGGCAAGCTCCTGTAATGTTCCACGTTAAATGGCAACTGGATTCTCCCTGCTCAAAGCCTTTCACACGAAACCAAATGATTCAATCCCATGAGGTTTTCACAAAGGCAACCAGTGGAGGACCCCGTCTCCTCGAATAGTTGCTGACGATTAGTGTTGGCCTTGCACCCGTTTCTTATATTATTAGCGATCATTATTATTATGCCCGATGATTATTGGCAAGCCTCTTTTCTTAGCCCGGCGGGCGTTTTCTCCTTTTCCCTTTCTTTCCTGCGGTTTCAGATTCGTTCTTGTTTCTTTTCGCCCCTTTTCTGTGGAGTGATTGGCCTGGAATTTCTCCTGCGCTCAACGACTCCTTCTGGTGATGACCGATGGCCAATGACGCTGGTGAGCCGAGGAGATCAGTTTACCAATTCTCGACGAGCTGGAGTCGGGCGACTCCAGTCAGTGGCAGCTCTGGTGGGGAAATGAGTGGCTCCTGCTTGCTAGTCCCGGCCGTGGGCTCTGCTTCCCCATCCCCTAACGAACACCCCCTGGGCGAAGCTAACTGATGAGCCATCCGGAAATCTTAGCATGGCTGGCCCATCATGCCGTCTGCTAGCTCGTCGCCACAAGGCTCAGGTCAAAGTTGGTTCTTGACGCGAATCCAACGGGCGGACTCCGTTCTTCGTGCATCTTTCTCTCCCCTCTTCCTTCAGATCGCTCCTGCGAAAGGCGAGGGATTGGACGATAGCCAACGTGAGGGTCACAGGGTCTCACAGATACCGTCCAGCCGTTCCTTTCTCATCCTGGACCTGGATTTCTGTCTAAACTTACGGAGTAATTCTTATGCAATTCTCCTACTCTGTCTCGAATCCCGTCCGGCACCCACAACTTGAACCTCGCGATCTGAACTGCCCCCACCAGCAAGGAGGACGCGTCAACTCAACCGCAATTCGACGTGGTATTAGGAGTCTCTGGAATCTCTAAGCTCGAGGCTTGAGCAGTGTATATGTAGGTACAACCTGTTTTGCATGCCTTCGACTCTCCAACCACATTCTAGTCTGAGCGCAATTGGCTCTTGCGTGTCTCAGACTTGAAGCAGCGGCAAAGCCCTGGCTGATATTTGTCGCTGCTGGTCAGCGCTTGTCCGTTTTATTCGCGACTGCTTCCTCGCCGTTCGCCTTCCTCGAAAAGCAGCATATGTCAATGGAAGCTCCATAATACGCCAATTCAGCGGAGTGTATGTGAAAATCGACCACTGAGAGCCTTGATCGAGGCGAGAGCACCTCTGATGGTCTAGCTGCAGGCATCATGGCCACGGAAGCTATGTACCAAAGCCCGCCAGCGGCGAGTGCCTTTCCGACGCCGTCTACAACCCCCAAACGTCCGCCTTCTATGCATGCCCGAGCCGATTCCTCGCCCGGTCCAGCGTCCTCGCCTATCTCCCTCCCGAACCATATCTCCTCTCCAGACGGACGCAGTGATTTCGACGATATCGCGGATGAAGATGTTATATCGCCGTTAGACCCGCGAAGATTCACGCCCACATTACATGCTTCCCTTGTCTCTGAAATTCTCTCTCTGCGGCGAGATGTCGAGAGCAGAACCAAAGCTATCGATGTTCTGGAGCGTACCCTCCACGAGTCTCGAGTCGAAAATGAAGAGTTAGCCGAAAGGTTGTCCAAGAACTCAAAAGAGACGCGGTCACTTAAGCATCAGCTTCAGCTGCTGGAAGGCGGTAGTTCATCTGCTCTCACCGAATTAGCCAAAGAGCGGGACGATGCACTCGAGGGTATTTCCGAGGTCCGCAGGAAACTCGAGCAGGCGCAAAAGAAGGCCAAGAGCCGGGAAGAAGAATTGGAAAGGACTACAAAAATATGGACTCGCGATAAGGAAGCATGGGACGGCGAACGCAGAAACCTAGAGCGAAAAGTTCATGTGGTCGAAGGTCGACTCAAGGTAGTCCTGAACGAAGTGGCAGCCGCCCAAGCTGCGAGAGAGCCATCTAAAGGTGTTGATAACAACACAATCGACACGACGAAAGACGCTTCCATAGGGAAGGACAGCGACTCGGCAAGTATACATTCTAGCAGTCAAGGGCGGCGCAGAACTAGCATCACGAGCATGAGTAGTGATGATGCCGCCGACGAACATGACTTCCATAATGCGCGCTATTCGGTGATGAGCACTCACATGCCGAGCTCGCAGACGAATCTTGCACAGGAGCTAGCATTTGACGAAGAAGAGGAGTTTGATGAGCTTGATGACGATATAGTTCTTGCAGACGAACGCCCTGCGTCGGTGCACTCTCAATTCTCGAGTTCAATGGGAATGGACGCCAAAGCAAGGAAAATTCTAGGTCTCTCATTGCAAAGCAGCCTAGACGGCTATGCAATGAGACCAGAAACCCCGGATCTCAAGAGCCCCCCGATAATCTCCGCACCTTCTTTCGAGTATCGAGACACTGGTGTTCAGTACTCTCCGCCTCCGTCACCAACACTATCTGCTCAGAGCGACAAGGGTGTGAATGAAGTGGAAGAGACTATAAAGGTACCTCTCTATCAGTCAACGGACAGCAGTACCTTGACGTTGACAATCGATATGGTGTCTTCCTCTGCTCAAACGATTGACGACCTTCCAACTCCTCCTTGGACACCAAGGGTTGAAGCACCCCCTGCGCCGCCCGCACCTCCTGTTGTAGAACGGACACCCATGGTATCGTCATCTGTCCAGACAGACCCTCCTGTCGAATCCAAGGTTGAGTCAAAGTCTGTCGACACTGGAATCAAGTCGCCACACATGGAGGTTCCGATGATCACCATACACCCTCCTCAGTCCGAGCCTCCTTCTCCTCGTGGAAGTGTGGTCCTACCACCTCAGACTAAGAGTGTCTCCTGCCAAGCTGACTTACAGCCGGCCATCGAAAGCCGAACAATCGGTATTCAGACTGAGCCGATTCGAGTGGACCAGCGGCCTGTCAAACTTCCAGCAAGCTTGCTACCGTCGGCGATTCCGGACTTCCCTCTAAGTACCGCATCGCAAGAGCACCACATTCAGCCGTATCATGCTCCTCCTCCGAGAGCGGCCAAGGGCGAGAGGAAGCCACCGCCTCTCGTGGTTGAGCCGTCATCAGCAGGAAGCAAGACTGGTCCAATCCAAGCCTATCCGGGGAACAACGACAACGGACCGTTGTCAGGTGACTCAAAGGCCAATTTACGACGACCACTTCGATCGAGCAGTCTCTTTGCCGGGTTCGAACAAGGAAGTGACGAAGAATCACCTGATGCCACAAGGGATGTCTTTACCGATGATGAGCTTCTTAATCGACCCTTTGCGTCATACAAGTTGCGCAGAGGTAAATTGGTCTCGGCGCAGGAACGCCGTCGCAGCCTAGACGAGGCCACTCTACCTGAGGTGAATGAGGATCTCGACTTGGAGTCTCATTTTGAGTCGGGCATTGGCGGAGGTGCTTTGAGGAATCCTCCCGGATCGTCTTGGTCACGCCCTGGCGCTTCATCAAGTAACCGGCAACAGGATATACGCCGAACAGCGTTGATCTCCAGCGGGGCAGCTACCCATCATCAGAAGATGCGAGCGCGTAGCCCAAGCGAGCCAAGTATCGACAGCGGTAGTGGTAGCAACGCGTCCAGCGTTCCGCCACCTTTCCCCGTTCCGATCCGACTGAGCTCAAGGAAGTTCCCGCAGAGCGGCAGCGATGGACGCCAGAGCCCAACTCCCTCGCGCAACTTCTCCGATCGCCCACGGCCGAATATTGTGCGCCGGCCTACACTTCGGCGCGTTCGCTCGGCGGCTGCTATGTCTCAGACCGAGCAGACCGAGCGGCCGACCACCCGATCGTCGCCCGCTATGTCGATATCATCCTATGCACCAGATAGCCCTGGTCGCCCGCCATTGCCTTTGGATGATATTACGATGCCTCGGCACCGACGAAGCACCCAAGGACGGCCAGTTCGTCAACCGAGCGTATCACACCATCTGACGCACGAGAGGCAGGACTCGACAGCCACATCCGTGCAGCCAACTAGTGTGGTCGATGCCATTGCACAGACCATGGTAGGCGAGTGGATGTGGAAGTATATCCGTAGAAGGAGGTCGTTTGGTGGAGACAAGGACAACTGGGAGGGCCGAAACGCCGAAGAAGTTTCTGCCAGCATCACCAACAGCGGAGTGAGGCACAAACGATGGGTTTGGCTGGCGCCGTACGAACGAGCGGTCATGTGGAGCAGCAAACAACCAACCAGCGGTCCTGCTTTACTTGGCAAGAGTGGTAGAAAGTGTAGGTTTCTCGTCTGTCCGACCAATATAGGTTACTGATTCGGAGCAGTGGTCATTCAATCCGTTCTCGATGTGAAAGACGACAACCCGTTGCCCAAGGGCTTCAACGGCCCAGGGCAGTTCAACCGTTCTATCTTGATCCTCACGCCTCAGCGCGCCCTGAAATTCACAGCCACCAGCATTGAGCGCCACTACATCTGGCTCACAGCTCTATCCTTCCTCAGCCACTCAGCCATGGGCGTCCAAGACCTCGCGGCTCTTCCCCCTGTGCCGCAGGAGGAGTACGTCCGCCCAGCACCGACAGCAACCCTACGCCGCAACCCAATCCGCGACTCCATCCGAATCGCCAAGGGCCGGCCACGTCCGTTCCCCAAGGGCAAGAAACGGTCCTTCACGAATAGCAACCACCCGGAGCCCGTCCCAGAGCTCCCTGCGCACCTCGAAGTTGGAAACCGAAATTCCGACGAGGCCGCAGACCCCCCGACGGTGCCGCGGTTCTCGAACCACTCGCGCAAGCGCAGTAACACGGCGCCGCGGATGCCGATTCCTAATATCCGCAGCTTCTCGAGTCAGAATACCATGCCTTCCATGCGGAGCTCGCCTGACCCGCCGGGGCCATCCTCACACTCGGGCGGGTTTGCGAGCGTGCGCAGCAGCTTCAGCCACCGAACTTCCGAGAATAGCGTGAGAACAGGCAACTTCTTTGATGCAATCGGTACAGTCCGCATGGAGGCGTTTATCGATCAGACCGACTCGAACCGGTATCGCAGCGTAGCCGCCCGGCGGCATACGCGCAAGCCATCAACGCCCTGGAGTATGAACCAGGGATACCCGGAGCCTCTTGAGTTTCCCTACGAAGAGGGCGGCGGGTTCCATCGCCACGACGACCCTTTCCGTGGGTTCTAACCTAATCTTTCGCATATATATCCTTAACCTATTTCTTCACCTTATCTTGTCTTCATTTGCTGTTCTTGGTGCTGGAGTTTTTTCTTACTTGATACCATCTGAGCGACTTGTTCGGGAATGTATGTACAGCGGCTAAAAGTGTCTATACACAGACATCTAGATATGGATATGTGTCGAATTATTGACCTCGAAATGTTTCCAGATTTCCAGGCTTCGCGCAGTATTATGATCGTGCCATATCATAATCACACCAACACCACTCTATCGAGGGCACTGAACTCCGCCTTTAGTAGATAACCTTGTAGATAGACAGACAACAGACAGAAAAGGTATAATATAACATCTCCTCAAGAACAGGACAACATCTAGTCTCGCCTCGCCTCGTCTCATTCGACAATAAACGCAAGATAAATCGAATCCCAATCACAGCTTCGCCCCTTCCTTGACGTCTCCAACCTTCAGCTTCGGCGCATACTTCTTGAGCACGCCATCGTTGTGGTACTGCGCAGAGGGGGGAAACAGAGTTAGCAATGCTTGCCCATTTTTTCAGAGATGTATAGGGAGTCTCCCCCTCTTCATCATCAACCACCGCAACAAAGAAACCAGGCAAGCGACTCCAGTGGGGGAGGACAGTTCAGCATGTGCATACCTTCCAAAATTGCTTCGTGGCATCCTTGCCCGCGACACGCTTCAGAATCTTCGCGCCACCAGGGTGCTCGTCGACAAACTTTGTCACGTCGTAGACAGCGCTGTCGACGATGATGTACAGGCCCTTGTCAGGGGTGTTGTGGGTTGCGACGTCGGCGGGGGTGAATGTTTTGGACATGGCGGCGGTTATTGTTCTTTTTTAACCTCGAGGTGCGGAGATCCAGTTCTTATATTTGGTAAGTATATGTGGTGTTTGGAATGAGCGAGGTAGGTGAGGTGAGAGAAAGAGAAAAGCGAGAGTATTTAGCTGGGCCGAGACGAAGACGGGGAAGATATGACGGAGCCGGAGTCTGGAGATGAGCGGTGCGGGATGAAGGCTGCGTTGGAGTCGAACCTCGGCTTTGGGGTTGCGGGACCGCGGTCGATTTGTTTTAAGGCTGTTGTGATTGGGTCGTGTGCTCTGGTCTTATGAATGCCGTTTGGCACGTTTTTATGATTATGGATAGCATCAAATGGAGCTGTTCGTTCTGGAATACTGCATCCGTGGATGGATTGACGTTTATCTTGTAGATTCATGCGGACGAGGTTGAGTTCCTGGCCTGGACCAGGGAATTAATACTTTAAATTCAAAACCATGTGGAGTCTATTCAATGATAAAATTCACGCGAAATCTACCCTTAGAAAGATACAGATCTTATGCATTCAATATATTGTACAATCAATCGCGACTCTTCTCTCCCGCCGCCCCCTGCCCCTTCGGTTTCTTCTCAGTCCCCAGCGTCTCCAGATCCTTCTTCTTATAGTAATGCGGTGCAACCTCAACCAGCCACTCAGCCTGCAAGGGCATATTGCTGCGCATATACTCCTTACTCGTCAAAACCAGCTCAAAGTAAATCACCCACCGCGGGTTCACCTCAAACAGCGTACTCGACGGGTGCAGGTACACCGTTTGCCCCGTTTTCACGGTGCGGTAGCTGTCGCCTCCGCGCTGGAGACGCGCGGCGTTGGGGAAGAAACCCGCCGTAATGGCCTTTTGGATCGGGATGAGGTTGTTTGACCCGCCGGAGCTGACAGTGACTTCGACGCGGTCGCAAAGTTTGGCGAGTTGGTCGCGGACGTCGCGGGCGCGGGTTAGACTTCGCTGTTGCAGGAAGTTCTCCTTTGCCCAGACGAAGCTGAAGTCGGAGTCGACCCATTGGTTCCAGATGTTGAGGAGCGTCAAGTGGTCGCCGCCGTCTTTGACAGTGAAGCGGTTTCGTGCACTGTCGGCGTGGATCTTCTTGTCCTTTGGTCGGAAGAATAGCGCGCTGGCTTCACCGAGCATCGACACGATGGAGAGGACTTCCTCCACGCACCCGTATTTGTCTGCGGCCAGGATCGCCTTGGCTAGCATCGGATCTGTAGGGAACTCTGCCATCTGTCGCCCGATCTTGGTGAGTTCTCCACGATCGTTCAGCGCTCCAAGGGCATACAGCTGCTCCAGTGCCCGAATAATCGTCTCCGCCGGCGGAGGATCCATAAAGTCGAACTCAAGAAGCTGGTCGATGCCAAGCGATTTCAACATCAGAATCACACTGTTCAAATTCGTTCGTTGAATCTCTGGCGTTGTGCTCTCTTCCAATTCGTTATAGTACGCCCACTTGGTATACAGGCGGAAGCACTTTCCTGGTCCAACACGACCTGCTCGACCCGCTCGCTGGTTGGCCGACGCTCGTGAGCAAGGCGTCACCACCAAGCTCTCCATGCCTGTCCGGGGGTTGAAGACGTTCTCCTTGACGAACCCAGGGTCAATGACATAGACGATCCCATTAATCGTCAAACTGGTCTCAGCAATATTCGTAGCCAAGACCACCTTGCGCGCCTTGGGCGGCGTTGGCTCGAAGATCCTGGCCTGCAGATCCGATGGCAAGTTGGCATAAATCGGACATATAATCATTTCTGGTATTTTATTCCCAAGCTTCCTCGCCGTCTCTTGTAAGCTCTGTTCAGCGGCGTCAATCTCCTCTTGTCCGGTCAGGAAGACAAGGATATCACCTGGGCCTTGGGACACGTGGATCTGGAAGACTGTCGTAATTGCAGCAGCCAGGTAGTTGGCCTCCGGCTGCTGTGTGTAGTGGATATCAACATTGTACATGCGTCCGGGAATATTGAAGATTGGCGCATTATCAAAGTAACTCTGGAACTTTTGCGCATCCATCGTCGCGGAGGAGATGAGCAGCTTTAGGTCTGGACGAGCCTTTGCGATATCCTTCAAGAGACCGCAAGCAATATCTGTGGGCACTGTGCGTTCGTGCGCCTCGTCAATCATCAAAGCCGAGTACTGTCCCAAGTCCGGTTCGGTGAGAAGCTCACGCAGTAACATGCCGTCAGTCATGTACTTTAGCACGGTTTTATCACTTGTATTATCCTCGAATCGGATGGAGTACCCGACTTCGTTACCGATTTTCACGCCCATTTCCTCTGCAACACGCGACGCGACACTCATGGCTGCAACTCGACGTGGTTGCGTGCAGCCGACCTTCATCCCGTTCTTGGTATACCCGGCCTCATGGAGGTACTGCGGAAGCTGTGTCGTCTTACCCGATCCGGTCTCTCCGACAATAATCAGCACCTGGTGGTCGTGAACTGCTTGGATAATCTGGTCACGGAATTGGTAAATCGGCAGCTTCTTCCGGGTCTCTTCTATAGTCTGAGCCTTCTTCTCCGCTTCGTCAAGCTTCTCCTTCAGTGCGCGCTGCTCCTGCGTCATGAGCCTCTGCGTCCCCTTCATCGGCGCATCCACAGTGAAGTTGATTTTCTGCGAATCATCAAACACGTACTCGTAGTCTCCCTCGTCCACGTATTCCGCCCGATTGATCTGAGCCTTTGCCTTGGCTGTCTGCTCCTGCTCCCACTCTTCGTGCTCCGTAACAAATTTCTCCTGGCCCATTTCGTCGCGATCCACATAGCGCTTGTACAGTGCCTCCTCTTTCTTCTTCCGATCAATCTTGCCCTTTTCTGTGATATAATCCTCGGGCATCATATATCCATCGCGATGATCGTCGATCCGTAGCCGCTCCTCCGCGAGACGAAGCACCTCCCGGTTCCGCGCAAACTCTTCCTTCTCCTTCCGCGTCAGGTTCGGATTCTCACGCAACTCTTGCGTCTCCTCTGCAACCTGCCTCCGGTACAGAGCCAACTGCTCCATCTCGCGCTTCTTGAGGTACTCCTGTCGCGAGCGCAATCGCAGGTCAGGCATCGCAGCGGCGCGAGCTTTCGAATCGTCCGCCAACTTCCGCCGCCTCGCGGCTTCGCTATCTTTCGTCCGGTCTTCCACGATCTTCTTCGACCGGCTGTTGTCCTTGTCCGCCAGCCGCTTCGCAAGCGCATCTCGCTCCTCGATGTCTCGTTTTCGGTCCCGTTCCTTGCGCTCCTCGGGGTCTAGATCCGCTGAACTTGTCGTTGACCGCGGCGACGCAGAGCCATCTTCCAATCTTGTCCTCTTCGCCGGCGACTCCTCAAACTCCTCTCCCTCTGCTTCCTCCTCTTCAACAATGTCCTCGTCGCCCCATCGATCCTCGAAATCGTCCACATCGCGCCGCCGCAACTTTCTTGAACGCTGTCGGTCCCCACTATGCTCGCGCTTCCGGCTTCTATTATCCTTTTCTCGGGTCCTATCCTCCTTGTCTCTGCCCCTGTCTCGAGTTCTCTCCCTCCGCCTATCCTTTTCTCTCTCAACATCTCTGGGCCCCAACGACGAACCCCCGTCCTCCTCTTCCATATCCAGCAGCATATACCTCTTCTTCGCATCCCCGCGCGCCGCCGATGTGGATGTCGATGCACTCCCACTTCCAGCCCCATTCCGCCCACTATCCTTACCACCCGAGCCCGTCGTTGTGGTAGAAGCAGCGCCCGTCGCCCCCTTCCCAGCGCGTCGATACAACTCAGTGCAAAACTGGCCGATCTCTCCGGCATCGCCTTCTAGAAACGGGGCGAGCTTATCCTGGAGTGCGGAGGGTGAGCGCGCGGATGTCGCGGTTGCGAGTACGAAGTCGATGACTGTTGGGTCTGAGGCGCCGGTTAGGCGAAGGAGGGAGTCGGATACGAATGTTCGGTTGGACATTTTCGTGGTCGATAACTAGAAAGAGCGATAGAAGGATGCTATTATGTAGAGAGGAAACAGTCGGGACGTGGGAAAGGTAAAGTAGGAATTGCGAGGTGTTTTGGTTGGTGATGATTCTCTGCGGAGGTTTCAAGAGAATTAAGTGATTTTGAGCATTGTTGGCCGTGCTGTGAGATAGGATAGCAAGGTAATATGATGTGCAAAAAAGGGCAATCTACCCTTGGTTGTTGCTCCGCGAGACCTGGGTTATCGCAATCGAAGTTCGAAGATGAAGGATGGTTGGAAGAAACTCGCCGCCTTAAGCCAATGCCAAGCGTTCTTAAGTGGCAATCATCGAGCTGTCCTCAAACTGTAGATAGGGCTGCAGAGTATACATTTTAGTGCAAATACAAATTTACGCAAGGTTATAGGTTATTATTGAGCGTCCATTGGTCGCATTCATTCAGTAGTCTAAATAACAAACATAGCTCGTTCTCAAGCCCGCTTGATCACATCTTCCTGATCCGTGTCCATCGAGGTCATATAGAAAAGGAAACAAACAGCTTCAAGAAATTACAGCCGAAAGAAATCTGGTGAGAGACATGCAGGATAAGAATTAGAATCGTCATAGAACGCCCCAAAGTGCCCCCGGGAAACAGCAGATGAGTTCTCCAGATACTCCAACAAAGGAAACACAGAAAACCTCATCGCAAATGGAAAAGCTTTGTTACATCATCGAAAAATACCCTGCGTCAACAAAAAAGAGAAAAGGGCCCGCTGAACGCAACGAGGGACACGATGTGTCTAAGAAAGGTTGTAGGAATCCAACCACGCAGATGCTATTGATATCATAGCGCGACGAGAAACCCAAGGATCGAGGCTAGATTGGTGGTACATCAACAAAGGAAAAGTAATGAGCGTAAGGAACCTCGAGCTCCGCTGCAGTGTAGCTGCTAACGCGCGAGAGGTGGTTGGATATATGAGCCTTGATGAGGTTTCGTCGCAGGGTGGGGAAGCCAACGCCGCAATGCGATAGTGATCAATATCAAGTAATTCGCATCGGCATGGCCGCTCCCACCGAGTGGTGGTCCGCGAAGAATGAACATTAAAAGTCCGTAGTGGCCGCATGAACGCCAGTCGTTAGATGGTACTGTAGGGGAATCCGGAAAATCACCAACTCCGTCCAAATGCAATAATATGTCAGGTCGTATTAATCAAACATCGATCATCTCGGCATCTTCCGCAAGAACATCGTCGGCAGGGCCCCAGTTGCCCTCATAAACAGTGGCCCCAGCCCGACGTCGCGACGCGACAAACTGGACTCCGTACGACTCCAGAACGTGGTCGGCGGTCGGCCGGTCAAGCGGTTCGGGAGAGATCATCCACCGCACAATCTTGTCTAAAGACTGTTCGTGGCTGGCATCAATCATGAAGGTCGGGGGGTCGGACAGCTCGCTGCTCCGAGTGAAAGGGATCGGTTTTCGATCCGTGCTGTTTCGGAGAAAATTGGGTACACCAAAGTCGTCATCGCCGAATTCTGACGCACAGAGTTCCTCGAAAGATGGTTCTTCTGAAACAGGGTTACCAGACGCATCACGGAAGACAGTGGTCTCAGAACTCCAGGTCAAGCTTGGAACATCACTCATGTCACCATTCCTGAGCTTCTGCCATGAAAGGCCGTTGTCTGGGAGTTCGACGTTGCCAGCAATCTCAAACATGATCAGGCCAAGGGAGAAAATGTCCGCGGGTTTGTCATAGCGCCCCATAAGGATCTCTGGTCCGATATATTCGCGGTCTCCTTCGCCTTCGATCCCCTCCTCGGCTGGCCATCGAGATGCCATGCCGAAATCTGCGATCTTCAAAACACCTTCAAAAGAGACCAAGATGTTTGCCGGCTTCAAGTCGAGGTGGATAAACCCGGAGTCATGAATATGTTTCAAGCCCTGTATATGATTAGTAAATTGAGTTTGTAGACTGGAGGATACAGGGTTGCTTACCGTAGACAGCTCAAGCAAGATCTTCCAGATTCGGAAATCATCGAGTCTTGCTTTGAGTCCGACTTGGGCAAGGAAGACATCGAGGCTACCCTCTTCACAGTATTCTGTTTGGATATAAAGATGCCCGTGGTCTTCCCAGCTGTCAGTGAAGGATATGATGTGATCCGAGTTCGTGAGAGCTTTTAACGCGTCCACTTCTCGGATACGGCGTTCTCGGTCCTTCAAGCCTGTGTATGGCTGTTTGGCCTTCTTGACAGCCCAGACCTGCTCTGGCAGTGCCCTGGGCGACTTTGGGGTTGTCGAGAAGATTGATGACAGGGACATCTCGTTCGGCTGTGAGACGCGGTATACTTGAGAAAACTCTCCAGTGCCAACAAGCTCAACGTGTTCAAAGCGAGACGTCAGGCATGGATCCACATCCGGAGCATGGTGTATGTTCAGAGGAAGACTGGGTCGCTTGCTGATAAAAGAATCGCGCGGTCCTGTCGGGGTGGCCGGGAGGTTGAATAGATTGAAGTCGGGTTTGATAGGGTCGTTGTTCGCTGAGATAGTTAGACCACTGGGATCAGGAGGGTAGAGGTGTTCTTGTGGTGTATGGGGTGACCCACGTTGAAACCTGTCGTGTAGAGGACTAGAGTTGGTGCCTCGAGCCTCCGATAATCGCTCAAGAGAGGCAATCTGCGAGGCAGCGGGTGGATATGTTCGAGAGGGGAAGAAGGTTTGCTTTGTGGGTGTAGGTGGAAAATCGGATTCACTCAGCGGCTGGCAGTCCTGTCGGTTAGAAGGCGACTGCGTTTGTATCCCATCATCTCCATCTAGACTAGCGAAACTACCACGTCGCGAAATGTCACCTCGATTGAAAGTGTTTCCAAAGATGCCCATACCCCGCGCAAATGGGCCTGGTTTGGGACGTGAGCTTGATGGGTTGAAGGGCGAAGGTGGAGGCATATCAACCGGGTTGCTGAAGGTCGACTTTCCCAGCGGTTCCTCTGGGGGTCTTTGGCTTGTGGTGAACAAATTGATGGGTCTTTTACATGGTGTGTCGGGCATGTTTTTGCTGAAGCCCAGCATACTTTGAGGATCATCGACGTTGCGATTCTTCTTCGATATGAGGCCCGTGGACATGAACGCGGCTGGAAGGGGCTTCACCAGCTTGTAGTTTTCAGGTGTAGCGAAAGAGTCGGTAGATGATGTCGAGTCTTCCCGGGTAAGATGGCGCGCAGCAGTAGGCCGAGTAGCACCTGCTGGGAGTGATTTCGAGAAATTGAATATTCCCCTCGGCCGATCACTCTTTTGAACGGGCTCATGAGTTGGAGAGTCGTCTACAAGACTAGAGCTGGAAGAAGACTGTGTGATTGTCCGGGACAACGGATGGGCAGCAGGTCGCGATTCTGCCGGGCCATGACTGGTAGAGAATAAGGAGCTGCTCTGCGCAGGCCTTGGAGAAAACAAGCTCTCCCGGATCGGTTGGAATGTATTGCTATCCAAAGCCGGCCGTGAGCGCACAGTGAGAGGCGTGCTAGAATCAGGACCATCCGAGTCACCCATAGCCCTAGCTCGAGAGAACAAGGATCGGTCACTCTGACGCTGCTGCAGGGTTGACCGTCGCAGGGAAGAAGTGCGCCTGGGAACAGTAGCAAAAGGGCTGAATGGTGGCGTTGTCGACGTTGGAAAGAATAAGGCGTCCGTTTCTAGTGGACTCTCTGCCGTTTTAAGGTCGTCTGGAGGGGTGGTGCTTTCGCTGTCGAATATGCTAAAGTCTCCCGAGATGTTCACGGAGTGCACGCTCCGCCGTTTGGCCGATGGGCTTCCCCGTGATGCGCGATCTAGATTCATGATGCCATCGCTCCGTTTCAGCGGGCTAACAGCTGGATATGATCCGAATGTGCCGCTTCGTCGTTTCTCAATTCGGGATGCCGAAGGGCGGGAAGTAGGCGTACCCCCGTCGGCAAATACGGCAGGGTCGTTGGAGCACGTACCGACACCACCACCACCCATTTCGTCAGGCGACATGCTTACTCCTGGGATTGTCGGAGAGTTCTCTTCTCCGGGTGTGACAGGGATTCCGTGCGGAGGTTTTGCGTTACCTTGGTCGGTTGAGACGTTAAGAGCACGTTTTACTGGACTTCGAGGTGATGTGCGCGCGCGGCGCATAGTAGGTCGTGAGATCTTAGCGCTTGGTGGATATGGGATGGCGAACGGCGACTGATGCGACGAGCTGGGAAAGAGCACAAAGTTGCCCTGCACGGATCTTCGCGACGGCGATAATGGCGAAGACACATACGTGCTCTTGGACGGTGAGTGATTTCGAGACGCAAGAAGTGAAAAATTCGAGCTCTTCGAGGGTGAACGGGAAAATGATCGGCGAAGTTGTCGGATAGCCGAGTTGGCGTCCATGTGGTGAATACCAGAGTGAGAAGGTAAGTGAAGCGTGCCGCCCGCATCACGATGCGGTGAAAATGTCGCAACCATTGTGGGTGAAGTTTTGGTGACCGAGGAAGTGAAGGTCACGCTCAAGTATAGACTGTTAGTTTAGAATATGCAAGTGAGAGCTCAGTGTGTTGTGGCTCGAATAGATAATGCCGATGGCAGCAGGTCCGCTGGTCGAGCCGCAACAGGAAAATCACAACAACAAGGCGCTATGCAAATAATGTGCTATGACGGATGTCTTTTCCCTCGCGATTAGCCAACCGGAGCCGAGGGAGCAAAGTCTTGACGCGATAGCTGGAATGCTTAGAGAACACAGAGGGGTGCGAACGATAATCCAAGAGCAAAGACGGCAAACACAGGGCGAGGCGAGCTCGGAATTGACATCACAAGGTTTGTCGAGCGCTGAGGAATTCCAATGGCCGCTTGCTGACGTTCGCTCCCCTTTTCACTCGTGAATGTAAGGTCTAAGCCTCGATGAATTCCGAACCGAATGCACCAAGGCGCGCGCTTCGAACCGCGAGTGTCTGTTTACCTATGGTCGGGTCTCCCAAGCACAGCGGATGAAACGGAAATCGATAAGAGAATGTTTCAAGATGACAACACCAGCGTCGAAACAGGCAGGCGCGACGCGAAATGCAGGTGCGATTGAAACGAGGATAGGCGCGCGCGACTAGACCGAGGCGCAAATCCAAGACAAGGACAAACGCCCGCGACACCTGCGACAATTCCGATGCGCGACAGGTAGGGTGAAGATGCAGTGAGTGCAGTTTCGATATGATTGCAGGAGAACCAGCAGCAGCAACTCTGCGTCTCCCTTCCGTCTCCCTTTCTTTAAAACACAGATGAATGGGCTCGACAGGCGGCGATAGCGCAAGGGGTTGATAGTTTGAGGCTGCCCGCCCTTCGAGGAAAATAGAGCCCGGCCAGACAGCCACGCGAAGATGGATCGATTCGACGGACAGAAAGGCGAAGAAAGGGATGGATGGACGAGCGGATGATCGAGAGAGGGGGGCTTGCGGATACTGATGGAACGGAAGTTGCGGTATGCAGAGGCGAGTCTTCGCTGAAGAAAATCGCCCGGGGAATTTCCCTTACGGGACCGGGGTGGAGGGGGAATCCTGTTTTTAGACTTCAGATGAAGAGAGCAATTTATCAGTCGAGACAGCACGGAGGAGAGGAGGATGGAGATGGGGAGATGATTACATGGAACCGGGTGATGGAGAAGGCCACACTGGGGAAAAAAAGTTGACACTTGTGCCTGACATGAACAGCGTCGAGTTCGCCTCTTCGCCCGTGTCAGCGACCAATCCCCAGGCGGGACTTTTGATGTTGTTCTCCCACGCGCAACTCTCGCGTCGTTTGTTGTTGATGCCCGCCCGCTTAGGCTTAGCGCGGATCACGCGTCTCTCCACATCATACCATACGCGACACCCAACCTCGACTTTTGATAGATTATCTACTCGTACTTTTGGAATCTATCGAATGTTGCGCTCCTACAGAAGTGAATGCCACTGTCTTGCTCTAAAGAGCCATATTGCTAGAGACCCAAAAAGAGAGAATCGTCGAGGGCTTCGCGATGTTGTCAAAGCGTATCGATAAATGCTTGATAAGACACGCGGGGGGCCTTCGGCTCCTTGCATGTGCATCAATTATTACTTTGTTTATGTCTTGCTTATTCAAGCATATCGCCACCAATGCACAACCTGATCATCATCACTCGCGGATCCGGTGGCAAGGCTGATACGTACTCCGTAACTGTCAACCTGAACTATGTCAGAGTAAACAATGAGTCATAGGGTATCTCCAGGTCTGCCTAGCTCTCCAAAAATCTCAAGCAGTGAGGCTCCAGTCCGCCTTGAGTTAGGCAGGCGTTCACATACTTGGAAGCACTGAATTAGGTTGGAGCCTCCCAACAACTCAAAAAGAAGGGACTGACCGAAACTCAACAACTCGCCGCAGTAATCTAGTAGGAGTAGCTTCAGGTTCGCCCAACCGAGCCATGGACGCGAGAGGTACTGAGTTCAATGCCGACCCCTCAATCCACGTGTGACGTCCTCCTCTTTTGACGTATCTCAAAATTCATCATCATCAATGCACCTGTGGGCATAGTCAGCATCCCTTGATAATCTGATCGCGATCTGCACTGGGCTTGTGCCTAGTGGACTTACGTTGCGTCAGGCTCGTCGATACGCAAAACATCAAACATGAATGGTGCTCGCTCTCCACATGGGGATCTACATCGTACTGTCCTGTCCCGCCTTGGGCTTCATACTCCGTACCGCCGTCAGCATCGTATCTTCGTGAGGTCCCGACGGGGTCCAGTATGATATCATATCATCATACTCCGTAGTCATAGCGTGCCTGATAGGCATTCAAATTCTGGTCCAGGCGACAAAGCAAAGCAAAACCGTCAATTCTTGGGGCCTCAGATCTGGTTGTCCCTGGCGACTACCATATTATATATATCTTCGTCGCACCGCTGACCGCATTTCGTCGAGCTTCAAGCCGTGACGACAATAATCGAGTAGATCATCCATCCTATTGTTTAACCCTAGATTCAAACAGGCGCAAGCTTAGTGCTTCCTGTACGATACGAACCTTAAGTTCAAGGTCCTCTACACCGCATGTTCGAAAATTGGGAACTTCCCCAGGTTCGTTGGCCGAAATCTAATCTTGTCATCCCACCACTGGCCATATATGATATATGACATATCATCCTGTAAACCTATAGTTGAAGTTTCATGCCATCCCTGCGCGGGGCGGTCTCCCGATTCCTTGTCCTGTCCTCTCTTGGAGCGTTGCGGGCGCACAGGGCCTTCAATAATCGATTATTATCTGGTAGCCGATGTATAGAATTCGAATTCGGTCGTGGCCGACCTCCCAGCATCTGGGAAATAGCAAGCAAGGAATGCACTTTACCGAGACTCTCCTCACAAGCTCATACCATGATGAGTGAATAACATGGAATGGCTGGCTCAGAACTGAACGGTAGTCAGATTTCTCAGTTTCGAATGTTTGGGATCTATATCTCAGAGAAGCCATGACCTTTGGTTCGGCACTAGATATACCCTCAAGAGAGCGCGATCTAGCGCATGCGAATCGTCGGCTACACTACCTGACATGGTAAGCCCACATACACCTCATTTACTGACTCCGAGACCTAGTAAATGAAGAGAGTCGTTGAGGTAATTGAGCCCTTGATCGACTACATGGGACATTCAGGTATGTCAGTGGTGGAAAAGTAGAAGCCCTCCAAGACCTAAAATCGCGACCCTAGCTGGAACCAGCTGAGATATGAGTGCGTGAGTCCGTTGGCCTTGTAGGTGGACCAACCCTACCTTTCACTGGTCTCCGGAGGTCATACTCCAGTGGCCAGATTTGACTATCGGGCTCTATGTAGCTTTCCATCTCAGTCAATTATAAAAGGCGAAGTCCACCCGAGTTAGCACGCCACCCGAGGACAAATTGAGCGGCACTTGAGGTGTTCCAAGGCAGCTCTGAATAAAGACCGCAGAGATAACACTTTGAGAGACAAAGTCACAGTATGCTTGCATACCCCTCTGGTGTATCCTCTGCTTATGAGGTATGCAGAGAACCGTGGGTATTGATGCCATTGACTGCATGCTGTAGATGTGAAATCATTTGTTTGCCCGTACGTCCGTAACAATGCAAAGTCATAGGGGTGTCAATTGGTGGAGAAGACATCCTCTAAGAATGGTTAGCTTACTTGAATAAAAGCTGTAGAATTGTGAAAAGCACCATCGCGTCCTGCCGTCTCAAGTGGTAGACTCATACGGTCGTTTCCAGTATGTAATCGGTTCTTTATTTCGCCATAGTGGATGCTAAGGGTGTTGGATCCTCCGCGGTGGAGACCTAATGGAGATGTAGGTAAGGACTTCCAGCTAGGAGAGAAGGATGCGGTTCTGACTGGATCGCGATGCGTTGCTTTTCGACGGTCATCTACAGGCACACTGAAGCAAGTGGTGAGATGACAAAGGCAACTGATTGGCAAGGGCAGGGTTTTCGCAATCAGGATAATAATATGTATGACAGTCAGAATGGCGAGATGGTTGATTGTAACGAGCGAAAGGGGTGGGGGGAACTGCAAAGTGAGAGACATGTCCTGTCTGTATCGACGTTAACCACCTGGGCGAAGGAGCTTTGGCCCTTCGCAACATGCATACAGCCAACCACAGTGCAGATATTGCTAATCAGTAGCAGCATTGCCGCCAAATTTGTCGAAAAAAGCCATTCGCGAAGTTTAGCACCTTGCTCGTGTGGAGATTGAGGTGGGATCCTCGGACGTAGGAGAGGAGTAGTGCCAGGTACGCCGACTCGGGAATGAGGCGAGACAAGCGCCAAAAACCATTTTATCCACAAGATTCAGCTGTTTAGAGTTCGGAAGAACTGAAAATTTCATCTCGTGGTCCTCCTCGTGGTCTCGTATCTGGTAGATGGCCGGGTCAGGTGAATTGATCGCATGAAAGAGACTACTAGACTGTAGGTTCCTTGCACTGACAGGGGTCTCTGCGAGTCGCAATCCAGGATAGTGGGTGGAGGACCCTCGCGTAGGGGCAAGGAGATAATAGCTTATGCTCCCGATGGAATATAACGGTTTGTTGATTGGCGCCGATAGATGGCCCTTGCTTCGGTTATCAACAGCCTTTGAGCAATTGCTTTTTCCACAAGGATCAGATAGGCGGAGTTGTAACCTTAGATCATCTTAGATCCGCCTCGTCTCGTGTTATTTGGTGTGGGGGAGCAAAAGAAAGCAAGGCAAAGGGCGAATCGGAGACGTAATATACCCAATTCTGCACCTGTAGTAGGTGCATCTTGAGGTGTTTAGTGATGTTGTCCTCACCTACACCCACGCTTGGAGGAAGCATAGCCCGATCGATAGTGGGATATAGTTCGCATTTGTGGAAATTATGGTGCTCGATGGCATCGCTGGTCGTAACGAGATTTGTGTTACCTGGAGAGATGGGTGCGAGATGATGCACGAGCACCCTGGGGAACACTGGACAGAACCTGGAAGGTTTATGCATGGAAACAGTAGGGAAAACCCTCGCTGTCGGGCAAATTTACCCCACCGTTGCTTGCATTGGCCTGCATAAAACGTGGGTGTGCATTGAGTACAGAGTCATTTCTGGTACATGACAGACACAGTGTCTGTACTTGAGAACCAGCATGCCATCCATCGATGCTCTTCAAGGATGCCATCTTGGAACAATAGAAGGACGATGAGCCTGGAGCAGTTGTGGCTGGTGATTCCCGACATCGGGCAGAAGCGGATCTAATCTAGTGTCTATCATCCCACCTTCTTGAGAAGAGTGCTTGGACTGCGGGGCACCTGCTTGAAGATGCCCTTGAGGAACCGCAGCCTGCGTCCTGTCAAGATTGGCGTGGCGTATTCCGGTACAATGGCTTTGAGTGGAACACAGCTCTCCATTTTGCAATTTACCGCCGCCGGGAGAGCTGTATGCATCCGTACGCTGCCATACATGGCAGCAAAGGGCAAGAGCTGTGAATCGTCATTTCCTGCCCTGGTGGAACCGACTTCCCAAATGCCTTCGACTACGCCATTTTCCGGCCCGCTGTCAAGATGGATCCTCTGACTCCCAGCTTGGTTTTCAACTTCTTTTGCAATTTTCCAGCGGTTACGCCTTTGGTCATAGGAGCAGAGATGGGTCTACTTTTCCCTGCTCCTGGAATTTATCCCCCGCCATATATAATGGAGAGCTCCCTTCCACCTCTCCGACGATCCTATCTTTTTTCCCAAGCTCCATATTTTCTTGCTTTACTCTCTTGAAGCTTTTCTGATATCATCCAAACCCTCCTTCCCATACCAATTTTCTACAGAGGGCGTATCTACTCTTTTCAATGGAACCTGTCGAGCGGAAGCCTGAGATCGACTTCCAGAGCTATCGGAAGATGCCTCTTGGCCAGCAAAGGGAGCCCCAGCGACTGAGACCGACGCCCGCCGATGAGCTGCATGACCTGCTGTGCGTGGGTTTCGGTCCCGCCTCCTTAGCAATCGCAATTGCTCTGCACGACGCTCTCGACCCGTGCCTGAACAAATGCGCTCCCACCTCTGGTTGGCAACCGAAGGTCGCTTTCCTGGAGCGCCAGAAACAGTTCGCCTGGCACTCGGGCATGCTGGTTCCTGGCTCCCGGATGCAGATTTCCTTCATCAAAGACCTTGCGACCCTCCGCGATCCCCGCAGCAGCTTCACTTTCCTCAACTACCTCCACCGAAAGGACCGTCTGATACACTTTACCAACCTGAGCACCTTCCTCCCTGCCCGCCTGGAGTTCGAAGACTACATGCGGTGGTGTGCGCAGCAATTCTCAGATGTTGTGTCCTACGGTGAGGAGGTCATCGAAGTGATTCCGGGCAAGTCCAACCCGGAGAGCTCCGTGGTCGACTACTTCACCGTGCTTTCACGGAATATCGAAACCGGCGAGATCTCGTCGAGAAGTGCACGCAAGGTCGTGCTTGCCCTCGGTGGTACTGCAAAGCTACCCGCTGAGCTTCCCCAAGACGCTAGAATCATGCACTCCTCCAAGTACTGCACCACGCTCCCGGCCTTGCTCAACAACAGCACCGAGCCCTACAACATCGCGGTTCTTGGAAGTGGTCAGAGTGCCGCTGAGATCTTCCACGACCTCCAAAAGCGGTATCCCAACTCGAGGACAACCCTGATCATGAGGGACTCTGCTATGAGACCTAGTGACGATTCTCCTTTGTAAGCCCCAAACTCCTTCACTTGGTCACTGATCTTAACCGTGCCTTAGCGTCAACGAGGTCTTCAACCCCGAGCGAACCGAGAAATTCTACAACCTCTCCGCTGATGAGCGTCAGCGCTCCCTCCAAGCGGACAAGGCTACAAATTATAGCGTTGTCCGACTCGAGCTGATCGAAGAGATCTACCAAGACATGTATGTTCAGAGGGTCAAGAACCCCGACGAGACCCAATGGCAGCACCGTATCCTCCCGAGTCGCAAGATCACACGCGTCGAGCATTACGGACCGAAGAGACGGATGCGACTTCACGTCAAGGCTGTGAAGGACGGTAACGATAGCATCGTCGGCGATGGTAAGGAAATCTTGGAGGTGGATGCGCTCATGGTTGCTACGGGCTACAACCGCAATGCGCACGAGCAGCTTCTCAGCAAGGTGCAGCAGCTGCGACCGGCAGCGCAGGATCGCTGGACCCCTGGGCGCGATTACCGAGTGGAACTTGAGCGAAGCAAGGTTAGCGCAGACGCCGGAATCTGGCTACAGGGATGCAACGAACAAACGCATGGGCTGAGCGACAGCCTGTTGTCGGTTCTGGCCGCGCGAGGTGGCGAGATGGTGGAATCGATTTTCGGAGAACAGCTCGAAAACGCGGCGGTGCCGGACACCAGATTCCGCGCTATGCTGTGAAAAAAAAATCGAACCTAAAAGTAATGACGAAACCTGGCGGACCCGCCTGGTTGAAGTATGGAGTACTTAACGTCGGAGTAAAAAGGACTTTCATAGTATAATTTTGATTGGTTATAGCATCATTCCTTATTGCAAATGTCTCTCGAAGACGCCAGACTACCGCCGATTCCAGAAATGGGCTTTGTGAGAGTTTCGGCCTGTGCACAGTTGCGGAATATTTTCTCGCTTGCTCAAAGGCTGCTTCTGGTTGGATTTTTGCAGCTCATTTCATCCTCGTGCAGGAAACATGATTAGTTCGACCCACACTAGGCCAGAGCTGGCTCAATTGGCCACGACTGCACGCACAGAAAACCAAAGACGAATATTCTCGGAGGACTTCAGAAAGTGTTGACTGCTTTGCAGATCAGCGACGAAGCGAGGATTTGGACGTCCTGGGCGAGCCAATGATGGTCGCACAGGAAGAACAAGAACGGGTCGTGAACGACAGAGGTCCCAAATAGCGTTGGGACTGCCCAGGCCAGGACCCATGTTGTGCCGCTGATTGGAACGAGATGCCGATAATCTGATCATCAGATAAAATTTTCACTCGTTATCTGATGGCGCCACGGAAATCCTCCCACACCTCGCTCTGCAGGCGACTTGTGAGTGCAGACGTAGTCTGCATGAAATGTTCCAACTAGCGAATTACCTCGCAGCCTGATATCACCTTCCCTCTGAGGCCATCAGCAAATTGAAGCGACGGAACACGATGGAAAACGGCGGACAGGCGAGCTCGGCAAGGCCAAATATTATCATATCAGATTGATCAGCTGCTACGTAACCAATGGCTCCGCGCTGACCGCCACGAATGCTCATTGCTTCTCGTTGACCGGTCTCCACAGGACTAGGGAAGACGACCCCATACAAGCCTATGCCCAGCCCTGTTCTAAATCAGCTGAAGAAGCAAATCTCGACCGACAATGTTACCTTGCTGACTCTTCACGATTTCTTGGTGCCTGTGGAAAACTCTTGGAAGCTTACTTTGTTTGGGAGAATGCTTGACGGTCATGTTAGGTCTTGTTTGATGCCTCGGCTGGGCAGCGGAGGTTTCAATTCAGGGGCCCTCCTTTTTTTTATCCTCGAAAGACTCAAAATCAACTCCCCAGGTCATGTAGGGACCGTCAGTCTACTCCGGAGTACCATGTGCAGATCAAAAAGAAGGGGCGGGCTCCCGAAAGTACATGGTGACTGGTCTAAGGTAGGTACCTCGTACAGATCGTACAGATCCAGTGTGGAGGAAACCCAAAACCAGAGTCGGGTCGGAGAACGTCGGATAGAAGTGGTCTCCTTACACGTGCCGAGGAAGAGCTGGGTCGAAAACAGAATGTCATTGGAGTGCAATGACGATGTACTCCATCCGCAACGCATGGCCTCCTCTGGTCCCCACGTCCTCTACAGACGACCTTGGGAGCAGAAAGAAGACAGAGTCTGGGCTTCAAGATTTTCTGCAAGAATCGCACGATGCTGCGTTGTACCCTAATCAATCGCATCAACCATCTCCACTATATTTTAACTCTATATCGTTGAAGACGCCGTACGGAAGCGTTCCTTCAACGACTTCAGGTTTCCGTACGCCGAGACAGGGGTATACATAATGGGGTCCATCGATTCTTCAGAGAAACCTGGCACTTACTCACGACTGAGCTAAGACAAAGTACTCCCTGGGCCCCAAACCATCCTCTAAAAGGATAAGTCACAGGAAAAGGGCCTTACTTAACGGCAACCGACGTTGAATATTTGCATACAATATTCTTGTAGCGCACGGTGTCCACTGTAACGATGTACCCTGCTCAGTCGTACTCGGCGCCCAGCCCGGTGGCCAACTCATAGCCGAGATAAGATTGCTAGTGTGGGATTGAGTTCCAGGTCCCACACTGCGTTCCATAATCCCAGAGTTTTGAGGCCCTGAGAAGCTCGGCAGGGTGAGACAAGCGGCGTGTGCGAATTTTACAGGGGAGTGGAGTGCGATATCGGATCTTCTGCTCGTACTAGTTAGAGGTACTTGTGCCTGATCCCGACAGTGAATGGCGGACCTTGGATGTTTCCATACATACCATGCACTGCAGAATAGTTTGTAATTCTCAGTTGCTGTATTTTTCATTTTCCAGGTTTCATCTGACTAGTAACTAGAAGACTGAAGTACTACGTACTTATCCTGGCTTGGCCTGGATGCTGTACTAAAAGTCCAAGTATCAGTCGCATTCAACAGTGAGGAGGATGCTATAACGAGTAATGCTCGAAGTATATACAGAGACTGCTATTAGAACTGTATATGCAACATTATACAAGGAAACCAGGAAGACGGCACCTGCACCTTCATAACCCAACAACCATGCATAACAATGGAATTATCCGATGGTCATTACTAGTATTCCTCTTCTGTTCGCCCCTTCCGAAATTACAGTCAATCCAAACTACACACAAACGGAAAGCTAAATCTCTATACAATATCCTCGTCGCCCGCCACACTCATGTAACCCCCACCACTGTGCATCCGTGAAGGTGACTCGTACATCCGGTTGTAGTTGACGATTTCACCACCGAGCATCGCGGATCCAGGGTCTCGCTTTCCAAAGTAGGGGGCAGGGTCGCACCAAAAGTCGCGGCAGTTTGTGACGAGGCCCCGTGAGAAAGGGTTTTTGGGTCGTGTGGCGCGAGGACCTTCCCGGAGACCATCTCGTGCGGTTGCGAAGAATGTGTCAAAACCAAGAAGGGATGACCATTGCGATAGGCAGCCGCCTCTACGGTGGCGCTGGACGCCCTGCGCCAGCGCTGGGTTCGGGCCCTGGCCAGAAGACGAGAGGCCGGCAGCGTCCATCGAAGTCGTGCCTGCGGTGACGGCGGAAGCGAAAGCCCGCGAGCTGGGGAAGCTCCTGTCGATCGAGTGGCCTCTCATGTTTTCGTACGTTGTTTGGTTTCGTGAGACTTGGACGAGCTGGACGACGCACAGCATGGTGACCCAGACCAGCTGGATGGCTATCCATAAATTAAGTAGAAGAGTAAAGGTGTCGCGAAGCACAAAGTCACATAGCTGATCGTTTACGACGTTGCATTGGGGCTCCACGGGAGCCGGTAGGCCTTTGAGATCTGTGTCATCACATAAGCACTGATCTAAGCCTCTGGTCTGGGAAAGACTCACAGTTGAAGCTTAGATTAATGAATAGGATGATGCCGAATTCCAGGCAAAGGATATACAAGACGAATGGACGTAGATTGTTGGAGCCCACGCAGTTATCGATCCAAGGACAGTGACTGCATAGTTAGCATCGTTGCTTGCAACGAAACCGAGGAGTCTTACTGGTCGTGTTTAGAAACGCAGCGCGAACAGCGCTTGCAGTGCTTGCTGCGAAGGGGCCTTCGGACCATGCAGTAGACGCAGAAGTTCTCTTCGTCAAACTTCCATTGCTCGAAAAGCTCGGCTATCACCGCTCGCTGTTGGTTCCTGCTGCCAAGCTTTGGCACATACCCGGGGTCCGTAGCCATGGCGAAGAAGTAGAAGTAGGTAGTTAAGGAAGCAAAACCCGCGAAACCAATGTTCAAGAATGGAGACGTGGAGTAAGTCGCTGAGGCGGCATGTCAGTTCAATATCTGGAGATGCATCAGTATCTACAAATTTCTTACCTGGCAGCACATATAACACATATCTGAGGAAGACCCAGAAAAGCGAGCCCGCAAAAACACCTGCCATGAATGGCTGGAACACCGATTAGCGAGCTTTATTTCAAGCACGAAGAGGAAAGCCTACCGTTTTTTGGAGTATCCTGTAATCAGTAGGCCCCAGGCTGGCAGCCTTCCTGGCAATGTATTGCAGCCCAAAAATCACTACAATCGCAACAGGAATAGCGACAAATATGGCCATACTGCTGAGAATCCAGAGAACCATAAAGATCAAGAGGAACGGCCAGAGGAAAAAGAACTTAGACATGATGGTCTTGTCCCGTACCCACGGACCCAAGCCCATCGGGAGAGCCTTCCTGCTACCATCCATGTCATAGCCACATTCACTCAGGGCACGGTACCAAACATGCGTTGTGTTCATCTCTTGGGCCACAGTGGCCGGCGATTTGCCTTCTGTGGTCGTTGCAAATCGATCAGCACCGTATTCGAGGATCTTCTGGACACAAGGGAGGGAGCCCTTGACAAGGGCCCAGTGAAGCGGCGCAAGCCCACCATCATCGACGGCATTCGGATTCGCGCCCCAACGCAAGAACAAATCCACGCACGCCGGGTATCCTTTATAAGCCGCCCACATTAATCCTGTATGTCCCTGCTGGTCCAAGACGTCCACCGGTATCTCTTGATGCAGGAGCAGAACGAGCAGGAATGCGTTTCCGTCAATCGTCGCCAGATGAAGGATATTGTAGCCTTGGACGTCGGTGAGGAGTGGATCGGCGCCGTTCTGGAGAAGCAGATGCACGATATAATAATTACACCGCTGTGCTGCCCACATCGCAGGTGTAGCAACTGACTCTCCTCCCTTCGCATTCACATCGGCCCCGGATTCGATAAGGAATTTGCACATCGCATACTGGTTGTTAATCGCGGCCCACTAGTAAAGGCAAAGGGTGCGGTTAGTACAGCGCTCGGCTCATAGACTGCAGAGAAGGAATTGCACGCACATGTAATGGGGTAATCCCTTCTTCATCTGTGTGGTTCGGGGTAAACTTCTCCTCGTCAAACATCCTTTGCATGACCGAAACCTCTCCTATCCGAGCAATCTGCATGATATCTTCTCCTAATGGAATCGAGCCTCTAACTGGGCTGCGCTCAGGCTTCATACTCTTGAGCTCGACCGATACATCTTCCGTCGCGACTTTTGGAGGAATGGCGGCGCTTTTGCCAGAGGGTAAAGAAGGCGGACTAGATCCCAAGGCGGCGGAGCTGTTGCTGCTGGTGGCTTGCTGACCGGTGGAAGAAGCTCCGGAAGACATTTCGGTCTTCAATCGAGGTCAGTTACTCGATCGCGAATAGTGTAATGCAACTGATTAGGCTTCTTGTAGGAAAAGGTAGATCGATGCGGAGGTGACACGATGCAATTTAGTGAGGCGCTTGTCGGCTCAAACAAGCATTTGCGGAGATAACAAACAATCTAGACAACGAGGAGTTTGAGACGCTGAAATCTCGATAGAATCAAAGAAGAAAAATTAGAAAAGATTAATCTCAAGAAGAAGGCCGCCAAGTCACGCTGGGTTGTCAAGGAAGAAAAAAAGAAGGCAGATCGGTCTGCTTGTTAATCGGGGGAGATGCGGCTGGGCTGACGGTCGATCACTCTACCTTACCCTACAGCTCAGGGACTCTCCTGGTCTTTTCAACGGCCGGGAAAATTTGTACTACAGCCAAGTCAACTTGAAGTTCTTAGATTTTTCCAATCTACCCAATCTACCTCAGCCATACGCACTTCTCTTTATCTCTGTTTGGCTCTCGTCAAATTTAGGCAAATCGGTCTCTTACTCAGATTCTCGTGTTCATCCTAAGCTCATGATGCTAGGCAGCCGCGTTCCTTTCGTCTGCAACCCTCGCTTATCAAAAGGTAAAAGTGGGTATAAGTACAAAATCGAAAAAGAGAATCCAAGATAATGAGAAATTGCAAAAACAGTGAATAACGCTCAAGTCTGGTCAACGGACTCTGCCGGGTTACTGAGGTTTGGGGTACCATGTCCAAAATTTACCCCTTTTCGCGATTCCTCGTCGAATAAACATTCGACTTAATCTGCTAAGTTGGAGCCGTATCCATCCTATGATGCTTTTAGGAGCCTCGCTTGTTCGATCAGCATCTCACGGTCGACGCGAAGCTCGAAGTCGGCGAGAAAACAGAAACTGATCTCTAGTCGAGACAATTCCTTCTCACCAACTCCTCCAACTTTGGCAACCCGGTTATGGGAATAGCTGAGATCCTCAAGCGTCTTCATGGCCACGCGCAAGCCTGCCAGCACCAGGCGATGTACGTTTTTCCGATTCACTGATATGATCCGATCAATATTGGCCATTCTTGTGATGTAAAGGCTTGTTGCAAGATAGACGCCTGTGGACATCGGACAGTAGCGATGAAGTCGCGTCAAATATTCCTTCAGTGTTATAGGCGGTTCCCGTTTCGAGAGAAATCGCTTAGATAGCACAGATTGTTGTATGGAATCATAAGCGAGGTGGCCTTCGCCAGCCGGAGAGAAATGCAATTCAGTCACACGTATTGGACTATCGTCACCGCTTGATATCCCGCTTCGCACACCCTGCGTGGAAGAATTGGCGGTAAGTTTGTCCATAGCGATGCACAAGAGCCCTAAGGCTGTATCCGGCGTCATCTCAAACACATCCGTAGAGTCGACTTTCGAGTCATTTGTCCCTTGTGTTCTAGATCCCTGTTGATTTGCGTCTCCAGAAGAACTCAGAGGTTCGCCCTCAGCAGCACCACTGCCATTCATCGCGAGATTCGGTCGGCTGGCAGAATAAATATGGTGATGCGAAGTGTGCAGCTATACCGATCGATGTATAGCGGTTCGTGGATGACAGGAGCATGGTCAGACTACGCCCTGATCACTCCCTAAAACCTGCGCACCGGTCGTAAATCGTTGATTGAGCTAGCTTGGAAGGTGCTAACACATGGATAGAGATTAGAGAAGCGTCCTCAGGAGACGGAGAAGTGGAGTGGGTTCGAGGCGGGGCGAAGGATAAGGGGATTGTGAAGAAATCTCAGAGGAGTCGGTCCATCGGCGATACAATGTCGTTCGCTCAGTCGCTTTGTATCTTCAGGTCACTAGCATGGAGCAGTTAGCGTTGCAGCCAACGACCCTTTCGAATGAAGCAACACCTCAGGCTGCGTGTGAGCACCTGCCCAAAGTAACACCCAAGATACAGCAGAGCGGAGGTCGACAAAGCTCAAATAGACCGAGGAAATCACTCTGTGAAGCCTGTGCAGTAAGATTTTATCGCCTCATCTATCAAATTCATAATGAAAACTCAAAGAGCGTAACCTCCTGGAGTCATGGCTGGAGCTCGGATTGATGGGTCGTTGTCGTCGTGGACCTTGGCTGATCGGGCATTCCTCCGCCCAGCGCCCGCTACTTCTGGCTGGAACAAACCGTAGCTGCAGCGTGGCATCCTCAACCACACCCACCAAACTTATCTATATGCAAACAAGCCAAAAATAACGTCTCCATCCTCTTCATGAATATATAAACTTTCCCAATGACTTCCTCTAAATTCCAAACGGAAACTAAAACCAACTCCGTCCCTGAGTCCTTGAGTCCTTGAGTCTTTATCTCGTGACAAACAAAAGAAATGGTATAACGAAAGACTTTGAGGGGGGTGAATAAACTGAGATAACGAAATCAACATCCAGTGAGACCCATAATTTCTTTATTCTTAACGCCAGCGCCAACTATACCGCCGAGAACCCGAGCCTCGGAGGTAGCTCTCATCCTCAGAGCTGAAATCTCGCATATTGTCAAATCGCTGTCTCCATCGCGAGCTAGAATTTGATATCAAATCATGAACCTGGCTTCTTCTTCGCCGTGCCTCGGCGTAGATACGGTCCCCAGCTTCCGAAAGATCGCTTTCACCGTCTTGGATAATCCGAGGCCTGGGCCGAGTTCTTCCTAGTGGACGCAATGTTTCTCTCCGAAAAGTTTCACTCCAAAGTCGTGGTGGACTAGACTTTCGGTATACTGGGCCTGGCGAAGGATCCCGATACCGTGGTCTGTTGTAGATGATTTCAGAGTCTCTGCGATCCAAGTATCGACGTCGGATTCGGTCATAGATATCGTCATCCTCCCTCTCTGATTCACGATGCGCAGGCCGCTCACGGCTCTGGCTTCGGCTTTGGCTTCGACTCCTTTGTTTCACATACTCGATGTCGTCCGCGAACCGGACTTGTCGTCTTCCTGAACTTCCGCTGCGCTCTCTTCTTCGCTCCGGAGACTGATGAATCTCAATATCGCCCTGGCGTCGTCGCCTCACTGGTTCACGCTCAACGACTGGTGTCCGCTCGCGTGGCTGTCTGGGCACATTGAGCCTTTCTCGAGACCGCGGCTCTCGTTGAGGCTCCTCGACCTCTACAGTTGAATCTTTCAGAATGGGTCGAGGAGAGAGCGTCCTTCTTGGTGAGATGCATCGGATCTCCGGGGAGAAAGACCTTGCTCTCTCCCCTCTCGGCCAAGCGTATCGTGTCTCTGGGGGATCGACCACGAACAGACGTGGAGATCTCGTGCGACCTCTCGTTATGGGCGCATAGTCGTCTTTCGCCGGCTCGACCCGTTTGATGAACGGCAAGCGCATCTTAAATGGTTGACTCCGTATTGGCGACGGGTCTCGCCTCCAGAGTGCGTTGAGACCTCTCCTGGGCTTCAGAGGCTCTCGCGTCTCGATAATGCGATAACTTGGTGAGTGGCTCTCCTCGGACCGCTGACGTTGATCATACCGTCTGTAGTAGTATTCGCCGTGGTCATAAACTCGTGGACGCGTGCATGTTCTCGCGCTGTCGCTAGACACGTATCTGCGAATAACCTTTCTTGTTCGGATCTCCATGGTGAGTTGTAGATGTCAGTAAATGTATATCAATGAGGCACATCCCGCGTTTTCCAGAAACTCGGTGCGCTGCTGGGGCTTTGCGCCGCGTTGACAAGACAAATTGAGGACGTTATTTGGCAGGCACACACACACGAAGTTCCGGTAAATGAGATGGCCTCGAGTACAAATATAGTTGATCGAGAGCTTGACACGATCAAACCATCGTGTTGGATCTGGAGCAAGTATGAACGCCGGACAAAGGGCAAACAACAGCAAAATACAAAGATCCCACATAGTAGTAAACCAACAAAGAAGGAGAGCAGGAGAAAGGGAAGAGTACCTTGATCTGACCCGTCTGCGACGAGCAAAGTGTGAGTCTTCTTGTTCAGGGCCTTGTCATGAATAAGGAACATGTGCTCAAAGTCATGGGGTTGAAAGGGCCGCGCGCCTGATTTTGTATCAGAATACGGAACTTATAAGGGAGTTTGGAGTCCGAAGGGGGAGCTGTTTTGTTGCTTCTTCTTTATACAAAGTGGTATATTTATCTGTGGATAAAGAATGTCGCCTTATATAAATGTATCTGTTTCAAGAGATCTAAGAAAGTGTGCCTTATCAAAGAAGAGCACGTCAGAACAGCCCCAGCCCACCCCGAGCTTGGGGACGGGTACCTGCCTAACTTCACTCCACGACCATTGCAGCCTAGACTGCACGACTGTACTACAAGAGACAAGGCTGAAGATGTGAAGGGTAGACTGGTTAGCAAGTAAGAGTCGTCATTCATCGTAAATGTTGGGAAAGAAAGCCCTAAATCCATCCTTCCCCTCACACAGCCCACCAAGTTCAGCTGGTATGTTCCCAAGTCTACGGGGATCTTTTTGCATCTCCGATGTTCCGGTCAGAATTGCAAGGATTGAAGCTATCATTGCGAATATGCCGGTCACTAGATCGTTAAGAGTGCTTCTAATCTAGGTAATGACCTCGAGTCAGCCGGGCAGGTTTCGGAAGCGCCGCGAGGAACAAAGAGCAGGTGACAATGACATCACAACGGAGATGGGTCTATGGTTGTGTGATGTGAGTGTCGAGGATGATAAGCTATTATTACTATACTTCTTCCTCTAAACGAAGTGATTCAAGTTAAAGGGTGGTTCAAAATGGCTTAAATCAAGGAAGGGTCGCTACAGGATGCGCGATGGGGCCGGAGGCAAAAGTCGACAAGCGGGCGGGACGATCCGACGCTTCAAGATCCTTGGATGCAGGACTAGATTAGAACGCATGTAATGGTTAGTGTCTGCTGTTGTCGAAATGGCTGAAGAAATGCGCGTGTTGTTGCTGGGTGATTGGATCTCGTGCTCTCGTCAGGGCTGTGGCGGCAACGTTGGTGGCTGTGTCGAGTAGCGTTGGATGCTTTTTGGCAACCAAAAACTATTATAGGCGTCCAACTCCAATATTAAGGGTATCATGTTAGACTTGATGATACTTCGGGAAGTTGGGAAACAGGACTATTGGCTCTGTCTAAATACGCTCTTTCGTTCTATGCATTAGTGGCCTTGTTCCGCTACTGCAGGGATATACCAGAGAGAGATGCTGGAGTCAAGAGCCGCAGCTTAGCACCCCACGAGACGAGAAAGTCATTTGCCACCGTGGCTCCCAAAGAGTGCACTGATAGCAAGTCTCGAGGCCTGGTGTTGAAATTGGTTGCCCATGCCCAGTTATTAATACTCAGGCCTGACAAGACCCGTAATATAGCACCAGCCACAGTCAACTCTGGCGAATAACAGATGTGGCTTGTTGTTGGTATTACGAAGATCATGCTGTTTCCCCAAATGCTTTCGTAGATTATCACTGTAGTGCCATGAAAAAACGTAGAGGCAGAGCTCATCTGTCGCTATGGTCCAGCGCTGACCCGGGAATGTAGCGCTACCCCCACCTCTCCAAAAACTTTTCTCGAGATTTATCCCGTTGATAGACAACATCTTGGTTTAGTCTCTCCATCCCTTTCTGGATACGGCTTAGTTCGGACTCGAGCCCTGTCAGGCTCTTTTCGTGCTCCAGATCTGACAGCGAGGCAGTGAATAGCGAGTCCGCCTTCAACGAAGAAGAAAGAAGTTGAATTGCCCGGTCCGTAGGAAGTAGCTCAGCCGCGAGTGGCGAATCACTGGCAATGCCATAATGACGCAGCCCATCAAGCATATGCTGTCTTTCTTGCAGTATTGTCCGTGCCCCTCCCTCGACTTCTTCGGCATGAAAAACAGCCTCAGACGACAGACCTATGCGGCGCAGGAGCCCACTTAGAACCTCAGACTCGGGAAATGGACCGGATTGCTTGCCAGGCTGAGTATTCGTGAGTGTTGGTAGTGTAGAAAATCTCCTCATGGTGTCCCGCCTTGAAGTAGTCGTCTCTAGTATCTGATCCCCTACTTCGGATCGATACGTAGATGAAAATGCCTCAAAAGCGGCACAGAAGGACTCGCGATCTTGCAAGCTTGTGATCAGGCCGTCTGCAGATGTCGTCATATGCGCGATCAATCCAAGTATCTAGCCAGACATGTTAATGACAGGGCAGACAAGGCAGGAATGTGACTCACATTATCAAGCTTCTCATGGGAGGCAATCCGCAGTTGGCCGTGGTGGTTCTGGAGCTCCCGCAGAATAGGCTCGACAAATTGTTGTTTTGTGGACATTTCAGTCAGGATATCAATCTCGGGATACAGCGAGTCCAGCTCCTCCTCTAGCCCGGCTATGGCTTCTGTTTCTGTGTACGCAGAAGCACCCACGGCCACTTTACCCCCAGATACCGTTTCCAAGTACAATCGATCCAGTCGGCAATAAATCTCTTCAGCTACATATTGGGCGAGTATTGCGCTCAGCTCCGACGTTCGTTTCATGATAGTGGCATCATCTTCCGAAGCCTTTATCCCCGCTGCAAGCCTCTCTAGGTCTGAAAGTAGCTTGTCGTCCTCTTTTAGCCGCGTCGTCAGCACGGAAAGTATCTTCTTTCCGTCCATTGTTGATTTCTCCGATTCATTCTTCAAGCCAACCTCCAACTCACGGGCCAAGTCGTTTGACTGTACACAACTCTCAGTATAATTCCCAGTTTCTGCGAGAATAAAAATTCATTACCGCAGCAACCGTATTCTGTCGCCCTGCGTCATGTTTCTGCCGTAACCTTTCAACCTCTCTGCGTTGTCGAGCTTGGCATTCGTCCTCGCGCTTCAATTGTCGACTCAGAATGTCGTGCTGAGTCTTCAGGACATCCGTCTGTCTCTCTATCTCGGCGGTGGCAGTTTTCAGCGCCTCGATAGCTTCTTGAAGGTCTTCGTCTAGGAGGGGTCGCGTCGAATCGATGTCATTGTGGGAGATGATGGCAGTCAAGGAACCCGAGTCTTCCAGTTTCGCGTACCTACAGATGACGCAAAGTTAGAACTGATAATACTCAAATAGCCAGCTCATCGTGTGGGTTGGTAAATCGTACAAGGTCAGCTCCTCCTGTGACAGAAGTGTATCCGGGGTCAGATGTTCTTGCACCCATTTTGTATGCTTCACACTCTCGGGATCGTCCTGGAAGGCTGTTGCGATTTCATCGCGACCGGAAATTATATTCCGATCTTTGAATGCGGATATAACAGCCTGTGTTGGATTTGTTGGCATTGTTGTTATGGGTCTGCGGCTACCGGAGTCGAAATTGGGTCTTTACCGACAACACCAGGCTTGGCGATCGTGGCAAGAGTATTGGATGACCCAAACACAGCTTAGATACCTTAGAAGGCACGAAGCCATACTTTGCGGAGAAATGACTGGAGTCCGCGTCTGATAACTCTAATAAGTAGTGCTTATTATATGTGGATGCTAAGACAAACTGGGGACGAAGTTGCTCATGCTTTTACAAGCACTCGCTTTCATCAAAAGACTTAGTAGCTTGTAGATGGTGATCAGAATACGAATTGAATAATTTAAAATCTTGTTATCTGTTTATCCTTAGGTTCTGAAAGTTAATTAAATAAACACCCGATCGAAGGCAGCCGATGCAAGCTCAAACCGACATCGTAGTAAGCTATAGCCGATGAGCTGCTGCCACTTCGGCTTCAGCGCCAGTTTCAGCCCCGTGGCCCCCGACCTGTGGGTAATACCATGTGGTAACTGCAATGATGATGTATATCAAAACGCAAAGACCACCTTCAAGGTAATTTGACCTGCCGTCTCGGAGAAAGTTTCCCACCACGAGGATTGACAGCACGACGACCACGATCATGAAGATCTCAAAGTTCAAACTGACATCCTTCGATAAACACCAGCCGACAATGACTGCAAGAGGTGCATTAAGCAAAGCAGTTTGGATTGACGGCGCAAGGCAGTGGAACAAGGCGAAGTTGATTTGGTTGTCCCTGAATAAGAGAGAGCCACAGTCAGCCGACCTCGCGATACGCAGAAGAAAAAAATCAATCAGCACTCACCAAGCTTCGTCAATCGCTGTCAAGTGCTCTGCAGCCTTTTCAACCACAGGAACGAGGATAAGACCCATAAAGTTATCGGACACGCCTTGTTCGTGGACAATATGCTCAATTTCGTGGACCAGGAACACGGCTGACATACAGACAAAGGTAAGGGATATAGCAATAGCGATCAGACACTCAGTAAGTGTAAGCTTAGCCCGCTTCTTCTCCTTTTCACGATCCTCGTCTCGATTCTCGTCTATTTCGAGGATTTCATCGAATATCGTGTGGTGGCTGTGAAGGTTGTAAAACAGATACCTAAGACACAAATCAGGAGGTCCATTCGAAAAAGAAGGCCAGATTGACGTACATGAGAAAGGCAGCGAGCAAAATAATGGCGGTAGCACGGCTGATTTTCAAGGCGGAACGAGTAATCTCTTCAAGTGTAGCTGTTGTATTCGAGCTGCTACTATTAAGAGCCGCGTAGAAGGCGCTGGGGATCAGCAGGCCGAAGCCTGCAACCAGCAACAAACCAGAGCCGACTTCACTAACAGCCTCGTGGAAGACCTGGTCCTCGCGGCCGAGTCCACCGAAGAAGAAGCATAGACCCAAGCAAAGGAGAAGATTCGCTAATATCGATCCCAGAATGGCAGCCTGGATGACGGGGATCAAGCTACCATTTTGGTCGTTGTGGATCAGCACCATGAAGAGCACAATCTCAACAACCGAGCTGAGGGTCGTTTCTAAGAGGACGCCAAATACCTAAGCAGGTTAAAATGAGAAATTCGAGGATACAGTGTAGGCATACGTACCTTCGGCAGCTTCTTAGCAAGCTCGCCGCCAGCAAAGCCAAGTAAATTTGCAGATGGCACCATTGCGATATAATTGAGGGCAAACACCCAAACGTGGAGGTCTGGTCGAGCGAAGTGAATAGCGACGGCAGCAGGAACAAACGGCCACAAGATATTGACTATCATTGACAGGGTGCAAGTGCTCCTGAAGCACACCTGCAGGAACAGAAGGGGATGGATGCCATTGCGCCCACTCTGCCCAGCAGTGTGAACTCGAAAAAATCTCCGGTGCGGGTCTCGACCTTTCTCCTCATTGTGTGTAGGCAGCATAAAGCCATTGTCGGCTGGGCCGGCTGGGCGGCTGAGGTTCGACATCAATAAGCTTTCGTTTCCTTCCTGGTATGACGAGGGTCGACTTTCTGGGCGTGCCATGGCGAGAAAGAAGGCGAAGGTGAAGAGACGAAGCCTATATAGCAGCGGCCTGGGGCTGATTAAGAGGCGGCTGAAGCTCAACGATGCAGGGTGTCACAAAAGGAAGCGAATCTCTGATCTATGCTATAAATACCAACTAGGCGAGCATTAACATACCAGGTAATGTGTCGGTCAGCCCTGGTGAGAGGGAGAATATTGAAGAGTGAGCGCTGCGGCGGTGGTGACTCGCAGACAGTGATATGGGTACCAAGAAAAAGGAAGTCCGGGGACGATCTCTTAAGAAGGAGGATATTGGCCCTTGAATCCCGTCCCAACGGTGAGCTGGCAGTGGGCACAAGTGGCATGCAGACAGAAATCGCTCAGAACTAAACTGAATCTTGACACAAGCTCAGTGCAAGAGGTTAGCAGAAATAAGAGCCATCCTGAAATTTCACCAATTGGCGCCTTTGTTGTCATCGAGAAATAAATGGTCACAAATACCGGCCCAAAGCTACTGACTATTCAAGACATTGATGGGCGTCTTGGAAGCCTTGGCAGACGGGGCTTGAAACCACTTGGCTCAACTTGTCAAGGCTCGGCCGTCGAAGCAATGCGTTCAGTGGCTAGAACCAGCTCGTGAAATGGGGATTTCATCATCATCTCCATGAGGTCGAGGTATCCGCAGACCCTTGCAACACTTTGAATCATAGAACAGAAAGTCGCAGCATACACGTTGCATGATGCATCACTCAAACACACAGCATGAAGGCCTGTGACCCAATTTGATGCCCTGCTTTTCGCGCTGACTCGCCTCCTGTTTGCTTGTTGCTTTTTCAAGGTTAGTGATTGACCCTTTTTTTGGATTGCGAGGGAGGACAGAGGAGATACGAGTACTCCACCGCTATTAAGCACAGCCACAAATACTTTGTGGATGTGGACTCGGTTCGGAACAATGATGTCCAGTCCTCAATCTCTCCTGTCAGATGGTTGAGGAATCGTCTTCTAGATGCTTCAGAAAGCCTGACTTCAATTCTCCCAATTTTCCGTATCCGTGTTTTCATTCAACGATCGCGACGTGGATAAAACACTTTGTGTCGTGAGAAAGACCGCTGGTGGGCTTGCAGCCCCTTGCCTCTCATGATCCATAGCTGTGTGTGCGCTGGAAAAAGCTGATTCAAGAATCTTCGTGTCGGCATCTGACATCATCAAGTCTTGACCTCTAGTCATAGCTAAAGGAAAGCTGAATGCGTCCCTGCGGTTTCTGGCATTGACTCTCTTCGTTTTCAAGAATTGTTGGTTTCCTGACAATTCGAGGGGGCAAGGGGATGACAAGGCGGAGTGGAGAGACTGGTACCCAGCCAAACCAGGCATCTGATATCAGCGTCTTTTCGTTTGGTTCCAGCTTTGGTGGAAAGATCAGTCTAGTAATATCGGGCGATACCCTGGTCTGTTGAGTGTTGCCAGTCTACTGTTGGCGTCGAGGATTCAGGTGGGCAAATTTGATCGTGAGTAGCCTTCGCGATCCAGTTTGAATTTATGAGGGTGTAAGGGTGCTTCTCTTCGGGACCCTCATGGATCTACTTCTTCATGATGAGGTGTCTCTTTAGTGCATCTGCCGGTTCAAACAAACTTACATCGTACTCTGAAGTAAGATATCCGAACCCAAGAGTTGGCCTACTAGGGCCCTCGGCCCCGAGGAAAGATACATGATTCCGGATTGGGACTAGTCAGGTCGACATCAGATGGTCGCAGAATTGCGAAAGTGGCGGCGGCTATTGTCGGAGGGGCATCTTTGTTTCCGTCAGGTCATCGAACTTTTTCTTCATTCCTCGCAAGCCTTTGGAACCTCAGTGTGCTTCTTTTTAACTGAGTGTACCTTTCGCGATATTCAAACGTCTGTCATTTGCAGACTTCGCCCACAATGTCTTCCAAAACCACGCCAGCCTTCCCTCCAGTGGCTCTCGATACCATAACCCAGCACATTGGGAACACGCCTCTTGTGAGGTTGAACAGGTTACCACAGAGCCTTGGGATTGAAGCTACGGTATATGCGAAATTAGAATATTTTAATGCAGGTGGCAGTGTCAAAGATCGGATAGCTCTGCGCATGATTGAGGAGGCCGAACGCTCGGGGCGTATCAAACCTGGCGACACTCTGATCGAACCTACCAGCGGCAATACGTAAGACAACCAGATCCTGAAGCCCTTCTGCCGAACGTACACTCTAAAACAACTCTTACTCTAGTGGTATTGGCTTGGCTCTGGTCGCAGCCGTCAAGGGTTCGTGTCAGCTCTAATTGTTGCATTGTGGTCTCGGCTGACTATTTGAACTCCAGGATACAAGACCATTATCACTCTTCCGGAGAAGATGTCCGCTGAGAAGGTGTCTGTTCTACGTGCTCTCAACGCGACCATTATCCGTACGCCTAACGAAGCCGCTTACGATTCGCCTGAATCTCACATTGGCGTTGCCAAGCGTCTCGAGAAAGAGCTTCCCAATGCGCACATCCTTGACCAGTATGGCAATGAGAACAACCCACTGGCTCATGAACTCGGTACCGCCGAAGAAATCTGGACTCAAACGAAAGGCAACATCAAGGCAATCGTTGCGGGTGCAGGAACTGGTGGAACAATCACCGGGCTTTCCCGTGGTCTCAAGAAACACAATCCCGACATTCAAGTTATTGCCGCCGATCCTCAAGGCTCCATTCTAGCCCTACCAGTATCCTTGAACGAAGAGCACGCCAACGAGCCCTACAAAGTCGAAGGTATCGGGTATGATTTTATTCCTCAAGTGCTGGATCAACATGCTGTCGACAAGTGGTACAAAACAGCCGATAAGGAATCATTCCAATATTCTCGCCGATTGATCGCTGAAGAAGGTCTCCTCGTTGGCGGAAGCAGTGGAAGTGCTATATCAGCATTGGTCCAGGCAGCCAAGGAATACAACTTCGGCAAAGATGACGTCGTCGTTGTGGTTCTGCCGGACAGTATCAGGAGCTACCTCACAAAGGCAAGGCTTCCTATACCTAAATATCCTGTATATAACACTAACTGTTGGTACAGTTCGCCGATGATGATTGGCTTGCAGCAAACGACCTCCTACCATCTCTCCCAAGTGAAATCACACTACCATCCACTACTAAGCAGTCCAAAGGACAAGGCGACGCCTTTGCGGGTCACACCGTCAGCTCGCTCAGATTAAAACCCGTCACTACCGTCCATTCAAATATTCCCTGCGAAACCGCCATTGAAATTATGCGTGACAGAGGATTTGACCAACTTCCTGTCCTCGCACCCTCTGGCAAGAAGCTCGTGGGTCTAGTCACGCTAGGAAACGTCCTCAGCCGGTTAACGCATAACCGCGCAACTGGAAAGAGCCCCGTCGCAGACGTTATGTTTGACTTCCGCACAATTGCCGAAGTCGTCACTGACCCTCGCGACATGGGCCTTGCAAGCTTGAAGCCCGATCAAAATGGGCCGCATGTCCCAAAGCCGCAGATTAAGAATCGTAAATTCGTCGAGATTACTCGAGATACTCCGCTCAGTGTGCTCAACCGCTTCTTCGAGTGGAACAGTGCTGCTATCGTCACTGACCGAGATGAGACTGAGACTTTGAGACCTGTGGCCGTCATCACAAAAGTCGATCTCCTCACCTGGATGCTCCAACATAGCAAGAATGGCGGGTCGCAATAGGCTTGATGCTAGATGCTGTGTTGCTTTCGTGTCTCATGGCAGTATACCTCTCGAGGGGGTTTCTTTGCAGGAGCCGCAGCATCATTATTGATAGATAATAGACAGAAATATGGGGTTCAACACCAGAAGTGCAAAAGGGCGGAGTTATTGGTGTGTTATTATCTGGCAATTGGAAATAGTGTTAATGGATTATATCTCTTCCTTGCTGAGTAAAACTGGTTTGGTGCGATGCACTCAAGATAGACAAGTACTGCGAAGCCGTTCTCTATAGATTTCATAACTACCACAGTAAAGAAGCTCGGATCCAATAATTCAGGTCTCACAGACATTGACCGATCCATTCTTCCCATCTCCGCACACCAGCGCCAACCGCATCGCCCTCGTCGCCCTTTACAGCTCCACCAGCAACCTCAACACTCACACCAATCTCTTCCTCGAAACTCTTGAAATTAAAGGTATCCTTAACATCATAGCTACCTAGAATATCATCCTCCCCATCACCATCCCCAGCGTCAGCGCTAGCATCCATAAGCCCCTTGCTCCTCGACTTGCGGATGCGATCAATCTCCGCCTCTAGCTTCTCACGCACAGATCCAGGCGGGAGGGCTGTGAAGAGGTCTTGCTTATTCGCCGCAATAAGAACGGGTATCTCAGCCGCAGCTTTCAACGAGGACTTGCCCCGTTTCAGGGCTCGCCGCTGAAGGATCAAAAGCACGTCGTAGAGGTACGAAGCCGCATCTCTCAGGGCTTCAGTTTCCGGTATCGCCGCGGTATCGACCATGAAGAGGACGCCGCGGAGCTTCGACTTGGTCTCTTTTGATTCCGACATTGAGATGAGCTCGGAGAGACCTTGGGATCCTCGCAGCTTGCCATGGCCGGGTGTGTCTCGAACACGGTATTTGATGGGATTGCGGTGGCCTTCTTTGAGGGAAGGGTCATTGACGGAGCGGTATTTGTTGGACGCAATAGGCACGGAGACGGGAAGGCGGATTGTAGCGAAGGTGGAGGTCTGGGATGTATGCGTGGGCTGGGTCTTCGGGGTCGCAGAGAATGATGATTTCGCTTCGAGCTGTTCGAGTGAGTTATCAGTATCATCCACATCTCCCGAGACTCCGGCCTTCCTTGAATTGAGAATTGGGAAAAGGCGTAACATACCAGGGTCAAAAGAGCAGTTTTACCTGCCCCGCTAGGACCGAGAAGGAGGAAATTACTGGATGGCGGAGATGCCACTGCTCGGTAGAAAAGAAAATGTAGCAGGATGGGGACTCCAAACGTGATGATCACCGCGATGGCGATACCTAGGGGACTACCCTCGAGCAGCTTCGTAGCTACTGCTTCGAATAGTTCCCAATTGCTGCGACCGGCCATCTTGGGTGATGCACAACAATGAAGACGGTAGGGCGACGGTAAGCTCGTAATATTGGGAAATGAAAAAATATATTAACTTCCAGTCATCAGTTAGTCATTGTTGAACAACTAACTAAATAGCCCAACGCTGTTCAAATGGCGGACCTGATATCGGGAAGCCCTATGGTGGAGCTTCTTCCTCAACGATACCTGGTCACGCCACCTCGGCGAGCTCATTGGGTGCCCTGCTGCCTTGTAGCTTAGATGCCGTATTCCTGAGGCGACAACACGCCTCGAGCATGCCAGTTGCGAAGGGGTGATTGAAGGGTAAACTTGCATAGAGAATGAAAATCATGGTTTCATAACAAACAAAGCCAAAGGTTTGGTCTGTCATACACTCTTTTCGTCTTCATGTTCCGTTCCCTGTCCAAAGCCCTTTCCACTTTGATTGTTTATTTTGAACTATCCGAACTATACCACATCTTCACTATGCGATTAGCCCAATCATTTAGAGCCCTCATCCTCGTTCTGACCTCGACTGTACTAGCAATCTCCGATCTCAAAACAGAAGATACCGTGACAGCATCCTGGAAAGCCCCCGGCACTATCCCCACCAACCTCGACCCGAGGACGAACAACAGCGAAACGGAAGATCTGGGCCTACAGAAACGAAAACTCGCCGTGGACTCATACACAGTTCCCTACCCACTGCAGACTGGTCCAACGAGATATGCGCCTATGGCTAAGAAGCCCGGGACTGCCATACCAACGACCTCGCCAACGCCTCAGTTCCCAGCGAGTCCGTACACGATTGCCACGGCATATCTGAAGCCGGGGACTGTTGAAACGACCCTTACTGCTTTGGAGACGGTGTCTGTGACTATGATAGAGAATACGGTAAGTAGCGGATATTCCCCGTTGATTCACCTGCCAGTTTTGTTCCTGGATTTCGAAGTATGTTATAACTGAGGATTGCCCTAGGCTGCTCCTGCGCCACACCCTTAGCTTGTTATTGAGGTCACGGTCCTCACAAAATGGAGGTGATGATTCATATCAGAACTAGTTCAACTCATCCAGACGTGGAAATGGTCAGTGTGTGGCCGATGAGTCAAGTATACTTCATCTGAAAGGCAAGAGGCTAGGGTTGAAACCGGCATGCCCTGGTGTCTGTTTGTATTCGTCAAGCGCTCCAGGTCCTTTTTTTCCAATCTGATGCCAAAATTGACTTCTATGTACAATCAGGTAAATATACCACAAACAATTGACAGGAGATAAGATTCTATGTAGGGAGGAGGTATCATTCGCTTTTATGAGTAAATGTCAATCATCTTTCATGATAGGACGTGATATAGATATCGGCCGCGTCTATCGTCGTGTTGGTTCGTCATTTTCAAAGAACGAGATGTTCTCTCGAAGAGCAACATATTCGCTATCCGCATACCCAAGCAACGAGTGTATATGGGTACTCCGGTGACCTTTGATCCGGGCTATTTCTAGGCTGCCATAGTTCACTAGGGCACGCCCCACTTCTTTCGGCTCCTGCCCATGGTGTAGGAAGTCCCCGTTGAGGGCATCCGGAGATAATCTCTCCACGACAACTAATCGGACCGCTTCTTGCTGGCCAAAGTGACCATCCACTTCTACCACGCCTGCTGGTAGAAGACTTGCTTTCTTCAAAAGCGCAGTGTAAGCGCCCTGATCAATGTATATCGTACCATGAGGTGTTAATCCATGAAGAAGCCAAAACGAACGTGAGTGGATCGGTGATTCGGATCGAAGGAAGCGAGTATGGAGGGGCGGGGTTAGTGCCTGCGGGTTGGCCACTGTATCTGCAGCATCGGTGGAAGTTGTTCGCTTCAATTCTTGAAGATATCTCACGATCTCATGGATGTTCCCTGGCTTCGAGCTTTTCGTGATTATTGTCGTTACGCCAGCGCTAGTTCCTAGTCTGGCAGCCGTGATTTTTGTACTCATACCACCAGTCCCTAGAGAGGAACCAGCAGATGAGACATCTGCTTCCAGAGACGATATGTCTGAGACTACCTCAATTGGCTTTGCATCAGGGTTGGTACGTGGGTTTGCAGTGTATAGGCAGTCAACATCAGTCATCAGGAAGAGATAGTCGGCCTTGACCATTGCCGCGGTGATAGCTGACAACGTATCATTGTCGCCGAATTTGATTTCCTTAGCAGATCCAGTTAGCTTGATACCCTGCGCTGCATTCCCAGAAAGGCGACATACCGAGACGGCCAGTGTGTCGTTTTCATTCACAATGGGGATTACTCCCATGTCGAACAGTTGTGAGAATGTGTTTTGCGCATTGAGATATTGCGTTCGCTTGTCGCTGTTAGAGACTGCCACAACAAGTTCAATAAAATGAACTTACATCCGCGATATCATTTCGAGTCAATAGTATTTGGGCCACCGGAAGTCGAAGATGTGAGAACAGTCCATCCCATAGGCTCATGAGCCGACACTGGCCAACAGCAGCCAGCGCCTAGAAGCAATTAATCGTATATCTTCGGCACCTCGAACGACGCGCATACCTGTATACGAGGGAGATGCTTCGGCCTCTCATCGACATCCATCCTCCGCAACCCCACGCCGACAGCACCTGAAGAAACCAAGACGACATTATGACCATCGCGGTGGAGTTTAGCAGCAGTTTCCACGATAAGGGTGAGTATTGATAGTATGGGCTCATGCGTATTCTCGTCGACTATTGAGCTCGTGCCTGCACGAAGAACTGTCAGTATCCCGTGCCAGAGTAGAAGAGCGTTATCCCCGCACCTAACTTGATGACGATGGTAAGGCGCTCGGAAGCCATTGTGAGTGCAGATTTCGAGAGCATTCAAGTCAAAATTGTATTTCGCGCCATAGAGCACCATCAAGATTTGAGATCTTCTTTATCCAAGATTCCTATCCTATATCAAGTTGAGTCATTCCGAATGCGGACCATATGTTTTTCTTTCTGCCGTGGGACACCGCCAAGCTAAAATGCGGAGAGCTCGCAAATCCGCTGTTTGACCTGAAGATCAATTGCTCGGGTTCGGAACCCTATACTTCCTTGTTATCGAAGAAAAAACATGTCTGATTCTCAACCGCCTTCAGGCTCGACGCCAACGCCAGAAAACAAGGCCGACACGGGCTTCCAACCAGGAGATGATACCTTCACGCATTGGCGCAACATCTTCGCCATCCTCATGGGGAGGATGACGGATGAAGGAAAGGAGCAATTTCGCGTTGCGCGGGATCTCCGGAACGAAACGGAAGATTGCAAGCGCTGTGAAACCCAGAGAGATTACCTATTCCAGTACAGTGAGTTCGCAGCCCTCTCCCGTCGCCAATCGCCCCAGCATGCTGGCTAATATGCTTCCTTCAAGGCCCCGTCATCCGTTACCTGAGTGACAATATTCGACAGCTGGGAGGCGATTTATCGGGCCATAATATATACTGCCGTCGGTGCACGAATAGAAAAGCAGGAGGCTTTGATCCGGAATACGGAATTCTACTCTGTGCGAATGAAATGAAGGATCAAGGACATCTGGAGGATACTTTGGCACACGAAATGGTCCATGCCTACGATCACTTAAGGTTCAAGGTCAACTGGAACGATAACCTCAGACATGCGGCCTGCTCGGAGGTAAGAAAGTATCATATGCCGCTTCCTTCGGGATACTAACAACCAGCAGATTCGAGCAAGCTCGCTTAGTGGAGAATGTCGATGGGCACGCGAATTCTTTCGACGGGGACAGTGGAAACTTACGCAGCAACACCAAGAATGTGTCCGACGAAGGGCCATCCTGTCAGTACAAGCTCGACCAGGGTGCCAAGACAAAGCACACGCTGAAAGGGTTGTCAATGAAGTCTGGGACAGCTGCTTTAGAGACACGCGGCCGTTTGACGAAATCTATCGATAAGAGTCTCTTCCCCTCTCGATAAACTTTTTTCCTATTTTTTTTGCGTTTTGCAAGTGGGGCGTAGAAGGACTGTTCATTGTACTATAATGTATCATATGCGGGACGCTGATATCATGCCAGATTCTGTATCCCAAGCGGCGTATTCTGAAAAAGAACAAGACTTATGGCTAATAAACAAATAAACACCAGTTCGACTCCTCAACTGAACTCCATAAAGCAGATTGAACCCAAAGACGTAACACCAAAACCCCTGGCTATGTATAGAGATGCACGTTAGGCTTTGCCTTCCTTTGACGAACCGGAACTCCGTTTAATGACTCGATCATCCTTGGCGCAGTGTTTCAGGATCCAGGGATGCTTCTGGATCTCATCAAGGGTGATCCGCTTCTCGGGGTCGAGCACGAGCAGCTAGGCAGAGAGGTCAGTACTCGAATGATAAACTGCAACAGGTATGCTAACGTACCCTCTTGATCAGGTCTTTAGCCTCGGGGCTCACAAATGAAGGGACCGACATGTCCCCTTTGGCGATCCTCCTCTGCGTCATGACGGGGGTATCCTCGAACGGCGCTTCGCCGACAAGAAATTCGTAGGTCAAAACACCAAGACTCCACAAGTCGACCTTTTCATTGTAGAAATTGTCCTGCGAGCCAGGCTTGAGCATCTCTGGAGGCAAGTAGTCGAGCGTTCCACACATGGTCTGTCGTCGGTTGTTGGGAGCATGGACACTCCAGCCAAAATCGCTGATCTTGATCTCTCCATGGATTCCGACCAAGATATTCTCTGGTTTTATATCACGATGCATGACGTGTTTCTTGTGCAGATATTTCAGCGCAGAAGTCATCTGCGCAATGTACTGAGCAGCCTTCCACTCGGGGAACCGGTGCTCCTTTCGCAGGTGCTTGTACAACTCTCCTCGACCGGCGAATTCTAAGATTAGAAAGATTCGCTTGCTGTCCTGGAAGTGGCCGTAGAGCCTGAGGACATTCGGGTGGCGGAGGTTGCTTTGGATCTCGATCTCCCGTCTGACTTGCTTCTGCACACCACCTTGCTGCAGCTCGGACTTGTGCAGGACTTTGAGCGCACATACAAAACCGGACGAACGCTCCTTAGCGAGATATACCCGACCAAATTTACCCTTTCCTAGAGGCTTTCCGATCTCGAACATTCCAAGGTGCAGCGCTTTGGGTGCTTGCTGCTCGTGAAGCTGTCGCTCTTCTCCATTCTCATCTAGGTTGCGGAGCGAGGACGGGTTCTGGGTGCCTTTTCCCGGTGAATGGAGAGCATTCCTAGCGTTGACCTTATTGTCGTTTGTGTTCTGCAAGGCCAGCTTGAGCAGATTTGACCGATTGGCGCCGCTAGTTAGCTGACCCGTGACCCCAAGACCCGATAGGGACACAGCAGTTGAAAGGGAGCTCTGAGAAAGGCATCAGCAGGGGCTCCTGACACACGCGATTTGTAGCCGCTATACCTTATGCTTAGAGTAGCCATTCTTATTTCCACTCGCAGCATCGTCCTTCACAGAGAGGTGCTCGAAGCGAGCCTCCAAGGTCTTGGTCGCCATGGGTGCGGATCGGATGAGTGAGTTCTGGGACAATGGAGGAGCGAGTCGGACGGGAAGGATTATAAGTGAATATGTCCTACGCAAGCATCGCTGAAAGCTCAAGTAGAAGTAAGATTTGAATTGTAGTTGTTGAGGTTGCCGGATTGTCGAAGAGAAGAGGAATAAAGATTCAAGAAGGCCGATCGGGTGTTTATGGCATCCAGGCCGTAGGTCTGTCACCACAGCAACGCCTCGGACCAGCTCTTTCTCCGGCCACCGCGGGGTAGATACTGGATTCGTCCTCCGCAGACGACGGTCCTGCTATTAAGCTGCAAGGAGCGATTTACTGGTCAGACTGTTAGAACCCCAATAAGACTGCAACGCTCTGGAATATTGCTTCAGGGTTTCGGCACTTTCAAAGTCATGACGTCTCATAACCGCGCAGCTCCCATTGCGGGGAGCACAGCAGCTGTTTCTCCGACCTCACAGAGGCCTGATTCTATTACCGTGAAAGGCTTCAAAATATCAACTCAGAAGTTGCCAATACTCAAGGCTGATCCCATCGAGGCAATGACCAACAAACTTGGTATCGCTCCACCGGAGATGATATTCGGCGATAATTTCATTGCGATCGAGCACGAGAAGAGTGGATGGGGGATCAACTTTAATGCTTTCGATGCTCTGGACCGTGTTGATAAAACAGGCGAATCTATGCTGAAGGTAGCCTATTCAAGGGAGTGGCAGAAAAGCAGGTAAACTTGCGCTCTCCCAAAACATCAAGGCTAGCGAAGCGATACTGACAGTGCATGGTTTGACAGAGAAGCAACTCACGAAGGTATCAAAGATGTTGTCAAGCCCTTTGACTGGTCATACAGTACAGACTACAAGGGAAGCATCATATCTCTTCAGGGCCGTGACTTCGAAGAAACCTCTACCCCCATTCCAATCGAGCTGCTGAAACGCCCCGATCCGATCCTGTTCTTCGATGAGGTAATTTTATACGAGGATGAACTTGCCGACAATGGCATTACTATGCTGTCCTGCAAAATCCGTGTCATGCCAGGCAGGCTTCTTCTCCTGTCGAGGTTCTTCATGCGACTGGATAACGTTCTCTTACGGCTTCGTGACACCAGGGTCTATGTCGACTTTGAGACATCGGAAGTCATCAGAGAATATCAGTCCAGAGAGTGTGACTATGAGGCTGTGAGACAGGTGGGTCAAGGCATGGCACCAAACTCTGAGCAGCAGCTGACACCCTCTTAAAGAAACTCGCGTATGCGAGGGATGATATTCCCGCCATTATGAGGGATCCTAATAGGCTCTCTGACCTTCTCCCTGTTGTTGAGAAGCGACTAGAGCGAGTCTCACTTGCTCAATAATGCAATGACTAGAGAGACCTTTCTACGCCTCAAGAACACCCGTGTTGACGTAGCTTTGGCGAAGTGTCCACTCGGTGAGTCAACATCGTCCCAGACGAGCCTCACCTGAAGGCCTCGGTCCAGCCATATCAAGCACCAGGTTTGCGACAGTCCAATTCCCACTCGTCGGCACATTCGATGCATGCCAATCGCCCGCATTCCACCAAGAGGAGGTACGCAGAACTACACGACTATTCGCCGATTGCAGACCACTTCTAGGACGCACCTCGACTCTCACGTGCTTCCGCGATCACGTCTCGCCTCGTGAATGAATCTTTCAGCTGTTGAGAGGTAACCATGTAGCTGTATACTCCGTAGCTCGAACTAGGCGAGTCCACCAATTACAACGAGCGTGATGGTGATGGGCGAACAAACAATGCAAACACTCGACATGATCATCCTTTTTTCGTGAAAGCTTCATCCAATTCTAAGCTCAAGCACTTGCAGTCGATCTAGGAAGGGTTCTAAAATGCCTTCTAGACAATTCATTAGCCTTTGGCCGAGGGGGCTCAGCCAGCAATGTGCTAGACTTCAGGTATTGCGGTCCAACCCCTCCGTGGCGCTCGTCGAATCCATCAATGATAACCTCAAGAAATAAAAAGCCAATCGCTCCTTTTAGCAAATCTAATTGACCGTGCTGTACAGTCCCAATCATCCTACCGACCATTTACTTACCTCACAAATGCCCAGCGCTCACTATATGCATCCCTAAGTAACCCGCGATCCTCCGCATCCGAGCTTCAGACCACCCACCTCCGACCTCGAACACCCGCGCCAATCTCCTGTGCAAATGCCAGGTGCAGCCGCTCTGCGTCCCTATTTTCCCGAACAGGACCTGGCTCTATTGGTGAAACCTACGTTGCTTACGGAATGACCCAGAAGCTATTCGAAGCTTGCAACATACAGGGAGATTACAAGATCCCGCAATTGCAAGAGAAGGGTGCCGAGATCCCCAAGACGGGGGACGGCGAGCATATTGGTGTCGGTGAAAGCTGGTGGTATAAAGGTTTGTCTTCCTCTGGGTAACCTAACTGGCAACCCACTTGATGTTGTAGAAAGATCGTTCGATCATCTCTAACCTTACTTCTCAACCGTCCAGAACTCGGACTCATGCCGACCTTCTCAACATGGTCTCAGATTACCTTTTTACACATGTACCTTTTGACGGTGCGACTACGGGCTTTGCCATCCCGTGAGAGTTTTCAAACGTACTCGCGTCATCTCATTGACCACTTCTCGCACAATGCCGAGAACCGCATGGATGTGCTGCACGGCTTGACGAGCCGCTCGATCCGGAATAAGTTTTTAAAGGACCTTTTTATCCAGTGGCGTGGTGTGCTGGCTGCATATGACGAGGGTCTCATCAAGGGTGATGCCGTGCTTGGCGCTGCTATTTGGAGAAACCTGTGGAAGGCTAGCTACAACGGCCCGGATGGGAAGGAGATAGATTGGGCAAAAGTGGCGCGAGTTGTCGCCTATATGCGCCGGGTGACTTCGGAATTGGCTAAGCTGGATGAGGGAGAGCTGATTATGAAGCTAGCATCAGGAAACAAAAAGTCTTTCATATTTTCGCCCTCTGAAGCAGACAAACAGCTCGTGAGAGGCGGGCGATGAATGTTACATGCCAGGAAAAGGTGGCTATCTTTTTTTTGCGATTGTACGATTATACTGGAACGATGAAAAATACCCAAAAGTATCATATAGGTTACTTCTGCCATGGCTGGCGTCTCTAGGGTTCACCAAAACAATTTGGGGTGCTTGCGGTTTTACCTAATATCGTCCAGGACCTCGCTATCCCGGCAGAGCGAGGAGACTACTATGCGCTCTTGGAGCCAAAGAGATCCTTCTCAACCATAGCCCGGCAAATTGGATGATAGAAGTCCTTGTTTCTCTCAAATGTCTCGACCGCCGCTTGACGATCAACCTTTTGCAGTGTGCGGAACCTAAGTTACTTTATTAGTTCTCCCATAGGCGGCTCGCTTGAAGTGAAGAGTATCCTTACAAAGGTCGCACGAATTTCATTCTTCCGATCCTTCCCAGAAGCTCCGTTGTTGGTTCAATCACACTCTTGTCGCCCGCCTTGAGGCCGACCTGAAGATACAGATTGGCAACCTCAATGTTTTCGCTCTTGGCGAAACCGTAGACCTCACCCATCAGCTTGGACTGGTCGGCTGTCAGTGGCTGTTCGAAAAGCAGGACTTGCTCCAAGAAGACCACAATCTGGTTTGCTGTTAAGCCCTTGATATCGTCCAAATGAGGCTGAAATGACTGAGATTTCCACTTATGGGCCAGTTCATATACAATATCTGCCAGAGAGGTGTCAAATTCCGGCTTCGGAGGCAGTCCAGGTCGGTAAAACCAGCCGTCCCAGTCCAGATCCTGCAAAAGCTTAGAAGCTTCAGCGTCAGACGAGAAGAACTCTAAGATCGTAGACTTGAACTCATATGAGTCCAGTGATTTTCCCTTAAACTTGGTGAAGTACTAATGGAGCATTAGCGGAATATCTTCATCCTCGGGCACTTTGGCGACTTACGTGAGGAATAAACTGGTCGAATTTCTCCTTTCCGACAAGCTTCTCTAAGAAGAAGAGGAAAGTGAACCCTTTCTCATATGGGATAGAGGAAAATGCGTCATCTGGGTCCTGGCCTTTGAGAGTAGGCACCAATCTAGTAAATTCATGGTCCTCGCCATACCGCTCCACGGAATCTCTGAGGGCCTTCCAGCCAATGATAGCAGAGAAATGGCGGTACTTTTCGCCATGGCTGCAAGCAAAGTGGTTAGCAGGAGTGCAATCCGGGAGTCATAGAAAGGAATACTCACATCGCGGCCAGTATCTGGCAGAATATCAGCTATATTGAAGCATAAGCGTAAACAATGTCACTTGCTCCCAAACTTACCCGTCTCTCAAGATACACAGTCCAACCTTCGTTGAGCCAGAAGTGCTCCCATGAGGCACTAGTGACTAAGTTGCCACTCCAGCTATGTGCAAGCTCATGTGCAATCACGTCGACATTTTGTCGATCCTGGTATTATTACTTAGTCAAGCTCATTGCGTTGAACAGACAGCCACCGACCTTTGATATAATGCTTGGTGTACAGTATGTGTATGTCGGATTTTCCATCCCTGCCAATTTGAGTTGAGCATGTGCATCGTCAAGGGCCGAATGCCAGTCCGTGACTCACCTCCGTAGGGGAAACTAGGAGGAAGGACCAGAACATTGTATTCACCCCAGGCATAGTCATAGATGATTTTCTATATGCAGGTTAGCAAAAGGCTGTAGAGATGGATAATTTCATGGACGGACCTCTATCGTTTCAATAAACCTCTCGGTGTCAGCTTCGAGTTCCCACTGACACTCTCGCAGCTTGTCGGGGCTTGTGGCAACCCTGCTTCGGGGACCAATTGGAGCTTCATCAATGTCACTGGTTCTGTTAGATAGTTCTGGATTGACAGGAGGTGATAGCTTACCCACTCGCGAGAGCAAACAGATAGCTCGGAATGGGGACTTTTTGTTGAAATTGATAGAGCTTTGCGCCGGTTTGAGTAGCACTAGGTGAGGTCCGGACTGGTAGCCCGCTAGCAATGACAGGCAGGGGAGAAGTAATGTTGAAATCAAAAGTGGCCTTCACATCGGGAGTGTCCTGGCACGGGAAGATGGACCGCGCATGAATAGCCTGGCACTGAGAAACTGAGCTACGATTGGCATCCTTCTTCTACAAACGGTTATGCGGGTCAGATCGGGTCCAACTTACACATATATGGATGCTTCTTTGTTGACGTTTGTGCTTTGGTCAACCATTGGAGCGCCGTACATTTCTCGGTTGTTTGAACAGAGATCTGAAAGCCCAGTCAGCTTATCGATTCGAAGGGGAGCAATGTCGCATGGACAACGTACCTTTACATCAACCAGCTCATCAAGCCGTACCGGTTGGTCGAGCTTGATCTTCAGCGCAGTGCCCAGCGGGCCGAACGGAGGAAGCAGCTCCCATTCTGCGGGGTTGCCATTGACCTGAACCTCGTCTATCGACACATGGCTTGAGTCTAGGATAATTTCCTTGGATTCAGCGTTGGTTGTTGACTTCAGCTTGTGGACAACATTCCCAACGAGTCTCTTTTGTTCAAAGAGAATCTCAAAGTTAGCCTCTGTATGAGTGCAGCGGAAGTTGTTGTAGTTGCTCAGCGTGTTGGGGTCCCTGGGGGTATTGATAAGCGTCGCCATGCTGCGTCTGCAGGATTGAGCCTTGTTCAATGTGCTATAGATGGGCATCCAAGTCAACCCAAATTGCCTGAAGAAACTCAGAGGCAATCGGAACATATGGAGATTGCTCAATTTCTCTTATTGTGAGGAATTTGTACATGCTGTTACGTACAACGTTGTATTTAACGGGTGGGTCCGTGCGCTGCCTGAGGCTCTGCGTTCCGTGCTTAGCCGCGCCTCTTCGATATGACGTTCTTGACCCCATGGTTCTTGAGCTACTATGCATTATTCTGAATCTATATTCATTTCGCTACATCATACTCTGGTATATAGTATCCCGTCAGGTATGCACTCGCTTCCTGACTCACTCTGGATATCTATGAAATCTCATCAATTTCGGTGACATGATAGGTTATGTGAAATATTTATAATTAGAAGAGATATATACTTTGCACGAATTCCCCCTGACACTTCACTATCGCATTGCATTATTTTGGACTTTTTGAATAGTTTTATAATCATCTTCTCCGTTTCCCACACACACATGGAGTAGAGGCTAGACTACCCTCCCCCACCCCAGATAAGTGGCTCACATCACAGTAAGAATTGAAGCCATGCTGACGACTAGATTCAGATTCGATGTTGATAGTCCAGGCCGATGGTCCCGGCCGATCTTGGCAGGGGTAGATGCAACAATATCACGTGCACGACTGCTCCAGCAACCAGGAGCTTTTTAGCTGTTGCGGCGGCCATAACTTGGGGCAGTTCAATCTCACGCCCGCAAAAACATCTTTACATCAATTGTTCTCATTTATCGCATCTGTAAGATAGTTGAACCTACCTCAGCTTTGAGACCACCATCAATTAACCCCATGCAGTCATCAGTCGTTAAATCGCATTGATCCTTCGCTTTGTTTTTTGCATAACAGTCGAATATGAATTCAACCCCTCAAGTCCAGCTCTCTGGTGGAGAGAACCCGCAGACCCCGGCCGATACTGAGATGACCCCGGCACCTAGCGCTGGAAATGAACAGACAGAACAAACACAAGATGGTGCCTTACCCGATACGCAACCAGCAGAGACAGACTCACAGCCAGCTCAAGAGCCACGACCAGCAGTCTTTCACTTCGTAGAGTAAGCTGGCACCTTTTAGTTAGTTCCTTAACCATTACGCTCTTCGATTGCCTATTCAATATGGACAAAATACTCATCGCTCCACTCCATAGTTTACTGACATCACCGATTGTGGAACTTATCGTCGGGACAGGCGACCAGAAGACGGCCATGACTGCTCACCAAAGTCTGCTCCTGGAATCGCCCCTGTTAGCCGAACAAGTCAAGGTATTCGGTGATGGTCCTGTAAGCAACTGTACTCCCTGTCTCAATGAAGCCTGTGCTCATCACAACGACTGGATAGCGCCGGATCGAACTCCCCGAAGACGACGTAGAGGCGTTTGGGTACTTCTTGCAGTACCAATATACTCGCGACTACTCCCCTTCGCAAACAGACGCTCCCGAGGGTGCCGACGACAGCGGCGAGCAGCTCCTCAAACACGCGCGCGTATACACCCTAGCAGGGAAGCTGAGCATCCCTGCGCTCAAGTCGCTCGCTCACTCCAAGATCCATAGCATCAACAGCACATCCCGTGGCGAGCTGGCGTACGCTCGCTACGTCTATGCCAACACAGCTGATGACGATGTTACAATCCGCAAACCCGTGTCCAACTTCTGGGGTATGCGCAGCCACGTCCTGCGCCACGAGGCGGAAGAGGACTTCAAGAAGCTGTGTCTCGACGTTCCGCAATTCTGCTTTGATGTCCTCAGTGTTGTGCTGGACCAGAGGGAGAAGCGCGCCGCTGATCGCGCCGAAGTAGAATCTGGAATCAAGGGAAGTGGAAGGAAGCGACTTCGCAGTGGGCTGTAAACATACCGGATATATCTGAGCAAGTCAGAGGGGGGAACTGTTACTACTAGTGCGCAATACTCTCCCTTCTCATTACTATTGTCACATTGCCGGTGTAGACGTCACTGCCCCTGTCGCATTGACATACGGAGCGCGCCTTCAATGTCCCATTATAACTGATTGGCGCCGTCGATTTTCGTGTACTGTTTAGGACCAGAAAGATTAAATGAGTCGAAAAGAAAAGAAAAGAAAAGGAGGTAATAGCGCCGAATCCAGCATGTTCGTTCGGAGCCATCGCAATTATAGATATCCGCGAAGCCCACGGTGAGTGACGGTTATAATTTCCAGCTCTATTGATACTATATCTACGCAGCCAGAGCTTCCACCTCTTCAACGGTCTTTGGCGCCGTGGTCAGGTTATCATGGCCGTCTTTGGTGATGTGGATGTTATCCTCAATGCGAACTCCACCGACAGCCCAGTACCGCTCCAGAGTATCCACATCGATATACTTTCGCAGATCGGGATTCTTAAGGAACGGCTCGATGATAAAAGGGCAAAAGTAAATCTATACAGCTTAGTTAGCCAGAGGACATTCGAGACAGATGGCGTGCAGGAGAAACTTACACCAGGCTCAACCGTAATGACCGAACCCGCAGGTAGACGGCCCCTCACGCGAAGGTATCTGAACATGGTATCGGTATCCGCATAATTCGGGTTACCACCAGTGTCATGGGTGTCCATTCCAAGGTAATGACCCAGACCGTGGGGGAAGAAGGCTACACTGACTCGCTTGTCAAACAATTCGTCCTCCGAGCCGCGCAGGATCCCGAGCTTGAGCAAACCCTTGATTGCAACGCGGTGCGCATAGGCGTGGACGTCTTCCCATTGAACGCCCTCCTTGAGCATATCGATACACTCCAGCTGCATCTGCAGGACGATATCGTAGATTTGGCGCGTTTCCGGCAGGAACTTTCCATTCAGAGGAAACACGCGCGTGATGTCCGCGCAATAGGTGCGATATTCTCCACCAGCGTCGATAAGGACGTTATCCTTCTTTCGCTGGGTGGCCGGGTCGATCAGATCCTCGTCGTTCTTGCCATAATGGAGAGTGGCTCCGTTTTTGCCGCACGCGACAATAGGATGGTAGGATTGTTCACGGGCTCCATTGGCGATGCAGGTCGCGATAAACGCACCTTCGATCTCGCGCTCGTTGGTGGCTGTCTTCGAAGCCTTGATAGCTGCGATGTGGCCCTTGGCGGAGATGTCGTTTGCCTTGCGAAGTAGAGCGACCTCGTAGCTGTCCTTGACGACGCGGGCATTCTCAATAACGCCCTTCAATACCTTGAAGTTGGCTTCGGAGAAGCTGCGGAATTCTGTCCCGTCGGAAACTTGCTCTGCAATAGCAAACGCGGTGCTCTTATTGCCCTTCGACTCGGCAATGGCCTTCAACGTTGCGTTGACTTCGGTGGTCTCGAGCACTTTATCGACGTCGTATCGCTCGAGAGCTTCAGCTGGCGACAGTGGCAGACCGGACCAGATCACATCGTCTGGGCTGATTGGGGGGATAAAGAGTGTCAATTGATCAGCATCAATGTCGTACGCCAAAGCGGAGTCCGGAAGTAAACAACCAGAGAGGTAGAAGAAAGGACGACGCTGCCTGTGGACATTGGCGTGTTAGGAATCCTCTTGTGGCGCCTGCAATAAAATCACCCACCTAAAGGGCACCGGCTCGTCATTGTCCTCGATCAGACGAGTTTTCTGTGCTTCCAGGTAGATGGCGCCCCCACTATGTCCGAGGGCCTTTAGCCCATCGGCAACGCGGCGAGCATGAGCTTTGGCGGGGTATTTAGTAGCGAGGATAGCGTCTAGAGAAGTCATGGCTTCTGCTTGATATGTAGAAAAGATGCGAACGGGGAACTGTCGGCGGACAAGGTACCGATTTTATGTCTTGCCAATAAATGTTACAACGGCCATCGGTTCTCGTCGGCAAGCTGGCGGGGTTTCATTGATAGCGGGGCACATTATCTTAGATTTGACAGGCCCCGCTGCAACAGAAGCTCAGAGCTTACCGATCCGCGCTGTTGAGGATACACCGGAATGAAAGACTTCAAGAATCGATTCGCTTAAATACACAGACAATATCACCACCCGATTTCCTATCTGAATTCCCCGTTGTCCTGAACGGTGATGACATCTTCAAATTCCATCTGCCATTTGTCCACTTCGGCGAACTTGAGAGCTTGTAGTCTCAACTCTTCGCTTAGGTAATTCTTGACTGGAGCTTCCTGCTCGAGGAGGAAATCGGAGTCGAATGCGTCGAAATCCAGTGCAGATGATAAGGGTGATGACATCTCTGCTGGCTCATTCTCCTTGTCAATATTTGCTTCTTCACGAACGCTAGCACCATATTGCTTGGTGGCCCCAAGTTTCTTTCCACCTGATCTTGGCTTCGCTTTACTGGCCGACTTTCGCCGAGTCTGGGATCGTCTTCGTAAAGGGAGAAAGCTCAATTCATCCTCGTCTTCATCGGCCTGTGTGAGGTCCTCATCCGAATCACTAACAACTTCGAAGCCGGATGCGCCCGTACGTGTAGTTTTTCGCTGGCGTCTCCGAGGCAAGAGCTTATTTTGAAGTGCTGCTGTTGGTATTGAAGTTTCCTCGTGGGGTGCCTGGCGGTTTTTGGAATTTCGAGACTTTACTGTCCGAGACAGTGTTCGATCTGATACTGGCGTGGACATGTCATGGGTGAGGCCTGGGACAGGGCTGCTGACGGGCGGCGCCAATGTTTCGCTGAAAGCTGCTGGAGACCCGAAAGAGGGAGCTGCGTTAACAGGAGCTTCTCTCTCTGAGATTTCCGAATATGGAGCTGGCGTGCCCGAGGCGCTGCTCGCTATAGCCAAAGGCGACGGCGGAGCTTCAGCCTCAATCGATCGTTTCCGTTTTGATGATTTACCACTAGATGGCAATGGCGACTTCACGGGGGAGGATTCAGCGGGCCTAAGCACAAGTGACTTGCCCCTCGATATATTCAGTGGCGTAGATTCATCCTCTGGGCTCAGGCCGCCCAGGAAATCGTCGTCGTCGAAATCTGAAGACCCCTCCTCATCCTGCATCATGTGGAGAATACTCGCTTGTCGGGGCCGTCGTCTGAAATTGCTCAATATGGAGCTTTCAAAGGCAGGAGTCCCTGGCACCCTGGAGCTCGCGTCGCCTTTGCGCCCAGCGATAGAGAGGGTGGAGGAATAACCCCTAGCCCGTGTAGGCGGCCGGCTTCCGGTAGCTCCCTGTTCCGTTGCTGGCGAGGATCCAATTGCGAATTCGTGTGATTTTCCGAGAGGGGTCTGATTCCTCAACTGGCGTATAATTTCGGACGGGTCAGCGCTTTGCGCCATTCGTGAACCACCGACCGCATCGTTCCGTGGTGAGCGGGAGATATCTCGGGATAGAGCGTTGTTTCGCGATAATTCATGCGCCTGGGTCGATTTCGAGTTGTCCGATTTCTTTGCCGTCAAGCGATTGCGTTTTGTTGCTGGTCTAGGCATGGTGTCGGTTCAGCCGTAGCTGCTCTTCTGTTGCATGTAAATGTCGCCAGAACGAATTGGCGTAACCAAGATGCGCGTGTCAATGAACAATATTTGAATGCTTCAATAAAACAAGCGGCTTTGCTGATGGGTAGGCCAAACGAGTAGTCCGTTTGTAAGCTCAATGATTATCCAAGAGTGGTTCAAATTGTTGACGTTCTCCTCGACTTCGCGTTGCTTTGTTTTGGCGATAACAACGCGTCGATCGACTACTCCGGATCCGGAATAGTCTGCGTTTCCAAACCAGTACTAGTGTCAAATCGCCGACGGAGAACTGCAGTGGCTTTGCTTCCAACAATCTGTCGATTCTCGAGAATGCTGGATGGCCCTTCAAGGATTAATGCATCGCTTGTTGTCTTAACACTTTAATAAAAATGCCCTTGGTCAGCCAGTACGACTGCAGCGGGTGCTGCAGCCTTCTACATGGTTACTATGACTGGACCAATATACTGGTGAATTGGCAAATGACCTTGCACTCTCCAAATTAATTGATGAAATACTCCGTCGAGCATCCACCACGGACAAGAGACCGTATCAGGGACGGCAAAAGAATAACTCGCTCTATTATATCCTCGAAGTGTGATGGTTAACGACGTTTGCTGGCGGAAACTAAAGACCAGTTGAAAGTTGAAAGTTGACGATGCCATGGGAAGAAACCGAGGCCTCTTCAATCAGTCTCCATCCTCTTGCTGGTCTCGTCTTGTCCAGATTCCAGATGACAGTAGCTGGTTTTTTGAAGTATAATCAGGCCAGATCCAATGTGGATCCAGACTCCGTAATCCGTAATCCCGGTGTTTGTAGCGGCAGCCTCCTCTCAGACCTTTCCGCATAGGAACCGCAGCGCGCAGCCAGTTAATTGCTCTGGGCCTCTGGTCGCTTCCCCGCTCCCTGAAGAGACCAACGCAGGCCAGTTTAAGAACAAAAAAAAAAGATGAGACGATGAGAACCCAGCATCCGAGCGCCTTTTCGGATTGACACTGCGGCGGTGATCTTTGAGGGTATATCTACCTCGTCGAACGTCTTAGACCACCCTCCGCTGGTTTCAGAGGAACTCCTCCATATCGCTTCCTCATATAAGAATCATGTCGGCTGGCCGCTCACATTCATGCCACTATTGAGGACACCACAATTGACGAGCTCTGGTGCAAAGGGCCCTCGAGTACCCGACATTTGCTGCTTTTCCTCTGGAACACCTGACGCGCCCCCAGCTCAAAAAATGCCTAGGGTACGCAAGCCGCAAACCACGTATTGGAACAATTCCTCATTCATAGACAGTGTGCTGATCTTGGCAATACGTGAAAGCGGCCGTGTCGTTCGAGACATTATAGATCCGTCTCCTGCCTGGGGTGATATCCATGTGAACCAGTTTCAACCTGAAACAATGTCTACTTCACCCGAGAGGGACAAGGAAGGGCTCATCGAGTCCGGCTCGACCCTCTCAAATGAGTTAGCGGGCAACAAGAAGCGCTCAAGTTCCGAGATTGCAGAATATCCCAGGAGGCGCGCTACAATAGCGGTATGTATCTTCTATAATCCATTCTCGTCGTTCGCATTTCTCTGCCTCTCTCTCCTTACAATGCCTCTATTCTCCTTGTCCTCTGCCAACCGTTACGGCCCTCAAGAAGATCTAAACGCTAAGGTTTCGCGTCTCAGTGTCAAATATGTCGTTTACGAAAAACAAGGTGCAATGGAGCTCGGCCAAAATGTCAGCTCTGCACAGATCTAGATGCGGAATGCGTCTATAGAGAACCGGGTATCAAGCTAGATGCCGGTGATAAGTTGATCATTGAAAGACTCACTAGAATTGAAGGATTGCTGCAGTCCAGCTTGGCCGCACATAATACTCACTTTCAGCTCTCCTCAACATCTCCCACCACCAGTAACGACACAAATCTTGGCAGCGATGACGCGGCGGCCAAGTCTTCGAATACCCTCTCGGTTCCGGGGAAGACTACCACTATTGTTGGACTTGGCTCTTGGGCAAACCCGCCGACAAGCATATCCACGATGCCCAAGGTACACACGACGCCAGCCCTGAATCTCTTGAATTGGCCCTTGATTCGAGACCTTGTCTCTCGCCCATATGACCCCCAGACACTGCTGCAGCTCGAAATGGCCCGTGAGCCGCTTCGAATGACTCCTCCAATGCCCTTCGATTTATCCGGCGCATCCACCTATGTTGAAGCCTTCTTCGAGCGAGTTAATGTTTGGTACGCTTGTGTTAACCCATTCACCTGGCCACGATACTACAACGCCGCCGTTTCCGTTGGCTTTCGAGAAGGCCCCGAGAGCTGTGTCGTGCTTCTAGTTTTGGCTCTGGGCTGCGCCACGCAATATGGCAGCATCGCTTTGCTGTCCACTGACAGGGACCCTCCGGGATTATCATTTTTTATGGCAGCATGGAATCTTCTACCGTCTGTCATGATGCGGAACTCGGTCGTTTCCGCTCAATGCATTATTCTTGCCGCCGCTTACCTATTCTACTTGGTTCGGCCGCTCGAGGCCTGGACATTGCTCTCAAATGCTAGCATGAAGCTACAGCTGCTATTCGGGAACCCTTCTCGCGTCCCCGTGCAGTGGAGGGAGCTGAGTGTGCGAGTTTACTGGAACGCCCTGCTTTACGAGAGTGATATGCTTGCAGAGCTGGATCTACCACACTCTGGGATTGTGAACTTTGAGGAGCTCGTCGATCTCCCGGGTGGGTTTGATGAGGATGATGATGACGACGACGAGGACGAGGAAGAAGTTAGCGAGAGCCCTACTCTCAAACATATCAAATCTGTTGGTCGCGACGAACTCTGGTACTTTTTGGCCGAAATCGCCCTCCGCAGACTTCTCAACCGAGTCAGCCACATGATCTACCAGAAAGACAGTACCCTCACTCTCGCCTCCTTAGGCCCCATCGTCTCGGAACTAGATTTTCAATTATCCCAGTGGTACGAGGGCCTTCCCCAACCCGTTCGGTTTCCCCTCTCCCACGCCCCCATCTCAAACCCCGTTCAGACCGTCCTCCGGCTCCGCTACTTTGCCTGTCGAACAATCATTTATCGCCCATATATCCTCGCCGTCTTCGAGAACGAGCAGACATCTACCGATTCGTGGGTGAGGGAATGCTGCCGCCGATGCCTCGAGGCTACCTTCTACCAGCTAGAGAACATTACCAGCCACCGTGAGGGGCACCTTCCCTATTTGTGGCAGGGTGCTTTGTCGATGGTCTCGCAATCTTTACTTATCATGGGTGCGACTATGTCGCCTGCTCTTTCAGCTCTGCTTCCTTCTACATTTCGGGTGGATGGTGTTATATCAAGCGTCATCACAGAGGTCGACAGATATGCCCACCTTGCACCAAGCCTCAAGCTATCCGCGGAGATTCTCCGCGACGCGGAGAGGCGACGCCAGATTTGCCTCAGATCTGCAGGCAAGAGGACGTAAGTGCAAGAATCAATTAGGTCCGCTATGTTCCTTTCTTCTTGAAAGAGCGCACGGGCGGCAAGACCACTCTAAAGTAAGTTGAGCTTCTCTGGATGAATTTCTCGCGAACTCAGGTCCACTAAAGCAACAGCTACGGCGTTATGCATATTTGATAAAAATCGTGGACTAATGATGGTTCGATGACCGCCCTTTTCCCTTAAGCCTGCCAATTGCCAGATTATCATCTTCTTGTATATAGGGCTGCATCAGGGAGGGAGATCGCCTCGAGATTATACATATATATATTTAGGTCATGTCCATATACGCATATACATGCTATGGTTTATATACATGCCAAAAGACAAAGCAATATCTGGGTAAAAACCCCTTGGAAACGCAAAAGGGGTTATCTTGTCGTTATTCGAATCGCAGGGAAACGCTAAACCACGAGGTGAAATTGCACCGTGCAGGAAATAGCACTGTGCGTAAGGCAAGGAGAGGGGCGAAAGACGAGTATGTTGTCGAATAGTGACACGATGCCGAGTTAGAGCAGAACCCATTCGCTGCCTCTCTTGATAAATTTGTCAAGCATCATGCCAATGTCATTCAGCGCAAAGCGGCAGATATAAAAGCCGAAGAACTCAGCGGCATGACGCGTGCTAAGCTCTAGCCCAACAAGAGTTTGTGACGAGTGCCTCAAACCTGGATCTTCAACCTGCTGCGCAATTTGATCTATCGAGGTAAATTAGTAATGTGGTTCGCCAAGTGACTCGATGTGGACTCACCTAAGACCTGGGCAGCATCACAGAGGCGGGCTAGGGCACTCATATAGTTTGCATTTGGGCCACTGAATTGTAGTTGGGTGACATCCCGCTTGGCAGGCTGATTGTTCGTTACTGATGTCATTGGAAGTGAGCTTATCGTCAGGTGGTCTTTGGTTGCTTCTTTCGGGCCAGCTAGAGGTGCCGCGCCGAATCCAGAATTCTTTGACCGTAATTTCCGCCAAGAGCTCAAGTACGACTTGCCAGGTCCATTCGAGGCTCTTGGAGGCAGTGTATCAATAGCGGCAGCATCGTCAAGAGCCTGTGCGGCTTTGAAAAGCGGCATGGCACCCTGCACACCAACTTCACTGCCCATCTTCTTTGATAACGACATTTGCACCTGATCAAGGACACTCTCAAATGTCTGCATCTCCTCCAAGACAGCATCAGCGTCATACGTGTCGACCTTGGCTAGTTTGAGTAATGCTGCTGTTAACAGGTCACAATTTGACACTTTCTCCTCAATTGCTTTGATCTTAACATTCTTTACGCGCCACACATCACGCGGAACAAACAGTTTTGTGGACAGGTACCCGCCGCGAGGATGAGCGATAGTTTGATAAATGCATCGCATGAGCCAGAAGGGACGCAAGAGAAAGGATTCAGGACATGGCTCTAGCGGGAGTGGAGAGTCAGGTGCAAGCGGATTAGGAGATCCTGGGCTTGTGGGCGAGTGAATATAGCTATCGAACAGATAGAGGCCATCGCTTGGCAAGTTGCTCGAGCCGAAGTTGGCAGCGATTGGTGTAGGCAAAGCATTGATCGAAGCGGCGGCAATGCCCCTGTGGAGATCTAGTGTGGGAAATGCATGGCTTGACGGCGTTGCCGGAGACTCGGTAGAAATATCGGGATTAGGCACCGATACATTTCTCGCTCGAAACGGTAGAGTGGCAGGATGCGGCCTGCCTAGGTTATCTGGGGCTGAGGGCACCTTACCGATCGGTGGACGGGAAGGTGAAAGCATCTTAGAAGCTCTCGTGCCATCATCCTCTTCTTCCACTGCAGTTATTTCTCTAGCAAGACTCAAATTTTGCGGGATATCCTCGTTGATAGAACTGATAGACACATTTCGCACGGCCTGGCGTGCTGTCGAGGGGATGGTGATAGGAATATTGTTCGGTTGGACAGCGAGGCCCTTTGAATTCTCATTCTTTTCGAAAGGCGCGGGAGGTCGGGCTGTTTGTAAATCCTGTGTTTGAGAGAGCTCCGGATTGGTTGACCCGGACCTCGAGCGTCTACTGATTTCGATCTTCAACTCCACACTGGTCTGGCCAGACATTCTTCGTGCCCGTACGCCTGATCCGGGTCTTGGTCTCGAGGTTGGTTGAGGTACGACTGGGGGGATATTTGACTCAGTGGGCTGAATTGAGCTCTGCTCGGCGGGAAGTGTGTCGTCTTCAACAAGAGGAGGCAGTGCGGGGCCTGTCGATATGGGGTTTATAGTAACGTGACTCTCCCAATTATTGCCCGCAAGGCTGCTCGAGGTAGACTGACGGGGAAGTGCTGACTTTGACTGGAGATCAAATTCGAAGTCGTCCATGACATAACCTCTTGTCATCTCCTCTAGCAGACGCTCCTCTTCCTCTGCCTCTTCATCGAGATAATCCAACTCGGGGTCCTGAAAATTGGCTAGCATTTCCTGTTCCTGGACACGACGCAGTTCCCTTCCTCGCATCGCCACCTCAGCTTCTCGCTCAGCTTCCCGCACTTTCTGTTTCGCTATTTCAACGTTCCGACGGGCATTTGCAAAGATATCTTCGTTATTATCTTGTTCCTCCGATCCACTAGCTGGTTCCAAGCCTTCATCATAAGCGGCCTCCACAGCAGCATCGAGAGCAGCATCAAACTCGGCCTCGGTACCGTGACTAAGACGAGCGCTTCTTCTGCGGCGCAAGTACACGGATGAAGCCTTTGAATGTATTGAAGATGTCGAAGAAGCACCGGACTCATCGATAGTATCTAACCAGGAGGTCGACTCGTGAACGCCAGCGTCTTGGTTGCTCAATATTGATAATTCGGACAGCCTGGACTTGTAAGGAGCGGTTTCCTCTTCTAGTATTGGATCTTCCAGAAATGCGGGTCCTGCTCCAGAATTCTCGCGTCTGTGTGTAACAGACCGTGAGATATCAATCTGACTTTTAGCAATAAATGACAAGGCTGGGTTGTGAAGGCCATCGTCGAGGGCTGAGGGCAACAAAGACTGGCGCCTTGGAGGAATGTGAGGTTGAACCAGCTTTTTTGACCCTTTAAGGGTGGTTTCGTGTGAGCCAACCGAATCCTGTTGCATGAAACCAGCATCATCACTGGCAAAGCTATACTCATCATCCTGGCTAGCGGGGAGATAATCACCATACGATTCTTGGCTAAGGGGGCGTTCAGGGAGCGCTTTGCTGTCAGAACTTCGAAATGTAAAGTCCATGCGCTGAAGCTCAGTAACACGGATCATATATGTGTCGCGCTATTTGAGTTAGAAACTCGCATCAAACAAAATAATCTAGTTGGTGCGGTATTGCTTACAATTTCTTGGAGCTTGAGCTTTTCATCTTCACCTCCATTACTTCGGAGCATCACTAGTTGTAAAAGCTGGCAGGCATCATTGTAAGCCTCCATTGCGCCTTCGAAGTTTGCTGCATTGTCAAGAAGCACGGCGGTATTGGCTTTTTGTAGAGCTTTGGAGAGCATAGCCTTCTGAGAAGCGCCCTGTTTCCGCTTATCATTCAAACCCTGCGGTCGCGGAAGAATTTGAGCCGAATAATCAGTAGCTGTCTGTCTGAGAGCTTCCTTTTCTGGAGCTCGCCTTTGTGTTCGTGATTCATATTGCACAGGCGCGGAATCGCCAGGTGATGCATCTGGCTGTAGGAGCGCTTGGCCTTGTGATAGAACAATCATTTCAGGTCGTTCCAAAGTTGTCGTTTCAGTAAAGCTCAGCGAGGCGGAAGGTTGATGGGTATAATGCCTTGTTGCGTGGCCCTCGCGATTGGTTTCATGGAAGGCTTGGGTTGTCGAACGAGCTTCGGAGTCAGTATCTATGCTTGGGCCTTTTCTATGGGAGATATGGTCATCCGTAGCAAATAGTCTGGGGGCACTCTCTTGACGACGGTGGCTTGTGAGGTTAGGCGAAAGATTGCTTGAGGCTGTAGATTGTGACCATCGGTTCAGGCTGCCGAGACCCCCCCGAATATTACCATCGTCCATATTATTGGGAGGGGAGTTGCTAACTCGCCCTAAGGATGGCTCGGTCATTATATACCCCATAAGCGAACAAGAGTCCCAATACTACCGCGATTGACCTTGGACACAAGTCCGAGGAAACAACGTCTAGCCAGGGGCAGATGGTCTGTCGTAACGGTTCGGCATTCAATGGGATAGAACAGCGGTCGCGTAGCAGGAACTGGCAGAATCTCAAAGACCCAAATCGGTGCGTAGGCTCAGTGTAGGAGGAGCTACGTTATATCGCGCGTTTCGTAATGCCTCTACAGTGAATGCAATCACACTGACAGCTGGTAAACACAATCCTGGTAGTGTCTGTCTGAGGAGAACAGGTTAATGCATCTTGTACACAAATCCAATGCTATAACAACGGGGCAGAGGGGTTCGGGGGCGGGCAAATCCTCCGGAATAGATCGGAGCGAAGGTACCAGACATACTTGGGTTTATGCGATTATGATGTTTGTTATTTTTGAAACATGCCCTCTTATTAAAAGGAATGGTTGTTCCCTGGCTTTGACTGGCTGATTGCGGCCTTTTGATCGCTGCCTCGCGTCGATTCGTGCACAATCTCAGTAGGGCCGCGCGCAGTGAAGATTGATAGGAAGGCGCATTGTCTGCTGCCAGAAGAATACGATAACAATAGGCTTAGTTTTGAAAAGCCATTCGAGTCGCGATTGTGACTTCTCACTCCGGTAGGGAAAGACGACTTATTCTGGATCCCGTTATCCTGACCGCAAATGAAGTGTTGTCTGGGAGGCAGAGACGAAGGAATGTAAGTCGACGAAGCGGAAATGGATAATTTCGGTCAATCTGGAATCTTGCGAAGATATCAATAAGTGGTAATCACAGTACATGTGGACAAGAACGACTCCAATAAAATCCACAGACATGGGACGCAGATAGATGAAAGCAAGAGCATTTGATCGAGGGGAAGCAAAGGCGGCTCAGGGGCGGAGTGGACCCCAGAAGAAGAAGCACCGACCAACAGTATTGTTGGTCAGTCGTCGATGCGAATGTGGGGTCAAAGGCCGAATTTTCAATCTTTGAGGCTCTAGATTAACGGGAAAAATCCATTGCAATCACGGGGAGTTGGCTTCCCGTCCAAGGCACATGGACTGGTGACCTATTTGCAAGACTAGCCAAGGCCCGATAACTGGACTGGGAGTTGAGGCCTTCGTTCAACAGCAGATTGGAGTATGCTTTGTAGGTTCCCGGGGCTAAACCCAATCAAGCTGAAATTTATAACCACGCACCCTTGGAAGCCTAGGAAGCTGGAGCTTGCAGTTTTAGATTCTGGTGCTGGTATGGTCGTATAACTGGATGGAAGAAATCGTTCCAATTCGACGGAGGAAAAGTCCATATCGCCGCGATCCCCATAAAATCGCGAATGAAAAAGAGCTTGAAGGCTACGGACGCGGATTCCCTCTTTGTATAGTACGAGTGGACCAAGCTTAGTATGTAGTTGTAATGAGACAAGTTCGCCAACAAGTTGATTTCCACCCATCCCATGCCCCAGCTTGATTTACCTGAGTGACAATCGATTTATTCTTGGAAGGCTGATTATATTGATAGATATGGTAATCTGCGTGAACAATAACGAAACGCCTGCCTGATACATAAGATTGTATGAGAGAAAGTTGTGGGGACATATCCCGAAATCAATCCACAACAAGAAGTCATAGGGAAGACCATTAACGCCCGTTATTTTAAAGCTATTCCTCCTCTTCATCCTCATCACTCGTGGCCTCAATGTTCTTGCGGGTAGGGCCAGGTGCTGAAAGCTCGTCAGTGGAATCCTCCTCTTCTTCATCAGCACCGAAAGTAGCCCGCTGTCCAGCATAATTAGGGCGCGAAATCGACACTCCCTTCTCCTGAAGGGCAGTCTCGATATCAGGTAGTAAAGCCACCAATGCCGAAAACTGATCGGTAGGCAGTGAGATGCCCTGTGTTGGGAAAACATTAGCAGTCAATTGGTCAACATCAGGAAAGAACATACTTTTTTTCCAGGAAGCTCTTGACCGTCCTTTTCGTAGTACTCCCTGATATTGACCATGGTTTTACCGCGGAAAGTGGATATAGTCACACGGCGCATTTTCGATATTTCCCAATAGCTTTCTCCATTCGCATCTTCTCTTCTGCTCAGGCCACCTGATCGGGATGCAGCATTATTCTTGGCTTTTTTCGTACGAGGAGGTTCATCCTCGTCAATGAAATCATCAGAGATTCTCTTCCTAGAGCGAGAAGCCATGGTTAAGAAAATGAAGAGGGAAAATGAGGTATTCTCGGCGTAGAGAGAATGCGTGTGATATTTGATTTGCAATTTCTTTCAAGATTGCTCCAATCCTGGGGGTGAGAGACCAAGATAGGTTTGGGTTGACTGGACAGGAGGTGAATACAAAGGAGTCACGTGATTAGAGGAGCTCCAGTGTGCCTTTATCTAGGATTGATGTTGTTGGCAGTGCGCAAACTATGGCAGAAGTCTCACCGCGCGTAATCCCGCCTTGAAAACTTTGGATTCACAAAATTAATGGAAAATCCACATTATTGTCTCCTTGACATTTGTTCTTTGATTTTAATTCATGGCACAAATCACCTCCGCACCACCTACTGAGGTGAGCCAACCATTACAACAGGTTCTCAATGTCTGGAATCGCATCCGAGTGAACAGCCCCATCTATGATTTCCTACTTCGCGACGTGGACATTTATCATGCCGAAGAGGGCACCTTCACTGCCAGAATCCAGGTTGCTTCCAAGCACCTGAATTCGAAAGGCGGGTTGCATGGCGTCTTCTCTGCCTGCGTCACTGACTGGGCTGGCGGTTTGGCAATTGCCTCATGTGGGCTTGAATCTACAGGCGTCAGCACAAATATCAATGTCAGCTATCTTTCGTCAGCGGCCGCTGGTGACTGGCTGGAAATCCAAGGCCATGCTAATAAAGTTGGGAGAAACCTTGCCTTTACCACAATAGCCATCTCGAAATGCACGAGCTCAGGCGAGACCACCCTGGTCGCTCAAGGATCTCATACCAAATACCTTGCCCGACGGTGATCAACGATCAGAAACCTCCCCACGCTTGGAAGCTTTCCCAGCTTCACGGGGTTCCTCACCGTAGGCAAACCCTCGAACCCTACCGCAATCTTCTTTACATCTGGCATGGAGAACATGTACTTTGAATGCCGGATTCACTCGGATAGCGGAGAATTATTCCCACTTTCTCTCCTTGAATCTTTTGCTCTTTCTTTCGAAAAGTCGAAGCAAAGTTCGCATTGAGTAGTGGAGACATACAATATATTGTTCTTTAGCCATATAATGTATATAGAAACTATAATTACTCCTGGTACTACTAGTACCATAGTAGTATTTGCTCTTGTACGTCTTGACGCAAATAATGGCACAGAGGGTGATACCCTGTGCAGTGACAGGTACCATAACTAAGAACTCCGACCATCTGCGGAGTATTATGTAAGCACACCGCATAGTTACCCAACACACCATCGGTGCTTGTTGCTGGGCGAAGATGCCCTGATCGACGATGCTCCGCCTCAACATGTGAAGGCGGAGAACGTGCGAGCTCATATATTTCCAACGGATAGGTTATCTCAATCAAGCGCAGACCCCAACGGGTTCATCGCATCCCATGCACCGTTTTCATCCATTCCAGCGACCATGGACGTTTCGGACAATGTCTCACCTCAATTTGACGAACTCGAGTTCACTGCACCCAAAGACTCCACGATGAAGAACAATATAGGCAGCTCACGGAGACGCGAAAATGGAGACATCGCGAATATGAAAGAGCTGGTAGATCTGGCTCTGCATTTTCTCTCGACATGCAGCAACGAAATGCTACTTCTTGTTCTCGCCGTACTCATGGGAGCCACATACATCCTCCTAGGGAGACTCGGGCTAATAATCATTGGCATAGCTCTCGGGGTTGTCTTACATGCCTCGTGGGGTAGTTTGAGCGATCACCCGTTGGATCCACAGAGATCCAGCAGGAGGCAGCTTTCGCTGCAAGTAACTCACAGGCTACTTGACTGGCAAAACAAGAAATGTGCTGAACACGAACAAAACGCTCGCGAGGACGGAGAGCATATAACAGGGGAGATATCGGATCTGGGATTTGACCCTTCTTGTTATGGGCCTGCGACAGCTAGCGCCTTACAGTCATTGGTTGATGCAGCGATTAGAGATTATGTGAAGTAAGTACTACCTACGTAGCAATATATGCCATGTCATGAGCTTACGAGCGAGGGTAAAGTCACTGGTATGATCCGATTCTACCTTCGGAATCGACGTTTCCTATCTCGTGTCGCAGAACGATGACTGGTTTCATCAACTCGCTCTCGTTCCATCTTTGCCGTAAACGAACGGCCGACACCTTCCTAGAGTTTCTCACCAATTCATCTTCGATGGTCATCGTGTTCTTGAATGAGCTATCTACAGCATTCGAGGCATCTGAACCTACTGCCACAGCCAAAGATGCTATCCTGCGCTATCTGGAATCCAACCCTGAGAGCAGCCTCGCCAATCTGCTGGAGAGACAACAACAGCAACGAAAACTCAAAATGATATCAGACGATATCTTGTCCCGGTTCTTGGAGCCCAGTGCGTACAAATGCATGCCGCTTCGGACATTTTTCCGTGAGATTCTGGCCGGAGTTGCCTTAGAGTCGACGATTGTTAGTATGTCGCGACCTGAATTTATCAATGGCTGGATTGCGTACCTACTCAGCGAGGGCGAATCTGAAATTATGAATGCAATCGATGCCGGCGTGGAAGGGGCGCGATCACAGGGCATAGCAGGCGCTCGAGTTTCGGGCGATGATACGAGCCCAGCATCAGTATCTGTGAAAGGCCATGCTGCAGCGCCCGAGTCATTCAAAAAGATTTCTGATCAATTGCGCAACAAACCAGACCAGGCGACGGAGGAGGCCATGGTGGAAGCTAAACGTCTGAGCGAACTGATCGCGGCCCAAGCTCTCAAGAAGGGCCCTGGCCAGGCTTTTCAAAGCCAGGCCGGCGAGCAGACCTACCCAACAGCTAGTGAAGGTAGCCGGATAGAGGAGAAAAATATCGTTAATGAAGGGGCCGAGGATACACATCAAGTTGGGCCAAGCACATCCAGTGGCTCGGCCTCTTCACCGTCACTACAGTCTCCAAACCAGGAAAGTCTCGGCGCACCACCGGCGTTTAGTCTACATCGTGCTTCTATAACGGTAGATGATTGCATGGACTCTGGGGAGAAGACTTCATTGCGGGTGAAACCGCCATCAAACTACATGATCCAAGTTGAAACCCACTCCGGACGTTCTACTGGTTGGATGGTATTCAGAAAATACGCGGATTTCGAGTCCATTCACGAGACATTGGGAACAATTTCTAGGTTAAACCAATTGCGGTTTGGAGACTCGCATCCTGTCGTGCCGCCTTGGAAAGGCCGAACAAGGCAGGCCCTAGCGAGTGATCTAGAGCAATATCTCCAAGACGCTCTCAAACTGGAGCCGCTTGCTGAGAGTGTGACCATGAAGCGCTTTCTTGACAAGGACGGGGGATTGGGTGCTGAGCCCGCGGATTTATCGACAAGGCCTGGCTTTGTGCTTCCTGTTCAAGCTGCGTTTGAGAACGTCGGAAAGGGTGTATTGGGCGGGGGGAAAGCTGTTTTTGAAGGTGTCTCTGGCGGAGGCAAGGCTGTCTTTGAAGGTGTTACTGGTGTATTCGGTGGTGCGCCCAAAAAAACAGCAGCAATGGCCGGCTTACACAACAGAAACAAGATAGCCGGTGGGGATCTGAAGAGTGACCGGCCTCCGAGCGTAGGCTGCTTGATGGAAAGTGAAGATTTGAGACTAAGCGGCGATACAATGGATGGTGCATTATCATCTCGAACGCCGGGATCGACTCATACTCCAGGCTCCCCTTCGCCGAGTGAGGCAGCTACCCAATCTTCTGATACACCCATGCGAACCCCCGAGTCAGAGCAAAATGCCGATAGTGGATCCACAAGGGGCCGAACCTCCTCCGATTCTCTTTCAATAACCAGGAATAGCATAGCTGCCGGCTCAACTGACTCCCTGAAAGAGAGGCATTGCGAAAATGCCACCGTTGCAGAGAGCAATGGGTCTACGGGAGCTTCAGCTGAGCGGAAAGTGCAAAGCAATCCTATCACGACAGAAGAGACTCGCATGGCAGTTGAGCTCATCTTTGCCGTTATCAACGAACTTTATTCCCTGTCCTCCGCCTGGAACATCCGTCTGACTCTGCTCAACGCGGCAAAATCCTACATACTTCGTCCTGGAAACCCAAGTCTAGAGACCATCCGCAATTTACTACAAGAATCTATGATTGACAGTCATAGCTCAGACGAGGCAATCGGTGAATATTTGGCTAAACTTCGCAAGAACGCCTTGCCGACTGCAGAGGAACTGAGTGCCTGGCCGCTCCCCAGCTCTGAATCCGAACAGGAACGTCAGAGAGATGCTGCTCGCCGAGTTCTTGTCCAGAAAGGGCTTCCGCAGGCGATCACAAGTATCATGGGAGCGGTTGCTAGCAGAGAGGCTCTTGGCAAGGTCTTTGATAGCCTTCAAATCGAGGTTGTCGCTCGTGGGTTTGTCTTCTCTATCTTCATGCAGGCGTTGCGGGCTGTGGCGCTCTAGGGAGACATGGTATGTATAGTGATGATACCTTGATATTGCAGCGATAGAATGTGTGGTAGGATGTGCTTGAGACCATTGACTGTATATCAATCCCTTCGCTTCTGGGTCGAGGCCTCGACTCCTCTACCTGTTTAGCGATCACGGTGCGCAATCAATTGGGTATCAGACTGTATGTATAGAGGTCGTGTCCCCCATGCACAATCATGAGGTCCTAGCCATTCATTATTTTCTACCGGGTAGCTCTTAATGCGACCCGAACGGGCCAAGATGGTCCTGGGAGAAAGGACCGGAAGGTCGGATGAATCGACCCAAGAAAAACGTTTGATAATCAAAACTAAAATACCCAGGGCCTCGGTGACTAGGTGTATATTGGCTGCGATGGACTGAAACGTTGTTAACCCTAAAATCTAAGAGTGTCCAGGTCATCTTAACCAGTGATTTATTGGGACCGGGTAAAATACTAATGCGAGACAGTAACAAAGCAGAGAAGTCTTGCACATCAGATGTTATATTATAGCCCAAGATAGCTAAGCCTGTTCTTAAATTTCCTGGTTTGGGGTTTATGGCGGCCCTATATGGCCCTATATGAAAGGTCAGCAGTAGGTCGGCCATTCTGTCAACGGTTCCCCACACGCAACCGTTTTCTGCACAGCATTTGTGAGATCATGAAATGGTTGACGTCCTCGTCTGACCAGTAACTCAGATGACTCGCAAGGCTCGCGATCAGAGATATATCGAATGCTCCCCTGTCAGGTCAGATCAGCGCCAAGTACCAGAAAATGTGATGGAAGAGGCAGCTATACTCTTGTATGCTATAATCGACTCGCCCATTTGAATTCAAGAGCCTAACCTTCTCATCTTCTAGTCGTAATCTTCTCAGACCACGATCAATATCCTCTTGTCCTGTTTCGAATTCGCTCTTCGAATCACTGTCTGCTTTCTGGCGCCTCAGCTTGGCTTTCTGAAAGCCCTCATAGAGTGTTTCGATATCTGGGTCTATCAAAGTCGGACTGCGATCTCCCAGAGAATCAGAGTTAGGCTGTAACGAAGACCGCTGTTGGGAGCGGGTGCTAGAGTTATGTGAAGAACTCTCGTCAGAACTGATACCCAGGCTGCGGTTGAGCAAGCTGCTTGCAACGCCAGAGGTGAAATTAGTCCACAGAGACCCGACACTCTGACCCACGCGGCTCCCAATCATCGACAGGCTTTGTCCGGACGCGGTCCATATGCTTCGCTTCACTGATGGTAAAGGCTGCGGCTTGAGAGATGACATTGCTGGGGATATCAGAGGCTCCATGCGGTAGCTGACCGGATCCGAAGGGTGGAATATGTTGTACAACTGCCGACACCGTGGCACAGATACCGCGAATTGAGACTCATTTATCATGCCCCCGGAGCTGAAATTGGCGGATTGACGCTTAGAGTTGAAAGTTGCATTGACGGTTTCATCTTCCTCACCCAATCCGGATGGTAATTCACTTTTTTCATCCTGCAGGAAAGGTCGGCCAGCAATTTTATTGCCCTTGAGCATCTGGAAAAGGGCAACCGGCGAACCCAGGCAGAAGAATTCTTCACACTCAAAGGCGAATGAAGAGGCCCCAGAAGCGGCTTTCTCCCCTGAATGGGTTGCCTTTCTCGCCTCGGGATATCCAGAGCAGAGAATATCAAATAGAATTGCGCTCCCGAGAGAGTGTCCGCAGAGGCTCACAGAGCCCTTGAAAGAAGAATTCCTCTTCTTGTAGAGCTCCACTATTCGATTGCATTCCTGCTTTACTATAGATGTTATATGCTCGCAGTACTTACTCTGGTAAAGAAGCACGTCCACTGCCAGATCAGATATGAGATTCCGAACAGCAGGAACACTCTCAAGCGTGATATCAGATAGAGCAGGATAAATATCGTCCTCCAGGGCGTCTGCATCTGCAAGATCAAGCTCTTTACGGGTTTTCCCAAACTTTTTGTACGGAAATTCCAGCAGATGTCTCCAGCACCTGATGCGCATTAGCCAAACAAAGCCGGTATCATATTGAACATGTGACTCACACGGGAAGAACCTGGATGCGGCAATTCTTTTGTTTATCTGGGAAGGCTGAATTAAGAGCCTGGAGGTCGGGGGATGCCTTGTACACGCTCTTCATTGTTTTGCGTAGGACATTGACATCGTGGATAAAGTTGACACTTTCCAAGCGCAGCCCTAGGCGTTGGCCGATGCCATGCGTGACCAAGACCAAGTGATCTATCTCTCTTTCCCTATCCTCATCATCTGCCTCCCTTGAATCTTCCATCTCCTTTTCCTCCTGCCTACGCGCCTGCTCTTCGAGCTCAGTTGCATCCTGTGTGCTAGCCAAGGACGAAACACGCCGCTCTAAAGCTCTTTCAGGTCCCATCTCAGCTGGGTCCTCCGGGAGATGGTCTTGCGCGGAGCTGGATTTTGCGGCATCGGCTGCTCGCCTGGTAGCCGAGGCTGAACTGGCGGGGAGCGCCCCGGAAGGTGCGGGTATGGAGTCGCCGGTCGATTTCTGATCGGAACCTTTCTTGTCTTGCGCATCGCTCTGTTTTTTAGTCTCGATAAACCCGCGGACAAGCTTAGTACCTGCGACACCCCCGAGAGTTTGGTATACTGTTGTGCTCACTCTTGACATAAAGTCATCACTCGTGAGAAGAGACGTCGTTGCATCTTGGTAAGAGACAATACTGTTCATGTAAGAGCCGAACAGACGGTATTTTCGTGTTTCATTTATAGACATGGTAGGTGGATTACCATAGCCCTCTGCCTGGTTAGCTGCCGGCTGGAACTGAGAGTTACGAGCCAGTCTAACGTACCTTGTTCCCGGCCATTCGATGCTGGTAAAGGCTGGGCGAATGGTTGATTGATGTTTTCAAATCGCCATGGTTTCACCTTTAGATAGCCCTCCTCAAGCTGAGTGGCAAGGTTCTCTTCACAGGGCCTGATTGTTGACCCTTCTTGAAAGAACCACGTTCCGCGACGAACTTCATATACGGGACCTACCCAGTAGGATGGACCTAACTCCCGTCGATTGATGTCAACATCAAAAAGGTAGTCTTCGTTAACAGGTACCTTTACGGATTCATTCAATGCTCTGTCCACGGGCAGGTTGTAGTGAGCCTGTTCCCGTTCCGCCTCAGTATTACAAAGATTCTGGAAGGCATGTTCAACGGACTGTGAGTCCTTTGGCGTAAAGGGGACAAATTTCTTAGGTTGCGGCAGGGGCTTCGGGTTTTCCCTCTTCTGGTCGGACAAAGACGGCTTCCACTTGGGTGAGTCTACCGCGTAGAACCATCGCACTTTTAGAGGGGGGCAATCTGCTGGATAGTGACGAAGGCTCAAGCGGTGTCTATGAGAGACGGTGTGGTCTTCCCCTTTAGACCGCTGGAGAATATCCTGTGCATCTGCATTGACGGTTGTTTGGCTATTGGCATTCTCCGAGCCGCTTTTATTTGAAAATGTCCCCAAGAATGCCGTTCCTTTTGAAGCATCGGATGCCATGAACCTCCAAGTAAAGCGAAGGGCGTAGGAACCGATAGAACGGCCAGCGTTGGTTCTGCTGACGACAGGCAGGCGAGACGCCAGCGGAGTAACGGCAAGCAAAGTAACTGCGTACATGCACCGTGTTCAATGGATCGGGTTAATCGAACGGATTCGGTGAAAAATCTGAAGATGGGTCAGAAGGCAGAGGTAAGATTCGTTGATTTTTCAGATTTCAGTGGTAGATAGTCCATAAGTAACTCCGGAGTTGGCCTCGGTTCTCTTCGATTTTCCGTGCACTTTTAGGTCATTCCAGGTACAATCCATTGTTCTTGGCACCACATTATTACAGAAGCCTAGGGTGTGCTAGCACAGAGCTCGACTCAAAACCCTCCAAGGTAAGACTCGACCGAGTCATCAAAATTGTAACTCTTTACAGAGGGAGTAGTAGTATAGGGTAGCGGAGAAAGGTTGAAGGTGCACTGTGTGCGTTGAGGAACACGAACTCATTGTTATTAAAGCCAATGACGTAGACACTGGCGAAAGCTGTGCGTGACGGATCGAGGGGTAAACTGGAGCCCGATTGGATCTTACCTCAGCCACTCGGTTTCCGCGCTCGTCCTCAAGTTCGAAGTGTCTCTTAAACAGAAGGGAGAAGGTATTGATTGCATCATCGATTCGATCCAGAACAGTTTTGAATTCATGAATTAAAGTGACCGGTGGGAAACTGTTTGCCTGCATGGCTGTATCTCTACCCATGACCCCTTCACAAGTTTCGCAGGAGCCCAGTCTCTCTCACGAAGAGGGAGTAAGATTGATCGATGAGCTGAAGAGAGGACTGCCCAGTACCGTAGTGCCCACTGGGTTGTGGCCTCTTCTCAACCCCGCCCCGCTTCTCTAGGAAGGCAGGAGGGTAAATAAATCTGCCTACCCAGTCTACGCAATCCGCCCAAAGAAGGCCCAGGCTACCTAAATATGGATAATACTAGTACTTAACCTTGCCCGCGCTGTATCGTCAAAGCCACACTATCCACCAGACCCTCTTAAACCACCCAGCTTCTCCATTAAATACCCCCAAACCAATTCCTCCTCCCTCTGACAATCTTCCCCTTTTCCCTGCGACCTTTCTGGTATTCCCCAAGCGCCAGTCGGACACGAACGGTCCACGGAAATATGAACGTGATCAAACTTCAAAGGTTAGCTCACATTTCGTAGCGGCTTACGTCGTCTCCAATATTGCTTCATTCTTTCCCATTTCCTTTTGTTCGTCCCTAACCAAGTCGCACTTCTTAGGAAGTACCCTCAATTCGAGCAGGGCGATATTTTCTCTCTCCAGGATGCATTCAGAAAGTTAGATTTGGACGACAAGGGCTATTTGGACGAGGCCACTGTCATTAAGGCCACGCAACAGTCAGAGCGTCAACCCTACGATGTCGTGCGCCAGGCATTGAAGGAGGTTGAGCTTGACAGCTCTCGCCGCGTGGAGCTTGACGACTACGTTGATGTGTGTGCTTCAATCATCAGACTTTGAATCCCAGAGCTAACACTTCCTAGCTCATTGCCAAACTTCGTTCTGGTTCGGCGCAAAGCGCGCCTGTCCGGGACCCTGTTTCTGCAGCCGCACCCGGAGCTCCCCGGCATGTCTCAAAAGGGAGCGTTGGAGGTAGAATCCATGTCCAAGGGTCTTCCTCAAACGTAACGCATACAATCAACGAAGATGAGAGGACCGAATTCACGAGGCATATCAACGCCGTCCTTGCAGGCGATCCAGATATTGGGAGCCTCCTACCCTTCCCTACCGATACCTTTGAGATGTTCGATAAGTGCAAGGATGGTCTGGTCCTCGCCAAGTTGATCAACGACAGTGTCCCTGATACAATTGATGAGCGCGTATTGAATAAGGCCGGCAAGAAAATCAGAGAATTAAACGCATTCCATATGACCGAGAACAACAACATAGTTATCAACTCTGCTAAGGGAATCGGGTGCTCGGTTGTGAACATTGGAAGCGGCGACATCATAGAAGTGCGCGAGCACCTTATCCTTGGCCTGATTTGGCAGATCATCCGCCGTGGACTCCTGGGCAAAATTGACATCAAGCTCCATCCTGAGCTCTACCGGCTTTTGGAGGAAGATGAGACGCTTGAGCAATTCCTCCGCCTTCCTCCGGAGCAGATTCTGCTTCGGTGGTTCAATTACCATTTGAAGAACGCGCAGTGGCCTCGAAGGTATGATACCTCGGTCTCTTCAAATTATAAGTTCAAACTAACAGCGCCGTAGGGTCACCAACTTCTCAACCGATGTAAAAGACGGCGAAAACTACACCGTGCTACTCAATCAGCTGGCACCCGAACACTGCTCACGACAACCGCTCCAGACCAGGGATCTCTTGCAACGTGCAGAGGAAGTCTTGACCAATGCGGATAAGGTTAATTGTCGCAAATTCCTGACACCAACCTCGCTAGTCGCAGGAAACCCTAAGCTCAACCTTGCGTTTGTCGCGAACCTGTTCAACACCATTCCAGGACTTGACCCGATTACCGAGGAGGAGAAGCTCGAGGTTGAGGACTTTGATGCAGAAGGAGAACGAGAGGCTAGAGTCTTCACTCTGTGGTTGAACTCACTCGACGTGCAGCCTGCCGTCAACTCGTTGTTTGATGACCTGCGCGATGGCACGATTCTGATGCAGGCCTACGACAAAGTCATCCCCGGGAGTGTCAATTGGAGACATGTCAACAAACCCCCAGCCTCGGGGCAGGAGATGATGCGGTTCAAGGCAGTTGAGAACACCAATTATGCTATCGAGCTTGGTAAGCACCATGGTTTCTCACTAGTGGGTGTACAGGGAGCAGACATTACAGACGGTCAAAGGACCCTTACACTGGGACTGGTATGGCAGTTGATGAGGCGAGATATCACCAATACACTTTCAAGCCTGGCGAGCCGATTGGGCAAGCGCGAAATTACAGACTCTGAAATGATCAAGTGGGCCAATGATATGTCACGCAAAGGTGGCCGGGGATCTTCCATACGCAGTTTCAAGGACCAGTCAATCGGATCTGGTGTGTTCCTCCTGGACGTTCTCAGCGGCATCAAGGCCTCCTACGTCGATTATGATCTTGTTACGCCTGGTCAAACCGATGAACAGGCGTATGCGAATGCTAAACTTAGCATCAGTATTGCACGCAAATTGGGTGCAACCATCTGGCTGGTTCCTGAGGATATCTGCCAGGTCCGGTCTCGTCTTGTTACTACGTTCATTGGTAAGTGTTTCTAAACGGCGGTCTAGGCTTGACACTGACATTCTTCTCTTTAGGCTCTCTCATGGCTACGTATGAAAAAATGCAATAGCTGATATCGCAAGCCTTTACTCGATAACAAGCCTATGCAAAGGGGATGTCGCTTTCCTTGTTCATAGTTATGCTAGTATTGTCTCTAGAATCGTTGACCAGGTTCCAAAATAACTAAACAAAACGACCATTTTGGCCTCAATTTCAATGTGATGGTTGCTAATGGATCATTACGGTGGATGATAAAGTAGCTATTTTGCCATAGCCGAGCGCGGCAATGTAACTGCTTAAAAGGGGGTCTGGCTGAGTCGTACCTGTTCATGATTCTTGCAGCCATTTTGGTATGCAAGCTCATCTCCGAAAATAATCTTAACTCCAATCAGTGGGCGTCGGAAAGAAATGATCCTCTCTGATGAATTGCGAAAATGCAAAATGACGGGTCGCTTCCGGTCACAGCGTCACAGGAGGTGCAGTTTAGTGATGCGGATTTCCGGAGCAGAATTGAGCTTCATGACTCATCTTCGTTGCATCAAGGTCGGCGACGAGTTCGAAGATCCGCTGCTCTGGGACAGTATATCTTACGGCTACTAGAGGACGATGTTCGAAAACAAAACCTAACGGCTACCGAGAATAACGATCGCAAGGCAAGGGACGACGTGATGGATATTAGAATCGTTTAATTTATTCTGCGACGGAAGGCGAAAGCGTACGGGCCGCTTTTATCGGAGTGAACGCAAGGACGACAAATTCGGCAGGTGTGGGAATGGATAAAGAAAATGAAACGGATCGGCGTGGTTCGAGACTGATTCCCGTTGCTAGCAAGATGATGAATACCATGTCGAACAAGTAAACCCGTAACCAAAGGTAATGATCACTTAGCCATCATTTCTTAACCGCAACGCCTCGTCCATTTTGTCTTTTTCGGCTCTCGAATCGCTTTTCCTGATTGGCACGGAAGTTTGAGATAAGAGTACGGAGTAGAAGCAAACGAAACACAAGGTGACAGAAGAGCAGTATTGCGGTAAAATAGGGGTAGAGGAAACAGATAGAGGTGGGAAGGCCAAGGGAGTAGCAACAAAAAGCTTCACTGGTGCGAATGTTAGGAAATAGATCAGACAAGCTTTTGGGCCAGTAGCCGGGTACCGGTCCATCAGACAGCCACCTTTCAAGACAACATGAGAATACATGCCGACTGTTGAGAAACTGTCAGCATACTACCAGTCTCCGAAGAGCCAGGCAAGCGACAGAATAAAATCAAACCTCTGTCACTCTTTTTAGCAGAGAGAATCTACTCAGCAGTATCAAGTTCGTCATGAGCAGACGTCAAGGGCTCGAGCGGAGCTATGTTGCTTCAGCAAATGTGTCTATTCCAACACTAGGGCGAAAACTCACCTTTCCTATCTTCACCATTTGGACCGTTCTCACGCTCTTCATCGCGTCGCTCGCGGTCGTCGTCACGCCTCTCCCGATCATCCTTGAGGTCGCGGTCTCGCTCATCGGGACTGCGGGAACGATCACGAGAGCGGTCTCTGTCTCGGCGGTCGTAGTCGCGGTCCCGGCGATCATAGTCGCGGTCACGCCGTTCGTAGTCACGGTCATGTCGGTCATAGTCACGTTCATACCTATCATTGCGTGGGGAGTACTCTCCACGAGCACGGCGAGGTGAGGGAGAACGACCACGGCGAGGAGGGGTGCGGTCGCGGCGGCGGTCGCGGCCCGAATCAAAACGCCAGGAGGCAGATGGGGGAGTCCTAGCCCACTGATGAACGGTCAGAAAAAAAAAAAAAAAAGAAAAAAAAAGGATGCCAAGGCAACTGCTAAGATGTGGCTTACTTCAATCTTTAATAAATCATCGCGACCGATTCTCTTGTTGTGCATCTCGTGATATGCGTCATCAGCATCCCGGCGACTTTCGTATTCCACAAAGGCAAAACTACACTCCAAGGTTAGAACATTCACAGGGAGGAAAACGGTTGAGATCATACAGGCGGCTAGACGGAGTACGCGGTGCAGGAATGTCGCATCGAACCAGGCGGCCGTAGCTGTTTAGATAGATTAGCATGCGATACGGTGTAAAGGAAATGAGTAGTCCATTGGTGGAAACGAAGAAACGAGGATGGGAAAAGACGATGTGCAGAGGTACAAATATGGAAAAAAGGGAATATATATGAAGCTCCAAAGTCTCGACCAGACAAAAATGTCTGATGCATAAGTGGGTGTTCTCAGTATATAGCAAGGACTATCACCGGCGTCGGCATCGCGAGACCCGATCGAGATGAACAGCGGAGTTGGAGAGATATACGATTCGGATGGTCATGGTAGCGGAAGGTAATCGACGAGCGGAACGTACCGTTCGAATTCGTAGGCTAGATCGCGAGCGCGGGTGCCATGGCCGAAGCCAGTGACGTATAGCGTGGTGCCAGGACGAGACATGATGGCCGTAGGTCAAGATACGCGTACGGGATGGGATGTTGTATCTGAAGGTCGATTCAGGGTCTGCGAAGAGGGTATGAGAAGTGACGGAAGAGACTGGAAGGCGAGCAAGGGTTGAATGAGGTGGGCTACAGGCGGCTGGATGTGCCAAAAACGAAGCCAGTTGAAGGCCAACAGCTTGTGAGAGAGTCTAACCACGACCTGACAGTAAGCGCACCCGCAAGGCGCCAGATCAGCAACTGTCTAGATCTTCGTAAGCACAGGTAACAGAGCATCAAATAGTCACAATCTTTTGACCAGGATTGAACCACAAGTACTTGTTCTAGGGTATACTCCGTATACGGAGTACTTTATCGTTCAGACACCGCGCGCTTAGAACAATCCCGATTCTTGGGGCCCACTCTAAGGGATTCCGACAAAGAGGCTCATTTCATCAAACGTGGAGAGTTTTTCCGACTTCTTCCAAGGCGGTTCTCGGAAGTCATCGTGGAGCCTGCCCCAGAACCCCCTGATAATACTAGCGACCTTCGCAACAGACTATCATTTCGATATTTTATCCTTATCCCTCCCTGGAAAACATCTCACTGGGGCCTGAGTTCCTGTCCCCGTTGTTATCCCGAGACTCCGACACGCCGCGTCGCAGAAATCCCTCCTCGGCATCTGCCCAATCTTTCAGATCAATTCTTACTTCGATTCGCTTTCGTTGCACAATGCAGCTATAGTCATATACTACACATGGCCAGTGCAGGATTCAAGGACCCAATAGTGCAATTCCACCTCGCTGCAGATCGGCCTCCCTCCTATATATAACTTTGAGAGGTCAGCCTGGTCCTCCGCGCCTGATCCAGCGGCTAGGGGAATCATACCTTTTGGCGGTCCGCAGGCCACATGCCGATAGCTACCGCTAGCAGCTCTAAATCTTCATAAGTCAGATATCTGCGCCTGCTATCCGAGAATGAGCTTGGATCGACAGAAAGCTACAGGGGACGCCGGGTCAAATGGTGATGAGAAATCTGCCCTTCCAAAACTTTCGCAATTCCCGCCACCGAGTGCGACCAAGGTAGGTGGAAAGAAAGGTCTGTCTCTTGTACATACAGCTCACGAATTTTAGCGGACGTTTCCGGAGAAGAGCCCCTCATTCCTGAATGGCGTCAGAGGCGCGATGGCCGAACCTGTTACTGCAGCTTTCTTTGCCGGAGGTGTAGCGGGTGCCGTATCCAGAACCATTGTTTCGCCGCTCGAGCGTTTGAAAATCCTTCTCCAAATACAAACTGTTGGCAGAGAGGAGTATAAACTGTCTATCTGGCAGGCGCTTAAGAAGATCGGAAAAGAAGAAGGATGGCGAGGGTTCATGCGGGGAAATGGCACGAACTGCATTCGGATCATCCCATACTCCGCAGTTCAATTCGGGAGCTATAACTTTTATAAGAGAGTGAGCACTCAATCCGGCTGACGCGCGTGATGACCTGGACGTATGTATAACGCTCTCTAGTTCGCCGAGCCCTCTCCAGGCGCCGATTTGACACCCTTACGCCGACTTTTGTGTGGAGGGGCGGCTGGGATTACCTCAGTGATCATTACTTATCCTCTGGATATCGTTCGTACTCGGCTCTCCATTCAGTCCGCGTCTTTTGCTGCTCTCAAACGAGAAAGCGCCGGCGAGAAACTTCCAGGCATGTTCACAACTATGGTCTTGATATACAAAAATGAGGGCGGCTTCTTCGCCCTGTACCGTGGAATTGTTCCAACCGTTGCCGGTGTTGCTCCTTACGTATGAATGGCCGAGCATTGATATACCGAAGATGATACGTTGGCTAACCGTGCTTAGGTTGGGCTCAACTTCATGACGTACGAATCAGTCCGTAAATACTTGACGCCGGAAGGGGACACTACACCAGGGCCACTTCGGAAATTACTCGCCGGCGCCATCTCTGGGGCCGTCGCCCAAACATGCACATATCCATTGTAAGTTGCGCCGCGCTTTCTTCCAGTCTCCCTCATTGTCGCCAGTGATGCTAACGAGCCCAGTGATGTTCTCCGGCGGCGTTTTCAGATTAACACGATGTCCAACATGGGATATCAGTACAGCTCCATTCTTGACGCTGTAAAGGTCATTGTGGCCGAGGAGGGCGTGCGCGGTCTTTTCAAGGGGATTGCGCCGAATCTCCTGAAAGTAGCACCAAGTATGGCGAGCAGCTGGCTCAGTTTCGAGCTTACGCGGGATTTCTTCCTAGGTTTGAATGATCGGTGATGACTGCTGGGGACTGTCTCTTCTCAGAAACCTTTTGAACGTCAAGGCAATAGAAATGGGTTGCATCCTGATAGCTGTATATTGATGCGAGTTCCAAACCGTGATTTTGATAGTGTGAACTGGCTTAATTTAGAGTAGAAGATAGGAATGATAAGATTCATCTGATGCGTCAATTAGAAGTATAACTTTCCGCTTCCAACCACCTGAGGAAATCATACGTAAAAACCTGAAAAGGGGTAGTGAAGCCTTCACTAAACTTCAAAGTCCTTTTGTCACGTCTCCAAATGCCGAAACAGATCAAATAGATGCTCGAAAAGAAATGGAAAACTAGTATTATAGCACTGTATCATGTTCGCAGTTGGCGTTCATTTTCTCGCGATGACGGGAAGTCACAGGCCAAGTTCTCGAGATTTCCATGGGGGACGATTTTATATCACACTGTCAAGAAGCGACTTTTTCGATTTGATTTTTTCTGGTTCGGCTTTTCATTTGACAAGTAATAATCTTTCCAGAAGAGGAGATTGGCAAATGGAGGACGAAGCCGAGAGACAGATCGGGTACCTCGTGGTACCGCGTAGTAGTACCCCAGCTGGACACTTCCCGAAACGTACTAGTGTAGGGCTCAACCCGCACACACCGTCCGTCTGAAAATCATCTATTGAATCTCTGATGAGCTTCACTTTACATCCGGGAGCGACAGCCAACTTTACGGTCGAAAAGTCTCAGCAGCCATGGGTATGTTTCAACACACTATACTGCTCCCTGCTGGGTTTTCATTCTCAATGCAACCGAATCAGCCGTCTCCATCTTCAAATTTGCTCGACGTTTAGGAGAATTGTGCTGATCTTTGGTGGTTAATTAGGTATCGACTTGGACCGCCACCATGTGCGCAGCACTCACCGCAAGGCGCCGAAGAGCGAGAATGTGTACTTGCAGGTCTTGGTGAAGCTTTACCGCTTCCTTGCCCGTATGGTGACCCTTTGGAGTTCAGTCAAGAATTGTATATGAGTGGATGTGGAGGACTAATTGGAGGTGTGAACTGTAGGCCGCACGGAATCGAACTTCAACAAGGTTGTGCTGCGCCGCCTTTTCATGTCCCGTATCAACCGCCCCCCGGTTTCGCTTTCGCGCATCGCTTCGAACGTCTCCGAGTCGCACCAGGGCAAAACCGTTGTCGTGATCGGCTCTGTCACTGATGACAACCGTCTCCTTACCGTCCCCAAGCTTTCCGTCGCTGCCCTGCGTTTCACTGCCACTGCCAGAGCTCGCATTCACAAGGCCGGTGGTGAGACTCTGACTCTGGATGAACTCGCTCTGCGCGCCCCTACTGGAGCCAACACTCTCCTTCTCCGCGGTCCCAAGAACGCCAGAGAAGCCGTCAAGCACTTCGGTTTCGGTCCCCACAAGCACAAGGTTTGCATCCTCTTTTCTTTCGGGGGGGTACTGGTTGCGGCTGACACTTGTCTAGAAACCTTATGTCCGAAGCAAGGGTCGCAAGTTTGAGAGAGCCCGTGGACGCAGAAGGTCTCGCGGTTTCAAGGTCTAAAGGAGGAATAGTTGAAATTGTCATGACAAGCAGTCATTCCCGCCTGAATTAAGATTGTCGTACCGACCCCTGTCATTATCAGACTTTTTCGAACCGCAGAGGCCGCAAATTTTTGAGATGACTTGAATTCAAGGAAAAAAAGACATTCTGCTGATTTTACGAAAACTCCGGTAGATGGCGTCGATCGGGTTGAAGGAAAATGAACATTCTATAAATTTATTGCTCTTTCAACATTGGGCTAGCGTATCTGCAAATTCTCGTGCTTGTACTTTCTTCCGCCTTCGCCCTCAAAGTAATCCCCTGCCCGGTGGCCATTACCTCGGATCAGATACTTGTAAATTGTCAATCCATCCAATCCAACAGGTCCTCTAGAGTGTATCTTATTTGTGCTGATACCAACCTCTGTGCCGAATCCGTACCTCATTCCGTCTGCAAATCTCGTCGATGCATTCCAGAAAACTCCGGCGCTATCAACACCTTTCATGAAGAAGTTGGCCGCATCTTCTGATTCGGTGACGATAATGTCCGTGTGTTTGGAGGAATGAGCATTGATGTGGGTCACTGCCACCTCAACACCCGTCATAGATAGCTGGGGAACAATTGTTTTGACGGCTAACGTAAGATCTAGAAACTCCGTGTCGAAATCGGAGTCCTGAGCATCACGTAGCGCCTCTGCCTCAGCGGGAGTCAATGTTTTCACGAGCGCAACTTTGGAGGACACATCGCAGCGGAGGGTAACGCCCTTGGCAATAAGCGCTTTAGCGACAAGCGGGAAAACGCTTTTCAAGACATCTTCATGTACGAGCAGGGTTTCCAATGAGTTGCAAGCAGCTGGATAATCAGTCTTCGAGTCGACCACTACCTTGACAGCAGTTTCTGGGTTGGCATCCGAGTGCAGATATGCGGAACAAATACCATCTGCGTGTCCAAGAACCGGTATTTTGGTATGTTCTTTTACAAATCTAACAAGGTCGTTGGATCCGCGAGGTATGACGAGGTCGATGAAGGAGTCCTGTGCCAACAAGTCGGAAACTGCAGCCCTTGTTTTCACAAGTTGAATGGATGCTTGCGGCACTCGAGTATGCGATATAGCTTCTGATATCACATTGGCAATGGTCACAAATGACTCTGTGGATTCTTTCCCGCCTGTTCGAAGTCAGCGCAGTTTCGATGAACAGTCAGTATCGAGGTTCACTTACCCTTCAAGATTGCAGCATTGCCCGACTTGATAGATAACGCAGCGATATTTGCGATAACCTCTGGACGGGCCTCAAAAATTATTAGCAGAACGCCAATTGGGCACGTCACTTTTTCGAGCGTGAGGCCATCGTCAAGGAGCGTCCTCAATGTCACGTTTCCGACTAAAACAGGGTCAGAAGGTCGGTGCAGTAATTGAAAAAAAAAAGAGAAAACGGAAACCTACTGGGGTCCTTTAGACTCCTCACACTCAAGATACCCTGCAACATGTCATCGTATTTTCCTGGTCTTGACAGGTCGAGCCGCTTCAAGACGCTATGACTGAGGCTTCCGCCCGCAACAGATTGTTCTGCAGCTTGGAGGTCCCTGGCGTTGGCCTCGAGTATGGCTGTCTTATTTGCCAGGAGAGCATCATGTAGCGCAGTAAGGGCTTCGTTGCGCTCTGCTTCAGACCGGGTCGCAAGATGTCGGGAAGCGGAAGAGGCGGCTTTGGCGATGTCAATCGCCGAAGACTCTGTGAGAGACATCTCGAGCGAAAATAGGGACCCGCAAGAATCAGTTTTCAGAGGCTGTGAACTGTGTGGTATGAGCTAGTCTCCCATGCTGCACGAATAAACCAAAGGCGTGCGCTACTGGTGTTAACCGAATTCACGGATAGTGTGGGGAATGAGTCACCCCACGGCAGACATAGTACTCCGAGTCGGTAGCTCAGGAACGACGAGAAACCAATTAATTCTGAGAAGACCAGAAAGGGGTCTCAGTAGTATCAGTAATGCAGTAGGAAATGTGCTTTGAATTTCGGCCGCAGCGTTATTAAAGTATACCCAAGACCGTCGTGTAGCGGATTGGAGCACCATTTTCAGCTTGAATCTACTTTTAAGTCGCACGTAGCAATCTGCTCATAATAAAGGCTATTTGAGGCAGGTACAACTCCAGCTAGGTAGAGGTCGCATGGTGGCAGGGTGCGGGATTCTCGGAAGTTGGATACGATATCCATTTACCCACCACCCCCCGACGACTTTTTGCATTCCTAAGTAGCATGTCCCGTTTCAATGGCCATCTCCCATGAGATCTTCGTCAATGTCACCGCCGCCTCCTGCTTCGCCAGAAGAGCTAACCTTGTCCGAGTTACCACTCCACTTCTGACTCTTAGCTAGAAACTGCAAGTTCTCCCGGGAAAGTTCTAGCGTCCGATCTGTTTGCGTTACCCCTTGCGCGATGGCGTTTAAAGCGGTCTTTGCCCTTATCAGTTCCGCACGAATATGCTCTTCCTGGCAAGCATCACTTCGTGAGCTCAGGGAAAGCCGCAGCATTGTAGCGCCATTTTCCTGGGGAGCATGCGACAGACTAGCCCTCAATGCCCCGGACATCACGAGTGACGCGACAAATTCCTCAATCTCTTGTGGACTTTGCGCGGTCGATGACGTTCTTTGTAGTACATCAGGCATTGTGAGGGCAGAGAATGTTTTCCCCAACTTGACAATCACGAATTTGTCATATGCTTCGAAAAGCTGAGATACGAGTCCAGTATTTTTGTCCTGCAAAAAAAGTTAACAAGGATTTCCTGCTGGTGTGACAGAGGGCGGGTAACGCACAGCTTGCCAGATGGTTTGTCCTATATCTATCTCAGTGATCATCTTCTGCAAATCGCCCTTTTCGAATGCCTCAGCCAGCGAGATGTAGGGACGTGCCAATGATTGGTAAACCCTGATAACATGGGGAGCAATCATCTTGGAAGTAGGAGGTATCTGTGAATTGAGATCTATCAGCCATGCGCCAACGCCACGCAAAGACATCACTATGGAGGAGAAAAAATACCTTTCCGTATCCAAGCAGGTTTGCCAAAATCCACTTTTTGTATGCCTCCACCATTATTTTGCTGACCGCGTTGGCAGTCGGCGAGGCTATGACCGCATTCAAACAGTGACAAGCTTCGTCCCACTTTTTGAGGGCCATGTAGATCATCGCACTGTAGAGGAAGTATTGAAGGTGATCTCGATGTGACAATTTAGATGAGATACCAGACGCAGTGGTCACAAGCGTCGTAGTGGGTGTATGCTCCGAACATGAGAGATACGCATGGTGCACATGGTCTGCATCTGTAGGGAAGTGGTAGACAAGTTGGTTGGTGATGGGGAGTGCATAGGTGTAGGATGATGAAAGCAACGCGAGCCTGACCAGGAGGAGGTGTGTTGAGGTAAATATCCCACAAAGGCCAAGTCGCTCTAGAGCATCCCTGGTCACTTTTAGAGCTAGGAGAGTCTTCCTAGAGGTTAGCGCTATCCAAAATAACAGTGGCCCGAGGAATGAGAAATGTCTTGCCTTCGAAGAAGTCAAAGCTGCACTGGCCACGATTTCAACAAGCTGCCGCCACTCGTGAAGCGAGTAGCGGATTTGGATTGGATCAAACGACCGCAGGAATCTAACAGCCCATTTCCACAGATTTCCTCCGGGCTGAAGTACATCGGGTATGTCGCGCTTTGTTCTTTTCTGGGCCTGTTGTATATGAAACCGCAGGAGGTAAAGGAAGGATAAACTGTGTGTTGATGGGCTGAGAACCTGTGGCATAATTGCAGAGGTCAGTATGTACCTTGTGCTGACGCAATGACACGCTTCAAGTATGCTTACTTGTAAAAACTCATTTGGGTCGGTCGTGCTAGCAATCAGGCCAGGCTGCTTAAGGTATGCGACCAGTTCTCGGAGTTGGCGGTCATATAGTTCGTCTGCCACATCGGTTGCGCCATGAAGGCGAGATGGTACTGTAGATAGGCGCGTGAGTACGTCCGACATCATTAAAGCGGGGTTCACTGTGGAAGGGGAGGAACGTGGTAAATTTTGCTCAGTACACCATAGATTGCGCGGGTGAGATGGGATTAATATGGGTCAGATCTAGGTTCCACGCGAAGTCGCCGTGGTGGATGCATATGACGTTCCTTGTGGCATTTGAGCTGACGGTGGTGGATATGTAGGTACAAAGCTTGAGGCTCCCTGAACATCAGTTGTGGCAGTCCAATACCAACAAACATCCACTAAGACGTGATGTCACCTTAGTTTTAGGTTAGCCTACCCGGGCAGTACCCACCCACTATGGGTAAAAGTAGTACCTAAGTAGTGGGTTGGTTCATGTATGACACTTGCAATATACTACGTTAGAGCTTTGTACTCTATAGACCTTAGTTAGCCTATTATACTCCGGTCGACCTAGGTGGGTTTCATAGTGGAGCGATTTGCCACTGAATCTTGGTGGTTTTTTCTGCCGTGTATGACGAAATATTGATTTCCTGGATATTAAAGCTATTTAGAAGCGCCTTTACCCCTTAAGATGGCCTCTACAGGCGTTAATAACTGTTATGGGTAGCGTATTGATTGACGATCTAACTACGCCTGTTGGTACAAAAGGAATAGTTAAGGAAATTCGGGTGGCCGCAACAGGACGTAAGAACGTGTTGGGTCACGTGCTCGATGGGGACGTTCTGGAGCCACAAGGCTAAAGGCCGAGTTCACCTGAGGGTCGAGATCAGCCCATAACACCTGGTAAAGAGAAATAATAATAATTAAAAAAATAAAAAATAATCTAGATTACCTTTATCTTAAAAGATTATTATAAGAATTATTTTAATTATAAAGAAATAAGCTAATACTAAGTTAGATATTTATTATAATAAAATAATAATAATCTATAAAAATACTTCTATTATAATAAACTAGGCTATTATACGCCTAATTATCTAGATTTTATAATAATAGTAAAGACTAGGCCAAATATAAGATACTTATAATTATAGTAGTTATATCTATATAATTAATCCTTATTAATAGAGAGTAGCTTATTATAAAGAGGATTTTCCTTTTTATAAATATAACTCTATCTAGTAGAGTTAATATAGATTATAAAATACTTATAAATAAGAAAAGTAAAGTTAATATAATTCTCTTCTTATTTATAAAATAAGTAGGATAGAATCTTCTCTTTTATTAAATTCTATATAAACTATAAATAAAGGATAGCTATATAATAAAAAAGCTATAGAAATAGATTTTTAATTCTAAAATTTATAAAGTACCTAGAAGAAGTTTAAGATACTTATAATAATATTTTTAAATATTTTATAAGTAATTCTTAAGATATTATAATTAAAGATTTATGATCCTAAGATTTATTAGACTAGATGTAAGGCCCTCATGAATATACTTAGATATTTCTAACCTATAGTCCTTAGTTAGCCTGTGGGCTAACTAAGCCTATAGAGGATTTCCTCTACTTATAAAGAGTTAATTCTAACCTTTAGTATTAATCTATTATTAGATTCTTATTCTTAGAATTAAGCTATTATAATAAGCTATCTTTTTTTATTACTACCTTTTATACTACTTATAAACCTTAGAAAGGCTAAGGACGCTTATAATTTTAATATTTATTATTATAAATAGTCTATTAGGAGTAATAATAGTTAATATATAAGTAAGATTATAATATAGCTAGAACTTTTATAATAAAATATCTTATAATAATAAATTAAGCCTTTTAGAAATTCTAAAGATAATTTATTTTTTATAGGAAGGGATAATATTCTTAATTAATAAAGATTTAGAATCTTTATAAATATTTATTCTTATACTTATTAATTTAAAAGTAATCTTTAAAATACCTAATTAATAAATCTCTTATAAGAATAACTAGAATAAAATTAAAGATTTTATAAACCTTATTACTAAGAAATTATAATATTAAGTTAAGGAATTGTAATAAGTAAAATATATTATAATTCTTTAAAAATAAACTATTATAATATCTTTTTATAAATATACTTATATAAAGTTATTATATTTTATTTTTAAAAAGATCTTTGCTTTTATAGCTATTTATAAAAAAATAAGTAATACTATACTATTATATATATAAATTATTATAAATTTATATAAAAGATATAAGCCTTTAAAAATATTAATAATTATATAAAGAATAATTTATTATATTTTATAATTTTATATCTTAATACTTTAAGGATTATAGAGTATAAAATTAACTATAATATAATTTTTAATTTATAATAATCTTTATAAATTCCTTTTTAGATAGCTAGGATTCTATAAACTATTTATATATTATATAAAGTAAGGCTCTTTATATATAAAGTTTAAATAAAGAAAGTAACTATACCTATTTATAATAATAATATACATAGTAGTTAAAATTAAGAAAAGAAAATTAAAATCTTAATACTTTTTTTTATAAATATTTTTTTAAATTATTTTTGTATAAAATAGAAAATTTATAAATAATTAAAATTTTTAATTATTTTTATAAATTATACTTTGCTAGTTATAAAATTATAACTAAACATATTAAAACTAATTATAAAACTACTTTTAGTAAAGAAGAATAATAATAACTAAAAAAAATAAAAATAAAATATTTTAAATTACTTCTATTTTATAAGGATTATAATAAGAGTTATTTTAATTATAAGAAAATAAGCTAATATTAAGTACTTAATATAATAAATAATAATAATCTCTTATAAAGATATTTCTATTATAGAACACTAGATTATTATAAGCCTAACTACCTAGATCTTATAAAGAATAATAATAAGAGAGAGGCTTAATATAAAGTACTTATAAATATAATAATTATATTTATATAACTAACCTTTATTAATAAGAAGTAGCTTATTATAGAAAAAATTACTTCTCTTTATAAAGGTAATCCTACCTAGTAAAGTTATTATAGATTATAAAATACTCATAAATAATAAAAGTAAAGTTAATATAATTCTTTTTTAGTTATAAAATAAATAGAATAAAATCTTTTATCTTATTAAATCTTTATATAAACTATAACTAAAGAATAGCTATATAATAAAGAAGTTATAAAAATAGTTTCTTAATTTTAAGATTTATAAAATATCTAAAAAAAAGTTTTAAGATACTTATAATAATATTCCTAGATATTGTATAAGTAACTCTTAGAATATTATAATTAAAGATTTATAATTATAAAATCTATTAAACTAAAGAAAAGTATATCTTCCATAAAAAAATTTTAAAAGTAAAGAGTATGTAAGACCCTCACCATATACATATATAGGATAGCTAGAACTTTGTAGGCTAAGTTAGCCAGGGGCTAATTTAGTATATAGAAGAATATCCTCTCCTTATAAAGATAAAGATTTTATAACTTAGTATTAATCTATAATACTAACCTAACTATTAATTTATATAATAATTATATCTTTAATACCTCTTATTAAGTATTTTTATACTCTTTTATACTTATTATAACCTCTTTAGGCCTTAGATCCTTATAGCTTTAATACTTAAACTTTATAATTTATTTATTAGGAGTAAAGGATACTTATTATTATAAGATAATCTAAATAAATATCTAGATCTTATAAAATAAGATTATATAAGATAACTATCTAATTAGAATTATCTTATAATATAGCTAAGTTAATCTATCTAGCTTATAAAAAGATAATAATCCTAAAGAATATAAAAATAATCTTACTCTTAACTTCTAATAATTTTATAAATAAAGGTAATTAAATAACTAAGTTCTTAGATATAATATTCTAAAAAAATCTTAAAAATATATTTCTTAAGGAACTTTATAAATAAGCTAAAGCTATTAAAAATCTTTATAAATAAGTAAAATATATTATAATTATAAAAAAGGACTATTACTTACCTCTTTATAAGTATAACTAATTTAAACTATAAATATAATAATTATTTCCTTTTAAAAAATTTCTTCTTTTATAACTACCTACTAAAGATAAGTAGTATTATATAATAACCTATATAAATTACTATAAGTTTATATAAAAAATAAACGTTTTTAGCGAAATAAATTATTACTTAGAGAAGGATTATTTAAATCTTATAATTCTATATTTTAACTTAATATTCTAAGGATTATAAGAGCTTAAAGATACCTTATATACTTTATAAAATGATTTTTACTAGTTTCTCTTTTATTACCTAAAAGATTCTATAGACTATTACTATATAACCTAGAGTAAGGCTATTTATATAAAGTTATAAAAGAATTAGAATAACTATACCTATTTAAGCTACTAGTATAACTATTAGATAGAAATTAGTAATAAAGATTATTCTATAAATACTATTATTCTAAGACTATTTTATAAGTCTTTTTTATTTATAGTATAGTAGAAGGTTAGTAAATAAAACTAATTTCTAAAGATATTAATAAAATTAGTATTTCTTATTATAAAACTCTAATTAAGTATTTAGTTAAATATCTTATAAAATAATTAACTTTGATAAGAAAAGAAGTATAATAGGTAAAAGATTAAAATAAAATTAAAAAGCTTTCTATTAACTAAGATCTAATTATAAAGAATAATAATTATTATAGAGCTAGATAGGTAACTATTCAATTTATAAAATAGATTAATACTAGAATAATTATAAGAGTAGTATATAATACTATATAAGAAATTAAGTTACATTAAATTAGACTACCCTAACCTTATAAAGAATAGGGAGTAAAAGAAGTAAGAATAATATAAAATATTTATAATTATAGTTATTATAATAGCTAAGGTATTACTATTAAAGAGAGAATAGTTAATAAAAAAATAATCCTTTTTATAAAGGCTATCTTACCTAGTAGAGTAACTATAGATTATAAGGATTTAATTAATAATAGAAGTAAGATTAATATAGTCTTATTCTTACTTATGAAGTAAGTAAAATAGGATATTCTTATATATTAAATATTTATATAAACTATAAATAAGAGGAAGCTTTAAAATAAAGAA